ACATTGCTGGAGTTTAACCATCTTAAACATCAGATTGAAAGACAATGAGCTCCATAAATATGATCTGACATTGTTGAAGCTTTTATTTAGTGTAATTTTAGCAGCAAAATAAAAATAAGGAAGAGACAATTTAGAGAGAGTATTCAGCACAGAATTATAACAGAATTAAAAGCAATAGATTCTGGATTTTGAACTGAAATACTATTATTAAATAATAATGAAAGGATTGTAGTAATTTTAGAAGCACACTATTGCAGTTGGTGGCGGAATCTTATTTTATGTAACATTTATATTCCTTTTAACAATAGTGCTGCCTGTTTTGTTTGTCTACTGTTGTTGCTTTGTGCTGCATGAGGTCTCATTGGAGTGAACTGAGCCTTGAGGGAAACCTCCATGTTAATTAGATAGTGCCACAGTATCCAGCCACTTAATTGGCATTTACTATTTCAACAGATGGTTGTAATTGGAAGATATGGTATCTGTTTTTGTCTGGACAGAATCTATTAAACACAATTTACAAATCAAGCTTATCTTCTAATCTCTTTAGGAATGTAGGAATGTACAACAGCAGAAAGACCATTACTCTCTATCTGTCTGACTGTATTTTTTTAAATATAGTAGAACCCTGTTATAACATGTTTGATTACAATTATAGGTTTGCTTATGAGATGGATGCTCTGTGATTGCAGTTATAAAGCAGGTTGGAATTTTATGAACTCTAATTCCTACATTATAACAGGGTTCTAATGTACAATTACATTCTGAGACTCATCTCTACCTGAAATTGCTGATGGTATCTGTCTCTAGTGTCGCTTTTGTTTGGTTCCCTGTTCACCACATTATATGTAAAGGAATTCAATTCAAATTGTTTATCTTCCCCCTCTTTCCACTGCAGTGCTGGTGGTTTCCATGGTGGTTTCTTTGATACTGGATACACATGTTCATTATTTGTTTACGTCCAGTGTCTTGAGAAAATGACATTTTATTTGTTCTGAATGCCTGGTTTATGACCCAAAGAATTATACAGTGTTTAACCAAATGGATTTTTGTTAACTTAAATTGACATTGTAACCAAATACAATCCATCTCCTTGAGCAGTTATCTACTTCTTTGACAGATTGACAGCACTTAAATGAAATGTACAAGTAGACAGAGCATCTTGAAGTATCTATTTACACAGTATTTTGAGTTGTATTTTTTTTATCAAGCACATGTTGAGTAAATCTCAAAGTTGAGCTAAGTATTTTTCTCAAATGCATACAATTCAGTTTGCTTCCTAAATTTAAATCCCACAGCAGCGATGTAAAATTGATCAATACACGTATAATAAATGTCAAATCAATATTGCCCCTATGGTGGCTATTTCACCTCTGCTATCCCACATTATTAAAACCAGCATATCCTCTTTTTGTGAGCTTTTTGGTGTGGTCTTGTGAAATTTCTACATAAGGTTCTACAGCAGTAGATTTTGACCAACCGGATAGTGATGCAACATGTAAAATTTAAAAACCTAGCAAAAAAAGAGGAAATGTGATGACACAAGATGAAGAACTTTAAAACTGTTCAGAAAATCTCAAGTGGTTTATTGACAGATCCATGCCGTAGATCTGTACCACTCAGTCAGAGGCTATTAAGCCCATTTTTGCACCAGATCTGAAATTGTGTGATATGTGCATGTAAAGCAAAATGTAGATGATTCATTATTTGTAGTTTTAAGCTAAGTTTTAAAAGAATAGAATTTCTTGGGTTTGTATCTGAATCTGACAGGAGGTATGTGTTTGTTACCAGTACTAGAATCATAGAATTATACAGCACAGAAGGAGGCCATTCGGGCAATTGTGTCTGTGTCGGCTCTTTGAAAAGAGCTCTCCAATTCAATTCCACTCCCCCGCTCTCTCCCCATAGCCCTGCAAATTTGTCCTCTCCAAATAATTATCTACTTCTCTCTTAAAAGCTGTTATCAAATTGGCTTCCACCACCCTTTCAGGCAATGCATTCCAGGTCCGAACAACTCGCTGTGTAAAACAAATTTCTCCTCACCGTCCTTCTGTTTTAAATCAGTGCCCTCGGGTTACCAAACCACCCACCAGTGGAAATAGTTTCTCCTTGTTCACCCTATTAAATCCCCTCATAATTTTGAAAACTTCTATTAAGTCTCCTCTTAACCTTCTCTGCTCCAAGGAGAATAATCCTCGCTTCTCTCACCTCTCCTGATAACTGAAGTCCCTCATTCCTGGTACCATCCTGGTAAATCTCCTTTGCACCCTCTCCAATGCCTTGACGTCCTTCCTAAATTGTGGTGCCCCGAACCGAACACAGTCTCTCGCTGAGGCCTAACCAGTGTTTTATAAAGGTTCTTCATAACTTCCTGACTTTTGGATTTTATACCCCTATATATAAAGCCTAGTATCCCGAATGCTTGATTGTTTGATTGTCGCATGGAAGATGAGAATATCTAGATGGAAATTGCAAAGGCCTTAGTTAGATGATTTGGGTGGCAATGTTTTATGTCATCTTTTGAGGAAAATAGACAAAAAAAGATGTGTGCAGTTAATAGAATAATGGAATGTTTTAGCTTGAAAATGTAGTTGAAAACAAATTTTTAGTGGAATAGATATTTGTCTGAACATTCACTTCACTCTAATCTTCAGTACTTACCTTTGCCTTATACGAGTGATCCATAAATGTAATTGTATCGGCATGACGTAAAAGCAACGTTATTCAGCACAAAATAGTGGAATTGACACCAATTTAACGTAATCCAACCCTAAGACATTTATGGAGCGGAAACTTGGACCAATACTCAAATCCCCAAAATAAAATGGAATACATGCTAAAAATAATAAACTAGGGAGAAAATAACACCTAATGAGGTTAAAAGCACCACCTCCTGCCAGGAGATTCCAACGAAGTATAAGGTTGGCATAGCTAGCTGTCTGTTGTGGATGTACACATGAGGCTTGTTTGGCAGACCGCAGGGAGGAAGAAGAGGTCAGCCAAGAGCATGTCAATAAAATGGCTTGAAAAGATCCAAATAATAATAATAATAAATAACCTTGGCAAAGATATAAAACTATCTTGTGTCACCTCTTAGCATCTGATGCAACCCAGGTTAGTGTTTAGGAAACCAGATGTTAAATATACAATAGCCATTTATTGTCATATTGTGTTGTTAAATTGTACAAAGGAGGAAGTCATTGAGCTAATAAAGAAGAGATCAGTTGGAGGAAGGAGTAAATGAATATCAAAGGATCAGAGACAGTACTGAAGTATATGTATATTAGCACATCAAGTATAGAGAACTTCATGGATAGCTCTTTCAAAGAGCCAGTACATGCTTGATGGATTGAATGGCCTCCAGTCCTGTGAATTTCTATGGTTCTGAGTCACCATGCAGATTATCTGCACAGTTGGGGCTCTTACCATTCTATTAAAATACCTGTATTTGTGTCATATCCAGATAAAATGTTATAATTTATAAGACTTCATCTGTGGTGGGTCAGTGAATCTGATTTAAAAATGACCATCTTGCCTTTCCTGACACAGCGTGGCAACCTCACTGTGGAAACTATATCTACATTGATCTTAACAAGAAAGAAAGTCATGGAATTTCAGTACTCCTTTTAAGCTGTTATTTTGCTGTTTTTATTCCTAACTGTGGCTGTTCATTCCTATCTGTTCATTCTTATCTAACTGGCATTAATAAATAATAGCAGATAAACTGGTGCTGAGTTTATTATTATTTAAAGTAGCTGTAGATTGTTTCTAAAGCAGATTACTCAGTCAGTGCAATAACAATCAGGAAGAGACAACAACCTCTGAGGGATAAGGTAAATAGAATGTAAAAGGGATCTTGAATAGATTGACTCTATTTATAGGGACGGAGAGGCAGTTTTTAATTGATTTATCAATTGGGAGCAGAGTTATATTAAGCATAATGATCTTTGCCTTCTACCTATTTATTAATGGATCAATTTTGAATACATTTATTTTAGATTCCTTTATTTCATTTATTTGATTTTAGAATATCAGTACAAGAAATAATATGTTTTTCTTCTTTTGCCAACCAGTGATACCAACATGTACTCCCAGGTCAGGCATAGCATTGGTGTGAACCAGATTAAAGCTCTCTCTTTTCTGCCACAACAATGTATCTTAACAGTAAAATCAGTATTTCCATTCTGAAGCCCAAACTACTAAAGGGCCTAGTTTAATAATGAAATACAGCATAAGTTGTTTTGTTAGATGGACTGGACATTGAGCAATCTTGCCACTCATCAAAGTTAGTATACGTAAAGCTGTTTCAGTGAGGAGGCTTTCATTCTATTGCTCTGAGTTGGTTGAAAGCCAAACTACTAAGTACATGTAGTTAATAGCTATGGAAATTCAAAGCTTTTAGATGGAAGCAATTACTTTCTTCTATCCTTAGTAAAGAAATAGAGTGGCAACATCATGTTATGTCAGTATTTTCTAGAACATTGTACTGTAATGGGTTTAATATTGGTCAGGTTACTTGCATAATTGTGTGCAACAGAATCTTGCACCTGTTGGAAACACTGCAAGGGCATCATGCCCTTTATCCTGGTCGAATTTCAGCTTTAATGCCAATTGCCTAGGTAAAGTAATATTTGCTTTCATCATTCAACTTGTCTTTTTAAAAGCAAAACGAAAGAACCACTTAACATGCAAAATCCTGAATTTGGGATTTGCTTTGCAACTCTCAAGCATTAAGTGTAATCTATTTTGTTTTCTGTCCACTCAATGAGTGATTATAACTGTAACATTTCCAGTACATTCCAGTCCTCCATGTGCTGTATAGAGAAATGGTTACTGTAGGATTTGAATTGATAGGAAAATTGGTGACCTTACTACAATGCCAATGAAAGAATATTCTGATCCAAGAATGTTCCTTAACCTGAGAGGAACATTTCAATTATGCCAGATTTTGAACCAGATGTCGGAGATACCACTCTACATCACAATCTTCTTTTGAATTTCAGATAAGCAGCCATGATGGAAGATAAAGGTCCACGTGTTGCCGACTACTTTGTAGTGGCAGGTATGACAAGTGCATCCAAACCACTTGAAGAAGAAATTCAGTTCAATGACAGCTGCCACAAAATCGCCAAACCTAAAGCGCCGATCACAGATGTGGCTGTCATTGTGAAGTCATTAGGAGAGGACGTTCCCCAAGGGTATACGTGTGTGGAAGTCACTCCAACTGGATTATCAGCTGATCTTAACAATGGGAGTTTGATGGGACCACAGATTTTCCTGTGCTACAAAAGAGGGAGAGATAAGCCACCACTGACTGATCTGGGGTAGGTAACTTCAAACTCAACTCATAATAATAATAATCCTTGCATTTGATATAGCGCTTTTCACGTCTTCTCAACGTCTCAAAGCGCTTCACATTCATACACATGAATGCAGCCACTGGTCAATCTAGTCTAAATACTATAACATCAAGTGTATAGTTTGCACAGTTAGTTTAGGTGGACGAAACAAAATAAGAAACTTGTGCCATCAAATGGAGTGTCTGCTTGATGTTTCAAAAATAATAATCGTTGCATTTGATATAGAGCCTTATCATGTCTTTGAGACGTCTCAAAGCACTTCACAGAATATACTGCAAAGTAAATTGTATATTTTGTGGGTGAAATACAATATAAATGGGTGTTTCATTCAAAGAACATTGTCATTTTTCAATCCTAGGCTATGAAAGTTTCACTCAATTCTTTATCCCAAGTCACACCCAGCATCTTGAGAAGATACTGGTTCTTCATACATAATAATGGAAATATCTTGTTATTTTGAAATACATTTTCAAGAGGATAGTCGTGATGTTGTGTCACATCAGAAAGCATATTGCTTAAGTACAATGGGAGATTAGATCATTTTTATTGTGGTCTCAAATATTATGCAATCTGTTGTTTTGCATTGCTGGATCTCTGGGTGAGAGTACTGCTGCTGAGAGCAAGCAGTACATTAATCACCATCAGATGCTGGTTTTAGCTTCACGATTGATGGCAGAAGTTTCTACAGCAAGGTCGTTTTCTTGCTGCTTTTTCACAAATTGGGAGTTCCATTTGGCTGAGTGTGAGAAATGAAAAAAATCTATAAATATTGTCAAACTCAAATTTCAACATCTAGCTTTAATCTGTAAAGAGCTATCTGGATTTGGTTTTTATGTTGTATACTCTGACCCTGTCTGCATTGCCTTCAAGTTCAAGGGAATCATTTAGATATTTATTCTGTTTTACTGGGAAATCCAATATATTTGGAGGAAGAAATATTTTGCCATTTTGTATTTTTTGATTGCGTGTCATCGTTTTGAATTGATTAAAGTGAATGATCAAACTCACTGCAATTGTATAGTGTTTTAGGCTGAAGTTTGTTGATAGATGATTCATCAGGTTCTGTGAAATTTATATCGCAGATTATGCTCCTTGGAAATACTGATTTTAAAATGTTATTGTTTTCTCACTTTGCTCTGTTGAAATGTATATTTATACTTAACAGCTCCTTGTCGCTCACTGGTTTAAAAATAAATCAGTTAAAAGAAACAGAATCTAATGTCAAATAAGTGAGAAAGTGTGAAAGGTTATAAAAACTATTTGTTTTATTTTTGTGAAAATGATCGTTACCTTTGTTAAACCCTTGATGTGCACTTATACAAACTCATCATGATAATAAAAGCTCACAATAGGAAGAGCAGTCTGAAGCATTAAATGCACAGTAGTAAATAGATTACTGAAATTGCAAAATTCTGATATCCAAGATTAGAGATTAATGATAGCCTGTGAGTTAAAGGTTGTGTTATGTAAATGAGCATAGTGTGATATGTTCAGGTCTTAATGGACACACTTAAATAATAAATGTCCAGTTAAAAAAAAATCAGCAACATTTGTGGTTAGTACTCAGTAAAATAACAGCAATGCTACTCATTAAATATATTGATCATTTTAACCAGATAATGAGTTATTGAGTAATACTGAAATAAGCCCCATTATTTCCTACAGTAAATGTGGTTACCAATAAGTGCTCCATGGTTAAATAGTTTTGTTATCTGGTTGCATTTTCTAATCTGTTGTATTATTTTACAGGGTTTTATATGAATGGAAAGAGAGGCTAAAGCATGGATGTCAGATTATTCAAACAACTCCTTACGGTCGTCCTGCTAATATAAGTGGTGGGACTTCATCTCAGCGAATCTACATAACATATCGCAGGGCACAAGAAAACATAGCCCAGAATTCCCTGGCTGTCACTGATATTTGCATAATTATTCCTAGTAAGGGAGAGACACCGCCACACACTTTCTGCAAAGTGGACAAGAACCTAAACAGCAGCATGGTAAGCTCTACAATCCATTTTCACATGAGCTTTAAAGCAAGATAAAGAAAACAAATTAAAAACATCATTAATTGTAAGAAACTCGGCTGTATCATTCAAATCCACCCTGCTGTTAATATAGCAACCTGAGTTATTAGGTTGTTACCAGTTAAATCAGAATCCCTAGGTCAAAGTATATAGAATGCAGAACATACTTTTTTAACAATGGACTTAATTTGGCCTTCATATTTATTATCAATGTTCTTACATTGGTTTGGCAAATGCAAAATATCCGGTTGAGAACTAATTTCTTCCAGCCATCAAACTGGTTGGTTCACCTCAATTCAAATTTTTAAGTGTAATTCAGTAGTTTTACAACTGTCTGAGATATAAAGAGATATTTTGAGTTTGTCTTTCTTTTTATTGAATTCATTGCATGCTTTTGCATAAGAATTAATACAATTCTTGGAATCTTTCTTGGAAATGTAACTTTATGAGGTTAGAGAATTAATTAAAGGATTTAGAGAATTCCATTCCCTCTATGTTCTTGGCTTATTGGAATAAGTTTGCAGCTTCGAGCTTCCAGCCAATGCCTTGTTAAAATTACCACATGAAGTCAGTTTAATGAAGACTGGCGAGCACAAATCCAGTTCCATATGTCATCTTAGAGTTGCTTGCAGCAGTGTGTGTGTTGGCTCAGGGCTTTAGAGTCCAGTGATATTTGATAGGTTCAGTACATCTGCTGCTCTGTCTAACCTTGAGTTGTGCAACACTTCCTGATCAACCCGTGACTTTTCAGATTGCATTTAAAATTATAAGGACATTGATGTCTGACAGTTTTACAAGTTGTTGACCAGACAATAATGCAGCAATGGGATTAGATACAACAACAACAACAGCTTGGATTTATATAGCGCCCTCCATGCTGGACGGTATCTCAGAGTGCTTCACAGTAACGGATCCCGGGGCCCAGCCAGGGGGAGGGGGAGGAAGCTGAGCAAAGACGTGGTAGAAAAGAAAGGTCTTCAGCAGAGACCTGAAAATAGGAAGAGAGGTAGCGAGGCGAAGGGAGTGAGGAAGGGAGTTCCAGAGCCTCAGAATTGTGTCATCAATAATCTTCATACCAATTTTTCTTAATGTAAAAAAAAGTAATGCACAAGAACTGCATCACAGAAGTTTGTACTATAGCTGATATAGTATCTGTTGCAGAGTGACCTTTCCCTGGCCATCAACTTGTTGGCAGTGTTGCAGAGTTTTAAGAGCAAGCTGTTCTTAGTTTTACCAAGAACTGAACTTACCTGAAACTTTCCCACAGAGATAACACTTTTAAAGGAAAAGCTAGCTTTATTTAAAAGATGGTGAATTCTGTGCAGATCTGGAGAGATCCAACTTGTGACATTGTGCTTGGTAGATGTTGCTATTGTCTCGTTCTTCTTTGGTCTGTTATCTGTAGTGATATCTTAATTACGTTTCTTTATTGTTATGGGACAACCTCATTATAACACGGTGCTTAAATACAGACTTCTGTGTTAAAGCAAAGTTTGAGGTATGTCTGGCGTGTGTCATCAGGTTGCTGCTAATGTGGTGGTGTTAGTAGCATTTCCTGGGCTTAGTGGCACTTCCTGCACATAGTGCACATTTGGAGTGCAGAGGAAACAGCAATAGTAGCATAAATGTACAAAATCAGGAAGTGAGTGGATTCGGCGGAAACCTGACGAGCTGGGAAGTGGCCATATAGCATGGGAAATTGGCTTGTCCATGGTACATCTATACTATAAGGGGACGTGCTAAACCGGGGCTTGCTCTAATGGAGTCTCCCTAGCTTTACTTGCCTTTTTGCTGAATCGTGTATTGATGCTCCTGTCCCTTTTTCTTCAGCATATCATTGAAACGACCGAAGAAAAATCTTGTTATGATGGATTCCGTGGCTCCCCTATGGGTTAATTATGTTGCATTAGATATCTCTGATTTGGTTTCAAGGTGATTTATCTGAAAATGATCTCATCCTAATTAAAGAGATTGTATTTTTTCAGGTTGCTCATTATAATGTACTTGGTTTGGAAGACTCAAATTATTTTCTTCTTTTGGGAATTGGAGAATTAGCAACTGATATTTATCCTTTCATCTCCAATCCTTCATTGTTAGTTTGTTCAGCTGTATCGGTTCCTTTCTCGTCTGTAACAATGCGTTCCTCCACTGACGAGCTCTTCATCAATCAAGAGAATAGATTTATTCCAGTTCATTTTCTCCAATTAATATCTAGAACTATTTTCATAAATTGCACAATTTTATTAAAAGGGAAGATGTTTCTAATCCTAACATGGCACTATTAAATATTTATTTCTGAGTCGTGATTTGCATACATATGTTGCATCATGATATAATCTGTATAACCATTTCTAGCACTGTAAGGTTGGCCATGCAAAGTTCACTGAGAATAATCGTACTGCAGTCTACAACATCTATATGCTCCCTCTTGGTGATATCATCCGCAGACATGGGGTCAACTTCCACATGTACGCAGATGATACCCAACTCTACTTCTCTGCCTCCACCCTTGACTCCAGGACCACTACTCTGCTGGCAGAATGTCTGTCAGACACCAAGTTCTGGATGAGAGCTAACTTTCTTCAGTTGAACGCCAACAAGACTGAGGCTCTCCTGATTGGTTCCCGTCAGCGCCTCCTCACCTCAGGCGCTGACAACATCACCATCCATGGTTGTACACTCCACCTTGCTAAGCCAGTCCGGACCCTTGGGTCTTGTTTGACCCTCAACTATCCTTTCTACCCCACATCTGCACCATGACCTGCTCTGCCTTCCCCATCTCCGCAACGTTGCCCGGCTTCGACACTGTCTCACACCGCAGACTGACGAAACCCTCATACATGCCTTCATTCCATCGAGGCTCTACTATGTAAACTCACTGCTTGTCGGCCACCCCAACTCCTCCCTCCACAGGCTGCAGATCATTCAGAACTCTGCAGCCCGTGTCCTCTCTCGCACTAGGCTCCCCGACCCTATCATCCCCATCCTTGCCCAAATCCATTGGCTTCCCATCACACAGAGGATGCAGTTCAACATCCTGGCCCTCACCTTCAAAGTCCTCCACAGTCTTGCTCCTCCCTACTTCTCCGACCTCCTAATCCCCTACCACCCTATTCACTCCCTCCGCTCATCGGGCTCCAGTCTGCTTCACATCCCCCGCCTTGCTCGCCCCACTATCGGTGGGCAGGCCTTCTGCCACTCTGCACTCACCCTCTGGAACTCCATCCCGCAGTCCCTCTGTCTCGCCCAGCCACCCTCCTCCCTCCCTCGCCACCTTCAAGACCCACCTCAAGACCCTCCTCTTCGACCGTGCTTTCGATCTCCCTGCCTCCCCCACCCAGATCCTCAGCTCGGGCCGTAACTCTGTCTGTCCAGCACCTTGGGATGTCCTCCCAACGTGAAAGGTTCTATACAAATGTAATTTTGTTGTTGTTGCAGACATATTGAATGTGATACGGATAAATTCATTGATTTAATGAATTTTCTTTTGCAGTGGGGATCAGCAGTGTACCTGTCTTATAAGAAGTCTTTGGCCAAGACTAATGCTATAGCTTACAAAGCCGGTGAGTAGTGCATCGTTGAAGAGATATGGATAAGTAAAGCTGGGCTTTTGAAAAATGGGTAACACTGAATTGTTGGGCTCCTCTGTTATTGGGTTTATTGCGTATATAATAACAACTACAACAACAACTTGCATTTATATGGTGCCCCTCACACTGGATAGTATCCCAGAGCTCTTTGAAATGGAATAATACTGTGAAATGGAATTAATTTGGAGCAATACTGATGTGAACATTTTCTGCAAGTCGTATTGCTGGGTAGATCGACAAGAATATGGAACGGGATTTTGAAAACATTTACAAGACTTCATTCTCTTAGGTTATGATGTCATTTGAGTCCTGGAATTATTTCTGAAATGTTTTTCTTGGTTCCTTAATGTAATGAGGTAATTACAACAGAGGATTGACCTCAGCCATGAGACCTAGCAATGACTGTTCTCCTATGGCACCTATGACTAGAGAAATCTGTTGCAATTTGATTTTGTTGCAGGAAATTACACTGTTGACAGATGTTTTTAACTTCCTTGCTGGCAGTCTTGTAGCACAAGTGCATTGAGCCAATACTTGCTTGCTGCTGACAAAGCACTGGATGCTGTTAGTGATCAACACTATAGTTTACTGTTTGTATTGGAGACATGAAATCAGATCCCTGTCTATACAGTAATCTTTTTCATTTCTGATATGCGTTTAAGTACCTTATTTTTTTAAAAAGTCAAGGCCAAAAATATTTTTTCTGAGTTACCAGAATTGTAAATACTTACTGTTCCAGAGACTGAAATCATAAAAGAAGTTTGCACTTGATATAGGTCTTTATGTCAACCAAGAAGTCAAAACCCTTCATATAATGAGTCGGATTAAGGCATGAGGACTTATTTAGATTTATATACCCATCTAAATGGGAGATACTGGGTCTCCTACCTGCTGGTTGGCAAGTAATATTTCATAGTCAGTCTGTCTGCAGACCAATTGGGAGCCATAGTTTTATTTTTCAGAGTCCTCCCCATGGAGATTTGCAGTTGCTTAACTGAGAACATAATGAAAACTTGGGAGTGCTTTTTAAAAAGAGAGAGATGGTTAATGATTGCTCTGTAAGCAGGCTAGCTATCACTTGAATGGAAAGCCAGGCTGTATCTGTGGAAGATGTAAAGGAGGTATTTATATTGTGCTTACAATATTTCTCCTTATAGTCACTAAGGTACTACATGTCATGGAAATGTAGATATCAACTCTCTCTTGATAAGAATTCTTCTTAAAACATATGCCAAACTGTGCAATTTTTGTTGGTGTAACTAGTTATAAAATAGTTTTGACTTGATTTGGAATATGGAAATTGCACTCATTGGGTGATACAAACTGTTTGCTCACTTTTAATTGCAACCTGAATATGGCTTAACGCAAACTTTCAGTAGCTTTTGTAGCAGTCATTCTTAATGGACTCTAGTGTTGTTTCAGTTTTCTGGAAATTGCTCTTTGTGGGAGCAAAATTTGTATTCAGATTTTTAGATTGAAAGACACTGCAATTGAGGACAGGAGCAGTGAAAAGCCACACTTTTGTACAATGTATAATTGGAAAGATCAGTAACATTAATATGTTTGTTTTTTGTTCTGTTGCTTTAACTACTGTATTGCCTCTTTTGCTGGTCCATTTATTTCAGCATATTACTTTAAAAGATATTATGAATGGGAAGCCAGCACTGTGCTGTGTGCTCAGTATGGAGCAATGAGATGTAGATGTGTCCTTTTTTCTGCAGTCTTTGAAGAATATATCAATGGAAAGCTGCAGGTGTCCGACAGGGAAAGAAATCATAGGATAAATTCTTGGCTGCCCTGCAACCTCCTAGTGGGAGGTGATATGTTTTACTCTCCACGTAGCATATTTTTTGATGTGGATATTTCAAAATCTACATTTGGTATATTTATTAATTTGTTCCCTTGCACATGTGACTCTTAATGACATTTCTAAAATGTGAATAACATGACAAAGACATGAAATGAAATAATATTTTTCAATACGAGGACAAATTTGCAAAACTAAAATGACAGAAAAATCTGTCACTTAGCCTACAAGAATATATCTGCTCTGTAACGTGCGGTGTAGAATAATATCTGTGTGATCTATTCAGGATCATGATTAGTAAAAGTTTGAAAAGTTTAAACGTTCACTCCTTCAGGGATCTTCAATGTTTTACGTGGTACACAAATGCTGCCCATTTTGTGAGGTACCCAGCCACATATAATTGCTTTGGATCTTCATCATGCACATTTTTGAACAGTGTCTTGCTGTTGCAGGCGTTGGTTTCTAATCTTGCTATTGTATACAGTGTCCACAAAGGTTAAATGTTTTAATTTCTCGCTATGATTTTCTGTCTTTCAAAGGCTTGATATGCAGGTATCCAGAAGAAGATTATGAATCCTTTCCATTGCCTGCATCTGTACCTCTCTTTTGCTTGCCTATGGGTGCAACCATTGAGTGTTGGCCTTGTAATACCAAATATCCACTCCCTGTCTTCTCTACGTTCGTGTTAACTGGAGCTTCGGGAGAAAAGGTACATTTATAACAACCTTGTTGTGATGCAATATTCAATGCATTTCTCCGATACTGGTTATGTAAGTCTTGTTTGAAGTTAATTTGTTCTATTTTTAGATCAAAATTGTACCAAATTGTTTTTACCTATTATATTATCCACACTTGTTATATAATCCAATTGTCAGCACGTGACATATTGAATTCATTTCTTACCCGTTGACCACGGACTTAAAATGGGAGAAAATTGGGTGTACTAGTTGGTCATGATAAGTAAGGGTACTATTCTGATGGAACAGGAGGTTTAAATTTAATTAAAATAAATTGCAATGGCTTTGGTGTATTTCCAATTCTGTTATTGCAGCATTTGTGTATACGAGGTTATGTGAAATACAATCCCATTTTAGCCTCTTTAATAACTATTTACTATACTTTGGAGGAAAGTGCAAAACAAAACCAGATGTATTTTGCTGGCTGCCTGAGCACTGATGAGTAAATTATACGAAGAAAGTGTTTGAAGTGTATTCCCGAACTAATTGCAATCATTTGTACTTGATTGAGTGGGATGTTTCTGTTTTCACCATCGCAGTTTATCAAATAGGTAATTACATATTGATCTTGTGCCTTGATGATAATATAATATATAATAATGCCTCAAACTTACTCATTGTTCCTAGGTTTATGGAGCAGCTATTCAGTTCTATGAGCCTCTTCCTCAAGAGAGCCTGACAGATAAGCAGCGATCACAGCTGGGGTTGGTCAGTGCTATGGACCGAAAACCCATCCTCTCCAAAACAGTTCACACAAACAAGTGCATCTGCCTCCTGTCACACTGGCCATTCTTTGATGCCTTTCGAAAATTTCTCACATTTTTGTATCGATATTCCATCTCTGGACCTCATGCACTACCTATTGAGAAGTAAGTCTTTCTTACTTAATAAGATCATTCTTTCCTGTCTACAGGAGATGCTTAAATTCTAAATATATTAAACACTACATGATGCTAGTTACTTAATAGATTCAGTGAACGATTCTTAATGAAGTTTTGGAGTTGATGCAGATTTTAATAATAAATCACAAAATAACATTTATTTGTTGTTGGCAAATACAGATTCCTGCACACACTCACCCTGTGTATGCATCATGCTTTAATAACGTTTATATCTCTATTTTGCAGACACATCTGCCATTTTATGCACAATGCCCCATTTCCTTCTCCACAGAGGCCAAGGATTCTCGTGCAGGTGAGTGTATCTGCATGACAAACCACTTATATTCAATCTATTGTTAAAAAAAGATCTGATGTATATTATTACAGTATCATTCCAGCTGGAATATGTTACTGTGAAATGTATCCTTATTGATAGTTATATAATTTATACGAGAAGTATATATCACTGTAATATCTGCACTGATCATTGTACAGTGATGTAGTTTGTCTCGCAATAAGATCAAATTTTAGGATAGTTTTACAATAAGAAAATACTTACCTCCAGAAGCAAAATGGGGGTCCGTTAAGAGGCCTAAAATAGGTAGAAAAGTGTTGAGAAAATTAAGGATCCATGAAATAAAAGAGGTAAAAGGATTGGAGCTTCTCTTGACTGATGTCCTGCTTCTCCTGGGACTGGGAGAGGGGAAATTTGCTGCAGCTAGAATTACATTATTTAGGTGCTATTGAATTTCAATCTGCCACACAATCTTCTATTTCAGCAATCACCTCATGATTCTTTGATGCTTTGTCAACCGGTATCATCCCCACTCCCATTGAGGTAAGCATATCATTCACTTTCTACTTGGTACCTAATTTGTTATCCAGACTTTTTTTTCCAAGCATTCGAGTCCCATTTTTATTCAGTTTTCTTCACACTTCTGAATTGTGCACAAATTTCCAGAGCAAAGCGAGGTAGATGAAGATTTGCCCCAGCATTGCACTGCTTCCCTTCCTTTCCCCCACCTTCCCTCCCAACTTTGGAGGTAGAGCAATTTATCTAAGAGAAGATTTTAGTTTAAAAAAGGAATTGGAAATCTGAAAGTATTGGGAATTCACAGGAGTTCAATCAGCATCTGAAAGAGAAAGATACATTAAATGTTTCATTGTATGACCTTTTGTCTACACTTCCAAAGGGACCTCTTTGTTTCAAAGTCATAGACGTGGGCAAATAGCCTTGTGATGCAAGGTCTAAAGCAGGGGAGAAATTATTGAAAATGTTGGAGCTGACAGGAGGTGAACACAAATCATCATTTTCTTCACAGAACAATGCTGATATCTGTCCTTTTGCTTTCAGCGGTGGCAGTTTCATTACTTTGCTACAAAATCTGGGACCTGAAAATGCTATATCAATGCTGCTATACGCTGTGACCGAACACAAAATTCTCATCCACTCTCTCCGACCAGCTGTGCTGACTAGTGTGGCGGAAGCACTTGTATCTGTGAGTACAAAACTGGACTTGTTGAGGGATTCTTTGTAAGGAAATTGGCACAGTTAGACTTTTTTTATTTGCCACTTTTGTTCCCAAAATGGGTTATTTGAGTTTAATCTCTCTTTTCATTTGTTGGAATAATCCACTTGATAATCAGACTTTTTCAGCTTTCAAAATTTATGCACATCTTTCATTTAAAATCTGCAAATATTGTTATGTAAATTTGTGATGGACATTATTACCTAAGTTGGAATAATTTTCTTTTAAAAGATCTGGTTATAATTTACATTTGAGGAGAGATTTTATTGCAAAGGTTATGGAATTAGAATGTGTTCTGTCTATTTTGGCTTTGTCAGACTGCCTCATTTCGCAGTATAATGCGAGCTGTGTTAGCAGTAATCAAAGAGAATATTTACTCACTGACACAAAGGGGCTTCCTCTGTAATTCAGTTGTTAATGAGGGAATTTTATCATCAGTCATGTTTACCAATCCCATTCTGCAAAGATTTAGGAATTACATTTTTTTTAAAAACAGAATTTCAGAATTTAAAAGTTAATGCTGAATAGTAGTTTAATTTTAATATTCAACTGCATTTCAGCAGCAGACATTTCTTTGCCCTTCAGACTCAAAAGACTGATAATAAACTAAGAGAAACATTTGAGCAGTTAAATGCTATTTAGTGTATGGGCTGCAAAGTTGTAAATCTGATAACTCTAACTTTTATCGAGGACCAGAAAAATAGTCACTGCAACAGTACATGAGTAAGAGTCAAATGTTTGCAGAGCAGTGTCCCACAAACAGTCGTGGATTGAGTTACCAATTTATTTATCATGAGGGATTCCTATCCCCAGAAAGCGATCCACCAATTAACTAAAAACTGGGTTCTTACTGCTAGGTAAACAGGTGTTATGGAGTAATAAAACTTGCCTTGTAGTTCACTGGTTAATTCTGCACTACAATAACTTTTGCATACAGTGAACAGAGTTTCAGGCAATTAGGCTCTGAAGGACAATAAGAAGCAGGAGAAGCAGAATATTTATTATCTTTATACTTGGTATTTCAGGTTAGGAGGATGTCCCAAAGCTCTTAAAAGGCTATATTATAAGGTGCAGAGACTGTATGTTCTGTGGCTGAACAATTTGCAGCTTGGGGATTAACATCCAAATTCTTTTTTCTTTTTTTCTTTTCTTTTTTAAAGCGCTCTAAGACGCCCTCCGGTGTGGAGGGCGCTATATAAATCCAAGTTGTTGTTGTTAAGTTGTTTTTTTGATAAGTTATGGATAACTGTAACAGCTTTCGTGTTGCGACCATAAACATGGAGGTGTGATATTAATGCCAGGAACATGACCTTATTTCTGACAGCTTGACCTTGGTTATCAAATACATGTTTTACTTGGGCTGCATTAGTGAAGACCATAAAGAAACACAGATTCTATTTAGGTCATAGATTTTGGCACTGCCATAAAGGGGAAGAAAATTTAATTAAAATATGCAAAAAACAAAGTTGAACTCATTCTGAAAATATATGTACACTTGCTTGCTCTTGTCACCAGATTTTATGATTTAAGCATTGTGTTATGCATTAAATCCAACTGCCTCTCCAGATTAAGAAAAGGATGTCAAATGTTTAACAAGGCATTCAGGATCCCATGACTCCTGATTATCTGGGTGAGCTACTATGATCCATGCCACGCAGCACAATGCTATTGGCTGTAGCTCGACCTTCTGGAGTCACACTAATACAATACAAATTTACATTTATATAGTGCCTTTCACGTCAGGAAGATGTGCCAAAGCACACTGACAGTCTTGTCTTGGCAATAATCTCTGCAATGTGAGCTATAATGTAACTAACTAAATTACATAAACTGGAAACTTGGATCAGGCTCATTCTAAAAGAAAGTTTTGAGTGAAATTATTGAACAGACTCAACCAACCTTGACTTCTATTTGTGTAATCAATGACAATGTACATTGTGAAAACTATTTTAGTCATATGTTAGACTTTATTCTTTTTATGGTTATTTTTCAAATTATTACAGATCCTAGCACGTAAATAGAGTAAGTGACAGATTCAAACGGTTATGAGATTTGAGATTTTTTTAAGCAAGTTTGTGAGAATAGCTTAATGTGAAACTGCTGACAAATCGATGCTGAGTCAGTTGTACAATGAAGCAACGCTTGACGGAAATGTTCAAGCTATGATGAAAATATTGACAATGTTTTTTTTATTTGCAGATGATATTTCCATTCCATTGGCCATGCCCATACATTCCTCTGTGCCCCCTGGCTCTTGCCGATGTGCTCAGTGCTCCTTGTCCCTTCATCGTAGGGGTTGACTCACGCTACTTTGACCTCTATGATCCACCGAATGACGTAAGCTGTGTGGACCTGGATACCAACACCATCTCACAGTAAGCCTTTCATCATGTTGCTGTTTGCTTTTACAGTTTGGGAGTTTAAAACTAGGTTGGAAATAGAGATGGAGTGAGAAAAGGGATGCAGTTTTATGAGTTGTCTACATTTTGAACAAATGGATCCCACTGTACATTGCATTCAAACTTTGTAATTTGATTTTGTGTTCCTTTGAAGTTATGTGTTCCTTATTAAATTTGCACTTCCCCTCCCCCCCCCCCCCCCCACTACAAATGAGTTCTATTCATGTTCACAAAGCAATTCACTTGAAGCTGGAAGCAGCAATATATATATATAACATTGTGGCTTTGTAATCTGTTAAATAATTAAAATAGTAAATCTGACTGATGGTACAAAGATATTGTTACAGCTTTGTACTTGCCTCCAACACCATTCACAATGGATATTGTTGGCAATCTGGTGAAAATGACTGAAAGAGCAATTTTTAAAGTTGCTTATTTGTCCCCAAGACTTGTAATTTGAAAAAAAAATTATTTCAGAACTGAAGACAGAAAGAACCTTACATGGAAGATCCTGCCGAAGAAAGCTTGTAAAAATCTGATGAACTCTTTAAACAATCTTTACGAACAGCTTGCAGAACGTAAGTAAAGAAAAAGCTGTATAACGCTACAGCTTGTTAGTGCTCTTCAAACTGGGAATAAGCCCTGGGGATTTGTACAGTAAATTAAAGCTCCAGGTAGGGATTGGTTAAGAATGCCTCACGAGGCACTACAGTGCCAGCTCTGGACATCAAGAATAAAAAGCCATCGCTTTGATCACAGGTCTTTTAGTATTTGTAAGCGAGCTCTTTTTTTTCATGGGACAATGATTTTTAAGGAAACTTAAAGGCAAGACCATTGTAAAGCTATATTTAACTGAATTTATCCTGAAGCTCACTGACTTACTGGAGTACGAATCCAAGTGTGCTGCCAACCCTCTGGTACCTCGGCCAAACCCCATTGTTATAGAAGTGTAGGGTCTGTAAGCCATTCATTTGTTCTTCCATTATGTATTACCATGCATTGCTACACTGCACTAATGTGTGTTGCCATCAGCCCTCCACTTTATGCACTAATCTTTGTAATAAGGTGAATAAACCTATAACTTGTGTAACTGGGACTCATTTCCTTACAGTGCAGCAAAGGCCGAGGGAAGAGGCTTTAATGGAGATGACAATGAATGACTGTGATTTAAACTCTGGTAAGAAGGTGCAGGTGTTGGAGATGGAAATACAAGAAGTCTTCCTCCGATTCATGGCCTCCATATTGAAGGGTTACAGATCTTATCTTCTACCCATCACACAGGCTCCTTCTGAGAAAGCAACTGATGCAAGCTCACTGTTTGATCTTCAAGGTTAGACAGAAATCATTACAAAAATATTTCAGATGGCAAATATCAGTTCCTCAAAAATGTTGATGATAAATTAGAAATTTTCCATATGAAAGATTTATTTTAAAAAGAGGTTTCCTCTGCATCTTTCTATGCCATGTCTCTATAGCCTGAAGGTGATCTACTCCTTCAACATAATTTTTGCATGTAATGCTGATCTATTTCTAATTTATTTGTTGAACTGTGTTTGTATTTTCTAAGAGTTGTGGTAGTTATATTATTTATTGCTCTCTTAGTATCTTCTTATTTGACTTTTCAACCAACGTCCACACCAATGCCACTGTACATTCAGCTGTTTGAAGATGCTCAAGAGAATTCTAGGTGCCTGACCCTCCAATGTAATCTCCTTTTGTGGAAGTGGAGGGGAAAAGAAAAAGCTGTATATAATATAAATCTTTATAATATTAATCTCAACATTAACTAATTCTCTGTAGGTTTTCTAAAGAGTCGAGACCGGTCTCACCAGAAATTCTATTCATTGATGACAAAAACTCAAATGTTTATCCGGTTCATTGAGGAATGTTCCTTTGTAAGCGACAAGGACGCAAGTCTAGCATTCTTCGACGATTGCGTCGATAAAGTAAGTCATTTTTTNAAAAAAAGACGAGTCTTTTTGTGACTTTTCCAGCTATAGTCGTATTACCTATATGATTACTAATGTTTTCTAATAATCTATTCTACCTCTAAATATGCTTAATTCTCTGGAAAATGAATGACAGGCAGTAATGTCAGTTTAATTTATCTTCACCCTTCTTGAGTGCTATAGTTTTAAGGATCCTGAGCAGTCTATCACTCTTTCCTCCGGACTACTTACAGTGACACATATCATAATGAACCTAAAGCGTTCCTGAAATATGTACAGTTCAGGAAAGGAAGGAAAGCAGCCTTGCAAGTTGATCAAAACTTGCTGCTTCACTGTTCTCTGAACTGGTGATACAAGGTGGTGGCTCCTGTCTGCCATTCAGTAGCAACTCAAATTATTTTGTTTTTTTCAAAAAAGTTTTCTTAAAAGATACAATTGCAATATTAGTCAGTGAGCAATATCATAATATTAAAGCCCTTTTAAATAGGAAAGTCTTAAAACTGATAACATTAAATGTAATAGTGATTTGTACTGCTCCTCGTATCATCCTGGATCTTTATTGAATATATACATTTATCTCATTGGCTTCCTGATTGTTCTTTCTTTGTCAAGCTTTTCTATTCAGAGAGGAATTCTGATAAAGGAATTAAGGTAAGACTGTTAGGGACTTTTGTCTCCTCTTGAACTCTCTAAAGAGTAATACTGAAACATACTCGTTATAATTTTTAGCTAGTCAATGCTTCACTATCTAGCTATTATAGTCATTTATATCCTATTGCATTTTATCACATGATGTCGTATTAGTATCTAGATTTCAATAGTCATAAGGGCAGTCCACTATTAATAAACAAGCAGGTTTGTGTTTCATAAAGAGAAGTAGGCTAACTTTAGAACTGAAAGCCAAGGTCACTAAATCCCACAAGCAGGATCTGTTCTAGAGTAAGCACGGTCTGATAAATAGGTTTCTGCACTTGTTGTTCAATTATACCCTCATGGTTTACTTGGAAATGGTGTAATATTGAGATTTTTATTAGTGAGATTATATAATATGCTATTGTGGATACATCCACATGATTTGAGAGTACCCTTATAAGACATACTCATTTTTCTTAGCTTTGTAAATTTTTTTTAAGAAGACATCTCCTATTTATTGAGAAATTATATTACAATAATATATGTTTTAGCCTATAGAGATCCTCCATTTTCCTTCTCTGCACCTATTTCGGTGTGAACTCGTGTCTCGGTATCCCTGAAGGCTAGTTTGAAGGGTCTAAGCAAGGAAATCATCACTATCAGCTTCACATTTGTCCAGGAATGTTTTCTAGAGTTGCGTGTCTCCAGGTAGACTTCCAGGTCAATCGAAAGCATCAGCTCCCTTTACAATCAATGCATTAGTATTAGAACACACCCAGCCAGTCAGTATATTATTACAGACATTAGCAGTATTACCTCTATATCTGATATTAGGAGTCAGCATCTCTGCATAGTCTATTAGCAGAGAGTATCTCTATATCGTCTGATTATCCATACTGTGCCATATTATTCTGTGTAATAGTTCTATGTAACTGCTTACATAGAAAGGGTGGAGCGGAGATCTGAAAGCAGTACAAAATTAAGGGCATCTTCTTATAGGTATGATGTATATTTTTATAGTACAGAAATAGTAAAGATAGCTCTCTTTAGTTGTTCCTTCTCATTTAATACTATTCACAATCAAAAATCCCAAATAATAAGTAAGTTGGAACTAAACCTTGTGATGTGAACGGCCCAGAGACTTGTATGATGTGGAGGCCTTCGGGTTATTTTCCCTTAAGGGGCACATTACATCCTCCTGCTCAGGACTCGGTTGCACAAATGCTGACTGGTAGAGAGCCAAGTGGTTAAGAAACTTTTGCTAATGGCTTTGTAGCTGCACTAGTAAAATATTAATTTAATTGGATAAGCTGTGCCTGTGAACAGTGCTGAGGTTGCTCTCCATTCAGCTTCCCAAGGAATTTGCAATTTTGCTTCGGGTAAGACAAAGAGCAAAAGTAGGTCGCCTACCATTCTCTGAATGTTGAAGATTATTGGTTAGTGAACTGAGTGACCCGCACTCGTCTCTCACCAATAAAAGCTTCTTAGGTGCCTTTGAAAATGCAATGGTTTCATAAAAATTCCCTCAACTCATAAGCCAACTTTATTCATTAAAGCAGATTTAGTAACCAATCTTGTGTCAATGCTTAAAATAAAGCACCGACCTCACTTTCGAACATCCTGACATGTTTTATAGTCGAGCTTTATTGCATTCCTGACAGCTAATGGACCTTTTATTCTCTTAATGAGATTGTACTGTGTTGGAGCAAAGCCTGTTTTTCAGTGAAGGGGTCAAATGTATCGGAAGGCTTTCATTGCACACAGAACTTGCTGTATTAGACCAGGCTTGAAATTGTGCGCTATTTGCATGATTGAGCCAAATGAGCATTAAATCTGTTTTGTCACTTTGTAAGCATGAACGAATTGAGATGGAATGGCCAGGTTGATATCTGTTTTTATTCCTCTAATTGTCCTTAAGGGATAACATATGTTGTGGCTGCTCAGTTGATGAAAGTGTGTATTGGAATGCAACTATAGAGCTTGACATGTAGGAGATGAGGATCATCTAAATGCAGTAACAATCCTGATATTGTTTTTAAGTAGGAGAAACTTGCCCTACTTAACTTATTATAATTAGTTAATAGCTGAATAATTCTTTCTGTATTTTTACTTTCTCATTCTTCATACACAAAGATAAAAGTATGTTTGGGAGAGATAGTCATACTTCAAAATAAAATAGAAACAAGATGAAATAGGGCAGCTAAATAGTGATGTGATTGCATTGTTTGTTAGAGGAGTCTCTTTTCTGCTTCATGGATTGCTCCCATGCTTCTCCACGTGTCACTGATAGTTGTGGATGCTATTTTGGAGGCAACAGACAGTACAGACACAATCCCAACAAAGGGGAAAAAAGGTACAAAATAATAATTAAAAAAGCACTCATCCATCCAAGGTGATCGATCTACTGTGCTTAAGATTTCATTTCCTGTCACTTGTGGTTATGGTTCTATATAAGGCAGAGTGAAGAATCTGCCTGTGAGCAATGCACAGTGTGACTGATGCTGACATGAGTGATTGTCTTTTGAATTAACTCAGCTGGAAGTGGAGCGCCCAGATGACATGCGACTGATAGAACTGGACGAGTCTCACAGGAGTGAGCACACAGTGTTCATCACACCTCCTGAACTGCCAGCCCTGCCCAATGAAGAGGAGCATCCACTTCAGTACAGGTACCAGAGTGAAGCCTTTGGGAGTGAGATGCCCCTTGTGAATCTTTTGCTTTATTTTGTTGCTCCTCAGTTTATTCTCAAAGTTATAATAAATCTTGACTATAAAATTATGAGGTCTGACCTGTCAAAGGACACATCACCAACAACAAGGATACTAATATACAATATTTTGAAAATAAATTGTAATTTCAAGACTTATTTTAACGATTTTAAGATTTATCTTTTTGCCCCTCTTTCCCCCCTCCCACACACCACTTTGTCTGTCCATCCAGCACATGTTGAATGTTGCACATGTGAAGCACTTTGAGACATCCTCCTGATGTGGAAAGTCTTATGTAAATTGTAATTGTATTTCTGGGTTTGGGTATGTAGCAAAAGAGAATACTTTTGCTGGTGTTGATGCAACTGTAAACAAGCTCTATTAGCTAATGCTTTGTCTAACCTAATTTACGTGGCATTCAACTTCAACTAAGACAGTATTGGTTGCAAATTGTGTTCTATCGATTGTATTTGCAATACGCATGTTTCACTCTTGGTTGTTCTCTATCTGATTTTTTTTCCTCCTTCAGTTACAATGGCTTTCCTGTGCTGACGCCAGAGCTGTTCGACACACCCAAGGGTTTACTTAAGACTCATTCTAGCAACTTATCTTCAAAAAACAGTTGTCCCAGCAGTCCAGCACCAATGGTCAGAAGAACTAAGCAGGTACTTTGTTGCTAATGTGTGCGTTTCAAATATTATCAGAACTTAGAAGAATTAAAATATTATTTAGAATACTTTTAATAATCAGATGTATATACATTTATTGTGATGTGGCCTTTAGATAATATTTGATAAGTAATGTTTTTTATATGTATTTCTATATTCTCTGCATACGTGGGAGTGACATACAACTTAGCAAAACAGTGATTTTAAAATTGGGATTGACTTGTCTACAGTTGTACAACTACCTTTTACGCTGTGTGAGTAGATCTGTTCATCTCAATCATTTTTTTCAAATCCATTACAGGAGATCAAATCAGCTCAGAAAATTGCAAAAAGATATTCGTCAATCCCACAGATGTGGTCAAAATGTCTCCTACGTCACTGCTACGGCCTGTGGTTTATCTGCCTGCCTGCCTACGTGAAGGTTTGCCATTCGAAGGTCAGGGCTCTTCGCACAGCTTATGATGTACTGAGAAAGATGCAGGTCAAGAAGCTTGAGCCACCAGACGAGGTATCCAATCTGCTCACAATCAGGATTGTAGCTCTGTGAAGCCTTTAGTATGAGTCGGTGGTTGAGTGGGAAGAAAAGAAGTCCTGTTTAAAAAAAAATCATTTAAGCATCATTTAATAGTAAACTACTTCATGCTCACCTTTTGTTTCATCTAATATGTAACAAAGGAAATTCCAGTTTTAGTTTTTTTTTGTACCTTAACAATAGTGGAAATTTCCCAAACACATTTACTGCAGAAGGTTACATTTACTGCATTTAATATACATGAGTAGCAAAGCGTAGCCCCTCACTCAAAGAAAATTCAGCATCCTACATTGTACTTTATTTTTTATTTATGGAGATGTCATTTCAGATCTCCATTCTCCTCCCAAGTTGTGTGTGGCATATTGTATTCCAAGTTATTTAATTCAGGCATTTTGTTCAATGTGAATCTTATTTTCCTGAAGAATGTCTTGTTAACAGAAGGAATGTTTTCTTCCCCAGGTGTGTTACCGGGTTCTAATGCAGTTGTGTGGACAATATGGGCAGCCAGTGCTGGCTGTCCGGGTTTTATTTGAGATGAAGAAAGCTGGGGTTCACCCCAATGCTATTACATATGGGTACTATAACAAGGTAAGAGTCTGCAAATGCTGGAAGTGGAGCATCAGAATGTAATGTACTTTATTTTGCTAATGCTGCCAACTATTATTTGATAGTTAATACTATCCACTATTAATAATAATCCTGGGTGATACACATATTGTTTCTCTTGCCTGTCCAACTAATATTGAAATAACCTTTGTGCGTTTGATGTCACCAAACTCAGTTTTAATGAGTCGCCTATGAACTGTGTTTTGTAGTTTGTATGTATTATTTGGCTGGTTGGTTGATGGAGCTTCTCATTGTGTTTTGCAGGCAGTTTTGGAGAGCACGTGGCCATCAAGCAACGGAGGCGGATACTTTCTGTGGATGAAAATAAGGAATGTTCTGCTTGCGACAGCTCAATTTCGAAAAGCTTTGAAAAAACTTCCATCAAACCCACCACAGACCCCTGTACTCTCGGGTATGACAAATTTGGGTTAAAGCATTGTGTGCCAGTTAGAAACGTCCTTCTGTAATACATGTTTATTTAACCGTCCAACATTGATAATCTTGCTCATTTAGCATAGGGAATGCATCCCTTCGATTAATTAAGTAGGGCTTTATAAACCAATAACATAAGAAATGCTAGACGAAAAACGATTAAGGTCCATCTAGTTCACCTTCTACCTTCCTGGCAGTCACATGCACATATGTCCTCAATTACTTATGTACTGTATCACATAATGTTATATCCTAAAAGAAAACTAATCTGTGTTTGCAAGAATCAACACTTTCTGCTTCAACCATCTCCTTAGGGAGCTTGTTCCATACGTTCACTATTCGCTCACTGAAATAGTGTTTGCGTAGATTCGTTCTGAATTTACCCCCCTTCAGTCACAGGCCGTGTCCTCTGGTTTTACTATTCTGGACAACTTGAAACAGCCTGTCATGATCTATATTCTCTTTCCCCTTTAGAATCTTAAAGACAGCAATCGTGTCACCTCTCAATCTTTTCCAGCGTGAACATACCCAATTTACTTGATCGCTTCTCATAGTCCGGTCCCTCCATTCCTTCAATCATTTTGGTTGCCCTCCTCTGTATTTTCTCGATTTCTTCAATATCCGTTTGTAGTCCTGCGACCAGAACTGTACACACAGTCTCTAAGTATGGTCTCACCAATGATTTATGCAGTGGCAGGATTACCTCAGTATTTTAGCTTGCTTTTGATCTTTCGATACATCCTAACATCTGGTTTGCTTTACTCACTGCCATAGAGCATTGTTGGGAGAGCTTCAATTTATTGGCAATCAGAACCCCAGGTCCTTTTCATTTTCCATACATATTATTTTCCTTCCGTTCAAATAATAGTTCGAATAATAGTCCCTTCTAGGATTTTTTGTCCCCATGAGAAGTACTTTACATTTCTCCACATTGAATTTCATCTGCCACTGATCTGCCTAATTCCCAAGTACGTTCAAATCCTCCTGTAACCGATCTTGTTCAGCTTTGCAATCTACCACATTTATTAGCTTAGTGTCATCTGCAAACTTAGCCACTGTGCTTGCGACTCCTAGTTCCAAATCATAGAATACCTCAAAGAATAATTCAGATTGAGCTTTCCTTTGTGAGTGTTTTGGTTCTTGGTTTTAATTTTGAGTTAATTTGATACAAGGTTGCAGTAAATCAAAATCTTTTATTTCAAAAAGAGCTCTTATTGATCAACACTCCTTTAAAATCGATTTTGGTTAATGATAGTTGTATTAATGTTTTCTGTTCTCTAAGCAGATGGCAGTGACCTGGACGCCGTCAGCCACGGCAGCATGGATAGTTCTAATGACACTAACACTGTGGAACAACCCCAATTCAGCTCTGAGCTGATGAAAGTAGATTCCACTGATGATAGATCTAGTACAGGTACATTTAAGAGATGTCACCAATATCTGTCCACTCAAATTTCTCTCTTTTATTTATTCATTCTTCTTGCTTTCCCTGTGCAATTATCTGCTTGCTGCCATTTTGTCTGTTGTCTTTGCTTTCCTAAATAACCTTGCTTGTTGTGACCATGTCTTACCTTCCAAATGTTCTTTTCCTATCTGTTGCATCTTCCCTTCGCTTCCCCCCCCCCCACCCCCCACTCCATGTTTACTTTCTGCACACAGCTAGGCTTGGTTCTAGCTATGGATATGACAGCCCAGAATTCTGGTACGAAAGATTCCCATATCACACTCTATGGATTTCCCCAGAATTGCAAGATGCCCGTGGGTTTTCAGGTAATTGTACCCTGTCTGTCCAATCTCTTTTCTTGACTTTTTTTCTATTTCTGTTTCTCTTCAACCATTTCTCATAAACTTATTTTCTTTAATTCTGCTATCTGTTTTAAAGACAAGCTGTGTCTAAAAGTGTAGAAAAGTCCTGTTTTTTGTTATAAAGCAATTTGTCAAAATTTTCATTTTGTATCCGTGTCAAATCAGTACAAAATCACTCAATTAGTTGGAATAGAATTTTTCTAATGGTGAACTTTAGCCATTAAGGTGGGATTTTCGCTGAGGTGGCTGCCCATGTGGCTTTGGAAAGAGACCCAAGAGGCATACAAATTATCTGAAGTGATTTTCCCTGTTTTTTCCTTTCCTATCCAAGTATGTCATCTCTGCTTGTCAGATTCCACTTGATCAGGAATTCACCCAGTGGCCTTCACAGCATGAACTAGTTAAAAGATCATGCACAGAGTTTTTAAATTCAGTCCATAGAATGATATATCAAGTAATGAGTTACTTTGAAATGTTATACAGGTAAATGTAGCTGATAATCTACAAAAGTAACACCTCACACACAACAATGAGATGAACAACTGACCTGTGTTGTTAAAACAGATTTGGATGAGGAAGAAATATTGGCCAGAACAAGAGAACTAACTCACTGTCTAGTGTTTTCCAAATAGTATAACATTCATATAAACCAAAAGAGAAGGCAGACGAGATCTGAAAGACAGCTCTTCAGTAGTTCAATCGTTCATTGACATGTCCTTTGATGATGCTGTACTGCATTGGAGTACACTTCAGTAACACAATACTGCATTGGAGTGTCAGCCTGGACAAATCACCTAGGCTGATCATGGACACTTTCTAGTTGATGGTTCAAGAAAAAAGTTGGCAACTCCATAGGAACAACTTGGGTTCTTGTCCTATTGCTTAAGGGGTGATTTATGGGACAGAATTGGAGAGGGACTTATTAAAAAAAACTTGATTGTTTTACACAGCAAATTTTGCAGTGCTTGGAAGTGATCTGGGATGGTGGAGTGTGAGTGTTGAATGCCAATGAGATAAAATGTATAAAAGTGCCTGCTGTAAGAGGGATTTTAATCAATATAATATGTTATTTCATCTTAGAAATTAATTTGAGGAAACATTTGCTCAGTATCTAGGATTACATTATTTCATGTGGCGAATTATTTTGAAGGTTTTGGCCAAGCCCCAACCAATATTTAAAACCTCTCAAGTTACACTATTTCTCAGCTGGCCCTGAGTTTGCAGATTGGAAAACTTCATCCAGAGGAAAGGAGGAACATCTGGCTCTTCCATGTAAACCATTCCTCCTATTGTTTGATGGCAGCCAAGAAAAGGTCAGCTGGCCACACTGCACATCATATTGCTCTCCATAGGAAATAGGGTGGAGTTGTTCCAAAGGGTGAGGTTTTTAAATGGAAAACATGTGAAATAAGGGAAATAGCTTTACTAACTAGCTTTACTTTCTATACAGGGATATTTTTTTGTGGCTTAAAATGCCCTTTTATTTTGTTTCCACTCTTAAGGTGGTCAATCTGATCTTGGTTACAACTCCTTATCGAAAGAGGAAGTTAGACGAGGAGAAGTGTCTTCAGGCCTTGAACCCGAGCAGTCTGCTACAGACAAACCTGTGGACAAGGATTACAAGAAAGGCAGTGACTCCAGTTCATGTATGTTTTCTCCTTTCTTACCACCTACTAGGCTCCTTTTGCACAACTTTAAAGAGCATCTCACAACATGACTTATTTTAACAGCTGCAACAATTCAAGATAATGGGGATAAAGGAAATAAAAATAGAAAAGCAGATTATTTTATAGAGGGTGAGAGACTGTTAGTGTTCAGAGGGATTTGGGTGTCCTTGTACACCAGTCACAAAAAGTTAGTATGCAGGTACAGAAAGCAACTAGGAAGGCTAATGTCATGATGGCGTTCGTTGCAAAAGGTTTAGAGTACAAGAGTAGGGAAGTCTTGCTGCAGTTGTATAAGGCCTTGGTGAGACCGCACCTACAACAACAACAAGATTACATTTGTATAGCGCCTTTCACTTCGGGAGGACATCCCAGAATATTGTGTGCAGAATATTGTGTGCAGTTTTAGTCTACTTATTTAAGAAAGGACATACTCGCCTTAGAGGGGGTGCAGCGTAGATTCACTAGGTTGGTTCCTGGAATGAGGGGGTTGACCTATGAGGAGAGGTTGAGTAAACTAGGCCTATACTCTCTAGAATATAGAAGAATTAGAGGCGATCTTATAGAAACCTATAAGATTCTTAAGGTCTTGACAGGGTACATGGCGTGAGACTGTTTCCCCTGGTTGGAGAATCAAAAACTAGGGGTCATAGTCTCAAGATTAAGGTTCAGCCTTTTCGAACTGAGTTGAGGAAAAAAAAATTCACTCAGAGGGTGGTGAATTTGTGGAATTCTCTACCCCAGAAGGCTGTAGATGCTCAGTTGTTGAACATATTCAAGACTGAGGTTGATAGATTTCTAAAGGATAGAGGGATTAAGGGATATGGGGATAGGGTGGGTAAATGGAATTAGGTTAGAAGATCAGCCATGATCTTATTAAATTGTGGGGCAGGCTCGAGGGGTGAATGTCCTGCTCCTAAGTCTTATGGAACACTTGTTTATGATCCAGTTGTAATGGTGCAACCAGCTAGGGAATTCTTACAGTGTTTATTTCCTGCATATGAACAGAGTAATGCACTTGTCAGTGCTAGGAAATGTGTAAAGACCATTCCTTAAGAAGTGAATGGTGCATCATAAAATGTTGGAATACTCAAAAGTGCGCATCTGGTGCAGTAGCGGGAGATGATCTGTTTTGTGTCCTCCATGTGCAAATATTGCTGTAAAAAAAATAAAAGTTGAAATAATGGTTGATTAACTGGGAAAAATCAGAAAAAATAAATCCATTTCAACCAACCAGCCTTACAAATAATGCATACCCAGGCAATTACAAGGTTGTGATTCAGGTGACATGGAAATAAAGACAGAAGCAGTTACCTGGGAGCGAAAGTCAGTTGGCTTTAATATGTAGATATTTCTAAATAAGGAATCCATGAGGTTACTCATTCTTAACTGGAAGATCAAAAATGATTCCAAACTATAGATTATTCTCATCTATTTGGGTTTAATTTTATGCAATGAATTTCATTTCTGGTACTGACGTCAAGGTCTTGTATGGTTGCCAGTTTGTCTCATAGTCACAAAAGGATTAACAGCATTCTAGTCATTACTCCAGATCTGCAATTGACCATTGAAGAAATGTGTTGTATTATGTACTATTCCACAATTAATTGGCCATTGTTCTATTTCTTACATTGCTCGCAGTGTCTGAGAGTGAAAGTGCAAAGAGCAGTGGCGAATGTCTGTCTCAGCTGGATTTCAAGGAACTACAAGTAATTTAAAGTCTGTGACCAGCATTGTAAAGATGAACTGCAGCTTTGACACCACAAAAACAAGGCAGAGCCCTGAGGAAAACAATGGTGCGTGATCCAGTACTGTCTTTATATGTGGGCAATATGTCACACTTCAAAATGAACGTTCTATGATTATAAATTTCTATAAATTTGATCATTACAAAGTTGTACAACATGAAAATGGGTCATTCGGTTCACCTAGTCCATGCCAGTTTATACCTCATGTGACCACCCACCCCTCCACCTCTCCTATTCCCCTTCACCTGTCCCCCCCCATTCCCTTTGCCCTTGGTTTTCTCTGAAATGCATTGATTCGATTTGCTTCAACCACAGTAAGTTTTACTGTGTGAATTCCTCCTAAACTGTGTGAGTTCCTCCTAAACTCCCTTTTAGATCTATAATTGAGTGCTTGATGAACAAAGGTTAATTGTTTGGGTTATGAGTTCTTGTAAATTCTAGATCATCTAGATCATACTAAATTTAATTCAAATCTATTTGACTTTTGTCTAAAGTCAATACAAAAATGTAATGTGCATTTTCTTCATGGGAGATTGATGTAAAGGTAGGAATTTAAGGAAATGTATTCACTGAAATGTATCTCCCTTTGCGATGGTTTATATGAATACATTTTGAACAAGGTTGAGAGTTAACTGCAGATATTCAATGTTTGATTCACAGAAAATGTGGCAGGACTGCTGTTCACAGCATCCTTTGATGATGCCGGGTATCCAGAACCTGGGCTGGTTCAGAGCAACAGTTTACGCAGGAGGAACAAGAGTGCTGTGGAGCCTGGGCTGAAAGAGCAAATGGTGTGGAGAGACCGTAATCGGCATCTTAGTGGTGGTGGTTTGTTGGGGCTTATGATGAAGGGGAGAAGTGTAGATCCTGACCCCGCTGAAATAGCAGAAAAATTGGGCGCTGATGCCAAAATACTTTCAACGGCTTTACATATTGCTACAAGACCCAAAACTCTAGACATTGGCAGGCCCAGGCATAGCCCAGAGCAGGGCAGTGACAGTCTGGAGAAGGAGCTGAGTGATGAAGACACACCGTATGAAGGAGATGAAACTTTGAACATCGAGGAGAATAAAACAGACTCAGCGGCCATATTTGACTTGGAGGATTTAGATCCTGAACCCGATACTGTGGAGTCCCGTGTAAAACCTTGTCACAAAACAAGACGAGGACCGCTGCCCAAACGCTTACAGAGGAGTCTGAGTGCTGGAGTCGGGGTCAGACCAGCAGAAAGAAGGGGTGTTGAAGCAGGGTTTGATCCTCTCTCGCTTCTGGTCGCAGAAACTGATCATGAGAAGGAGGAGGAGGAAGAGGAAGAAGACTATGACAAATGTCCTTCAACTCCTTCAGCTCGGAGAGACTTGGCTGAAGAAATCGAGATGTACATGAATTCTATGAGCAGCCCTTTGAGTAGCCGTACTCCTAGCCTGGACTTCTCAAGACAGGATGAGGATGATCGGATAAACCCATCCAATGTTAAATACCTGCCCGTTGTAAAGGAATCCAGAAGATCAAGCCTCTCTAGCCTCCCAGCTAGCTCGCCCAGAGCAGTAGGAATCTCCCGATCCAGGACGTTTCAACCACATGCAAAGGGAGATGTGAATACAAAGAAAAGGGACAGGCTATGGTCCTCGCCATCGTTTTCTCCAGGTAGCAGCAGAAGGATTAGTGCCCAGGAGCCGAGTGCAGCTTTGACCCTAATGTCTCCATCTTCTTTCAAGCTGGACTCATTGCTACCACCTACCTTTGACATGCTCAAACACAGCATGTTTTCTGCTGGAAAGGGCGTGGCAGAAAAGGCTAGCAAGTGGTGCACCAAGTTCGCTACATATGCCACACCCATCAAAGATGGCAAGGTAGGATTCTGCCAAGCAGTTTCTGCAGATTAAACCTTATGAGAATGTTGTCAATTGTTCTGCAGCATTTCATTCCAAATTGTGTGATAGGATTGGAAGAGCATTTCAGCTATGACTGTCTGCAGTAACCCAATGCCATCACAAAAGATTGCATCAAAATAAACTAGGCACGGAAACGCTCAACCCCTTTTATAATGAGACTAATATACACAGCAAAGAAAACTCTGTGTTTAAGTTGATATTTATTAATCACACAAGCTGTACTCGTGATGTGTTCCTGCTGTGCAATATATTCCAGTTGGTATATGTTACATGTAGGAAATTAGATAATTTGCTTTTAATCTGCTGCTGGGAGGGAAGGCAACAAGTAATATTTACTGCAAAGCCAATGTTTTATTTTCAGAATTTTTAAGAAAAATATAACTTGAATTTATTAGAATATTATTCCAGTAGCTGACAGTTTTGCTCAGAAAATCATCATTGTTTCAAACTATTATTATATTTTACATCCTGTCATATGCTACATAGTTCTGTGTATTTTGTTTCATACCTCCAGAGCAGGAGCAGAGTTATTTGTATTCACATTTTACCATAAGGCCAGCCTTATGAGGAGAGAAAGCAACTAAGCAGCTAATCGTAAAACTTTTAAGTGCACAGGAATGATACATATTGTATGAACAAACTGAAATTGTTTTAACCTTTAGTTTGCCTTCATATTTTAGGATCGTAACTCAGATCGGAATAGTATTTCCTCATTTGGGGGACTGGATATTGATGGATCTTCTTTAGGAGATGAAGAGGTGTACAATGAATCTGAAAGAATGGCTTCACCCCAGGCAGGTGGCTTGCCTATAGGTGAGAGCAGGAGGCTGGGAGCGAGACACGGAAGTTTAGAAAGTCCTGGCAATCCAGAAGCGCCATCAAAACATCCATTTCAAATTGGTAAGGGTTACTAGGACACACGATGCATACACCATGCAGAATTGATATCTAAGCAAGGATGATATATTTAAAATAAACTTCTGAAATGGGAATTTAAAAGCAATTGCCAACCCCTCTGTTTTATGTGCAGGAAGCGTTCATTCAACAAATTCCAACTTCCCATTACCGGACAAGTCGGAATTAGGCTCGTCTCAATACACAAGCAACACTAGCATATTCCAGAATTATGCCATGGAGGTAATCAGCGTCTCTTGTGCAGCGATCTCAACTCTCATACATAAAGCCATTCCTTGATTTGTTAATCTAGAATAACATGGATAGAATTTCACTTTTTAACACACAGCCTTCAGTGATCTTATCAAAATTCAGATATATTCATTGTGCTCCTTTGTACTGTTCGGTTGGGTGTGGGAATTATTTTGATAAATAAAACTGATAACACGACCACATCTCTTCCATTAATATTCTACTCTAATGAATTTAATTCCATTAAATTGCTAGTGTTTGGTGTTGAAAATCCTTTGATTACTTTTTTTNATAAAGTTTCCTTTTTAAATGAAGAAAGTCGTTATCATGTTATTTGCAGATCCTTATCTCCAGCTGTTCCCGATGTCGAACGTGTGAATCACTGGTGTATGATGAGGAGATCATGGCTGGCTGGACAGCAGATGACTCTAACCTCAACACAACCTGTCCATTCTGTGGCAATTTATTCCTGCCTTTCCTCAGTGTTGAAATTCATGACCTGCGAGGACCTGGCAGGTAATTTTTCCTTTGGACACAGTTATCATATTCATAATATGAATGGAAAAAATATATTACCCTGTGGTTTTATTTTCCCTAAGAATTGTTTCACCATTTTCCCATTGGAAAAGTATCCATCGTATTTTACTTTGCTATGTTACTACTATGTGGTCTTTTTTCCACTTTCAGGTCTTTACTGCAATGTTAGCTGCTTTGTACTATTTGGAACCAGGGATCCTTAGCTTACCAACCATTTAATGGTTCCTAGAACCATTTAATCCATTGTGTTGGTATTCTGACAACTGTTTTTTGTAAATTTCAGAAAATGAATTCATAAAAGTCTTACTTAAAGAATAACTCCACATAGTTTAGTTTAAACACGATTTTTCATATCTGTAGTTTGAAATGTTGCTTGTTTTTATCTGAAACATAGCAGATCTGTTGTCATATTATAAACAGTTGTAGCTGATTGCATCCCTTTAAGGAAAACAACATATATTTCTCCTATATATAAAATCTCTTTTAGATACTTTCTGAAGTCCAGTCCATCTGCTGAAAGTATGCAGAGTTTGTATTCTATGCCGAGCTGTCCTGGGACCAAGACGTCTGTGGTTTCCCCACCTGGTCCAGATCTGACTGATGTCAGCAAGCCTCAGTCTCCCACCATTACTGTGCATGAAGCTCCAGATCTGCAAAGGTAATTGTCAGTAGCACAAACTGGGTAGAGGATAGCAGGTTATATGGACATCCTCAGCCGAGAGAACAAAGCACTTGAAACAAATCATGACATAATTTGCAGCCGAGAGCCCAGATTTAGGATTGTATCACCAATTAACATTCATCCAATGCCTTTACTGGTCCACACATTGGTTGGTCCCAGACATTTTGCTTCAGGTTGGATTATCTACATAAACTGGTGGTGAGCGCCATCAGGCGGTCCAGTGAGGTGGGTACAACCATAATTTATGGGGAAATTAAACTGGAAGGAATACATTTCTCCCTGAATGGCAGTTTTCTGGTTTTAATGTTTATTGCACTAAATACACAGACGGTGTCAAGAGGCAGGAATACATTTCAGATGGCTACGTGCATTTGTGTACAATATATATTCCATTGTGACTTTTCTGTTCTTGTTGATATAAAACTGCTCTGGTGAATGATTTAAGCGGCTGTGGAACAAGATTTTTTACAGATTGACTATTTCTAGAAGTTCCAATCTTAAGAATTTCCGTTAAAAATTGATTTAGACTTTTGTCGGCATTTAAACTTCTTTCAAAATGTTATAGAATTTTTTGTCCAAATATATTGAATGAAAGTCTGCTTCCTACTGCTAGAAATGCCCAACCATCATCTGCCAGGAGCATTCAGATCCCTTCAGATAGACGGCGTGGGGTCAGCGAGTGCATTGCTGTGGGACACCCAATTGCAAGGAGCATCAGTACGTGTGGTTCTATGATTGAGAACACTTACATCCAGAGACATGTCCATGCTGTTCCAACAGGGAGCCTCCCATCTAACCTCAATGACACAACGGTGTGTGGTACAACTCATTGGGAGTGTGTGTGTTAGAGGGGAGTGGGGAGGGTAAACTATTCAAAATTCAGTGTAGAATTTGGCAATACACATTTTTGGATTCTTTGATACTAAATGGCTTTTCTATAATACAGGACCTCTGGGGTTTTAGAGTTCATTAATTTTAAGAATACTGTACTTATTCTTTTTTAAGTCAAGTCATTTCAGTTATTATTGGGACAACATAACATAAAACATAAAAGTATCCTTTGCTTTAAGAGCTGAATGTAATTTATGGGATAATGGTGTGATGCTTTTTCTAGGATCCATTGGGCTTGGAATGGCAGCTGTCTAATCCTGATCCTATCACAGTTCCATACTTGAGCCCCTTAGTGCTGTGGAAGGAGTTGGAAAGTTTGCTTGAAAATGAGGGTGATCAGGTGATGTCTATGGCCAATTTTGTAGACCACCATCCAATTGTATTCTGGAACCTAGTCTGGTACTTCCGACGCATTGATCTACCCACCAACTTGCCAGGACTCATACTAACGTCAGAGCACTGCAACAAAGGAGTGACGGTAAGCTAAAAGGCAGCTTAATAAGTGACACCAAATAACTGCAGAATGGAAAGGAGACCAAGCTGACAAGTGATCAGCTGAGAAACACCTTTTTCATCTAATTTCTTACATTTGTTGGGAAATAAAAGCCACATCACATGGAACTACACAAGTGACTGTGCATTTGTAGGCAAACATCAATCATCCCATTCATTGGACACCAAAGGATTATGTAATGATCTTTAGGATATTTTTGTGCCAAAGTTTTACATCATTGTAACTTCAGAACAAAATTAAATGTAGGATCCTCTTCAAGTAAACTGCTAATTGTGCCCAGCTAGGCCTGCCATTAAATTGTCTTTGATACAGTGATTGCGATGTATTCATGAATTATATTACTACTGTATTGTGTAGATCCCTCGGAGCTGGATGTCAGAAGATAGTAAGCACGTTTTAATTCAGATGCTATGGGACAATCTGAAGCTACATCAAGATCCTGGCCAACCATTCTACATCCTCTGGAACGCTAAGAGTAAGTTGAAATTCATGCTTAGCAAATTTGACTGACTAATCATAAGCATTGAGTCAATAAACACAAACGTATTATTCCAGTAAAGACGTAAATATATTATAACCAGTTGTCATCGATGGCTTCACAGCGATGAGATGGAGGATGGTAAATGCTCCATTAATTTTCATTTCCCTATCATGTATCTTTTACTTGGCTGCCTTGAAGCTGGGAGATCAATGTTACAAGTGGTTGAGAAGAGTATTGACATTTTATTGCTGAGAAATGTTGAGAAATTATAATTTGGAGAAAAAGTCGCACATACATACACATAGAAAGAACAAATAATTGAATCCATGTAATATGCAGTTCAACTGAGAAAATAGGCTCAAAAACAGAATTAGCTGTGGATTGGGAATCGGTCTACATACCTTTGCAGTTAGGCAATAATATCTGGTATTATTCATTAAAAGATGAGAGGAAAAAACAAGTATTTAATGGAGAAAAGCTAGTCTGAACAGATTATGGGCAGGTTATTACTGTGTGAAACCAGTTTCTTTCCAAATGCAGCCTAACAGTACTCTTTCTGTTTTACAGGTCTTAATTACACTCTTTTGTTTGAGAGTGAGTGTTGAATTTGTTCTTCATATGTTGCCAGCACTAGATCCATTTAATAGTTAAAATCAGCAAATGTCATCATTAATTCTGATTAAATGCCTGCAAAAGAATTCTTTCTTTTCACAGTAATCTCAGTTTTTCATTCATATTTCATGATCACATCTGTGTCACTGTTTACATGTGTGCTTCTCGTGTCCTCACAATCCAAGCTTTTAAACTACACAAATTTGCCAGAAATGTAGCATGGCTTAATAGATCAGATATCAATGTATAAAATCACCCACCTGCAAAATAAATTTGTGAAAATACAACTTTTGTTAGGCCCACTGTTCAATATCATAGTTTTGGTAATAGTTTCATGTACTTTGTGAGCTTAGTGATGGAAAACGTATTTCTGGGCAGTTAATGCAAAATATATATTTGATATTGATTTTGAAGATTTAGGAGTGGGGTTGGAAGAGAAACAATTTGGGTAGAATTTAATTATTTCAAATAAGGTCCAGCTTTCCAACCATTCTCTAGTCTAGAGGCAATGGAAATAGATGGTGTGAGGCATGAATGTTACTGATAAGGCCCGATCTGCTGTGTCGGAACAATTATTGTTGGAATAAAACATACTTGTTTCATAACTTGCTACAAAATTCAGTTTTATATTTCATACAGTAATATGAGGTGTATTTTTGTACTTGCAGCTAAGAAACATCCCCTTGTTCACACCCTACGAAACAAAAGAGAGTTATTTACCAAGGACTTCCTTGACAGTGTTGTGAAGAGTATTCAGATGAACGATATCTACAGGCCTGTGAGTCAGCTTCTGGAAGTGCCGAGCACCCAACCCAACGCAAAGAGGCAAAGGTAAGCACGCCCTTGCTTGTACACCTTGTGGCTTTCTTAATGAACTTAGAAAGCTCAGATCTTCAGAATATAACTGTTCAGCGTAACTTGTAGGTTTAGTGTTCGAGTGGGCGAATTAGTAATACAATTCAGTTAAATCAGACGTCCATATGCTACCATAGATATCTGAATCATTTCTCTTTAGTTTTTTTTAAAACAATGTTCTTTACTTGAAGGAGTTTGTACAGAGAGATTTTGTTCCTCTCGCTTGTGGCACTTGGGAAGGATAACATCGATATAGGTAAGACTTTTTGGAATGTTTTAAAAGATTGCTCGCAAAAAATAAAGTACTGTTAAGTTCAAAATGAAAGAATTGCAGATACTAGAAATCTGCAATAAAAACATTTTTTATCTCCCCCTGGCTCGTTGTCAGACTCCGCCACTGTGAAGCGCTCTGGGAAGCTACTCTGCATGAAGGATGCTATATAAATGCAAGTTGTTGCTGTTATTATTATACAACCTTCCTGCTTTTTATCTTCTGCATTTTAAACAGATGCATTTGACCGCGAGTACAAGATGGCATATGATCGACTTACCCCCAGGCAGGTGAAGCTCACCCAGAATTGTGATCGCCCACCCAGCTCTGGAGTAATGGAGTGCCGGAAGACCTTTGGTGAACCCTACCTCTGAGAACCTCACTGTCGCAGTGCTCATTGTGTATTGAGAGCCCCCAATGTCTGACCCCATAACATTAATTCGATAAATCAGCCTTGATAGCTTAGAAACCTTTAAGAAGATCAAACACAGGGATTGTACAGCAAAACGTGTTAAAATTAGAAAATATGTAAATATTATTAAAGGGATATTTTAAATAGTTTTTGTATCATGTAGTGTAGGTTAACAAAAAGACTGCATAGACTATAGAGAGCTCAGCTCTTCAGAATATGCTGCTATTGTATACATAATGGTCCCAGGGTACCATTGTATCCTGTCAAGTCTGTTACCCATGTGTTTCTTTTTAGAAGTACTTCCGATCTGAATTGTAAAAAATGTTCATAGAGGGATATACGTAGCTGGCACTTTGTGTAAAAGTGACATGTTTTTCACATAAAAAGTACTTTTCAGTATTTGTAAATTAAATAAGTAAATCTTTTGATGCTATCTATCTTTATAATTATATACAATCCAGCTTCGAAGTATGCTTGAGATATATATATATATATATATATATATATCTCATGTGGTGCAATATGTTCTTTTTAGAAGTTGCTCTGCATTGTTTTGTGGTACCCTAGTCATTTTGATTATAGAGAGGCATGATACATCACATTAGACTTCTTGTCCTGAAAGGAATTTCCAAACAGAAAAGGCAACTGAGGCAAAAGAGGCCCAAGTTCTGGTATTGTTTGTTGTGGCCTTGAGGGTTCAACGGAATTGTTTGATTAAGAAATTATGTACAAGTAATACGTTGATTGAGATCAGAGAAATAATGTGTGTAGATTCTCAATTTTTTTTATTTCTCAGAATTAAAGTTTCCTATGGGAAAGTGGAATTGTTTTTATTAGCATATTAAATAGCACTTTTTGAATTCTATGCCTCTGTTGCATTTTTTAATATTAATTACCAAAACGTGAACTGTATTTCCCGTTGACGTTTGTTTGCAAATGAATATTTCATAGTACAATATAACTTGAATGTATTTCATGCTCCATTTCTAATGTAAACAGCACCTGGTTTTGTGAGTATTGAATCCATGTTTTCAATATTTAAAAGTTACAGAAAACAAACAGCCTGATATTCTATCAGTTCTCCTTTAATTTAGATGACATTTTTCCCAACATAAAAATACATTCAAGACTATCAATGCAGTTGAAAAATCTTAATCTTTCAGTAAAATGCAGGGAATTTTTAGGATTTATAAAACCAAAGTCAAAATGAAAAAAGTTAACTAAAATATGTTTTATTTTTATCCTGAAGTAAATTTATACAGTATCAAGCCAGTATGGGCAGGATACTGAATTCTACATAGCTAGGCTATTTAACCAAAGAGTAACCTAGAAATGGGGAGTAATAATAATAATAATCCTTACATTTGATATGGTGCCTTATCACGTCGCTGAGACGTCTCAAAGCGCTTCACTGAATATACTGTAAGTAATAAAATCTTAACATCTCTGTGTGGGACGTCAAAGAGATAATCAAGTGTTCTGCAACAACGCAATTTAATATTGAGAGTGCTTTTGTCACATACCATACAACAGGATGTAGTACTAAATAACAATGCAATTTGTTCAGACCATTTACAGCCATTTAAAGTTAATCCTTAACTTTACAAATATAGATTTAAAAAATACAGCTGATGTCATCTTTACAACATGAAAACTCCATATGGGGTGAAATTGGGATCCTATATTGCCACTAATTTCAACTCCAATGGTAAAATCGTGATTTTTGAGGGGGTGGGGGGCGGTGGTAGAATAGTGAAATTAAAACGAAATGTTATCTTCACCGAGGTGAATGACATTCTTGGGAATATTTTATTCACTTTTGGCACTTAATGTCAGAATGGTTATTTTGGGAGGATTTCTGTACCACAGATACAGACCTAGGAACTATCAGATCAGGTCAGTTTGTTCCTATGGTTGGAAAATACAACTTCACATGATTTAAAATATGTTAGTTATTTGGATGTCAAAATCGCAATACTTTTTCCTAAGCATTCAGACAGATATCTATTGATTCACAAAAAATTACCAAACGGAGCAAAATAGACATTGGGCCATATGAGTGAATTCACTCCTTTGAGTTCATGAAGTAGAAACACACCCAAATACCTTTCCTGTTTTCTGTTAAAATTATGTTTATATTGTGGGGAAGAATCCACAACTATATGAATTATCCATGTTGTGTTTGAAGGAGCACGTTCAATTGTTTGAGTGGCCTCTTTCTCATTCCATATATTACCTTTTTTTTAAAAAAAAACTCATCATTACAAAGCATACGTGTGAGGTTATTATATTATTTAACATTTTTTTTTAGAACTACAGTATTAGTCCATATCCATGGGACGGCCTGCTTTGTGAAACCTTTAATGAAAAATAACACAACCCCTTTAAATCATGTCATTCGCTTGTACACGAATGGTTTCCATATAAACAATCAACACCCATTAATTTGGGTCAGAATGCTTATGCTTTTGTCATAAGACCATCAGCAATTATGATAAATTGTTGGTACAGATGAACTTTATGTGTTGGGATGTTTCCTTCAGTTTTTTGTCGTTGTAGCAAACCCAATCCTTCACAGTGTCCTCTGAAATGTCGGGGTAGAAAGTCAGAGTTCATATGGACACCGGGCACACTATAAACCTGTCTTCGAGCAACACACTGATGATTAAAAACACAAAGTACAGGCCAAACATGGTAAAGCCCAGGAACTTGTTCATTTTCCACTTGGACAGGCCTATAGACATGATTACAAACAGCAGCATCAGGAACAGCAGGACAATAGCACAGAACAAGCCATTGCTACTCACGGCAACCGGCTGGAATGAGTTAAATGAGGTGAACAATAGCCAGGGAATCGGAAGCCTGTAGGTTGGAAGAGAAAGAAGAAACAATATTAAATGATGTGGTTTTGTGGGTTGTGTTCATGCTGTGTATTTACGGCAATAATATTAATAATACTTGCATTTGATATTGTCACGTTGAGATGTTTCAAAGCGCTTCACAAGATATACTGTAAAGTGGATTGATTGTGTAGTATGTGGGTGAAATACACAGTCGCACACAGCATTGTTCCACAAACAGCCATGGAGGGAATGACAAATTTTATTTGGGGGATTGTTGTCAGGACACCGGGGGAGAGACGCTCCTCTTTTCAAATAGTGCCATGGGATCTTAAACACCCACCTGAACAGGCAGAGAGGACCTCGGTTTAACATCTCATCCGAAGGAGTGTGTGTGTGTGTGTGTGTGTGCTCTCAGTTGTATGGATGGAAATGTTGAGTTAGACAGGCTTCCAGCAGAGGTTGATTAGACATGACTTTGCATTTGCATAGCGCCTGCGCTTACTTCTCTATCACAATCTATCCAGAATGCCATCTGCTTAACAGTGGAGGTGCTCAGAGCTCAGAGCCGCTACCCGCATAAAGGGTGCTATATAAATGCAAATTGTTATCAACGAGCATTGAAAGTATTACTTTAGCGCAGAATAAACATTATTGCTCACCCCACGGTGATGTCAAATATGTTGCTTCCCACTGAGCTCGAGACAGCCATGTCACCCAGACCTTTACGGGCCACGATGACACTGGTGATCAGGTCAGGGATTGAGGTTCCAGCAGCAAGGATCGTTAAACCCATGATCTCTTCGGAGATCCCAATAGTTTCACCAACCTGCACAATAAGGATATACAGCATTATGCACAAGTACAACTTATGGCAGCAAGTGGTCCAAGCTCACAGGATTTTGTCTGTCAGTGCCATTGCCTTCCAAACCACAACACCATCGGAGAATCACTTAGATTCGGTCCCATTCAATAGGATCAATGAATCAAATGAATTCCCAGCCATTCCTATTGTACAAAATTTCACAATTATTCACTTTTTTTGGTCTCCTATATGCACACACCGCATTGACATAGTGCATCTGGTATTAATATTGTTACGAGCGATGAAAAGGGAGGATGTAGCAATTATCCTACCACATACAGTGAAATTCACCCCTATTGTTACAATGAAAGTTTTGATGGATAAAGTTTCAGGATTGTCAATGAGGCTCACTGACAAGTCCTATGTGTAACAGTGAGTCCCTGTAAAGGGCTGAGGGTAAATATACACAGTTGTACTTTGCTGTAGTTCATTGCAACCCTGATCTTACCTGGTGAGCCCACCACACCATCAAGTACGAAAAAGCACCAATCCATAAAATTGATCCGAATAAAAGTTATGGGGAAGAATTTCTTAGAAGCCTGTTGAAGAGAAACATCCGTTTTATTTAAGTGTTGCAGAGAGAGCTGTTATTTTTTTTTTTACAGTCCCAGTGGAATTTTTTTAAAAAGTTTTATTTAGTTCTGTTTGCAATCTTGGGGATGAAATCCCATTAGTTGGACCAGTTGTTCAGTTGTTCCTCCACTTACATGGTTTCGGACGTCAGGTAACGTTAGCCAGAGAGGGAACACGATGGGCAGCAGGAAGAGGTAAGTCGCCTGTTTTCTCAAGGTGTCCGGCCATTCTAGGCTTAAAGGCTCTTCATCATCCTCTTGCTCGTCCTCATCATCATCATCGCTGTCCTCGTCACTATCATCATCACTATCTTCGTCCTCGTCATCCTTGTCACTCCCGTCAGAACCACCACCACCATCGTCACCAGGGTCTTCATCGTCTGGTTTCTAAGCAACAACAGAAACGGCACAGATTCAGCAAAGCGTTCAGCATGCATCAGATGAAATGTGATGACTCCCTTGTAACGCTTGTTATGGCTGTAAAATACAGGGTACCCTAGTTACAGGGGTTAAAGGGGTAGAGATGGACATTAACTAAAATAAGTGCCGAAAATGTAATGCTGGTGAAACCGATGAAGAGTTTGCATACTTGGTCTCCTGTGGGTTTCGCCTGATCTTCAGCGTCCTCCTGCTGTAACGGACCGGGCGAGTCAGAGGGAGGAGTAACTTCTACATTCACTGTATTCGGAAGATCCAGCTTCTCATTCTTATCGACCTCATTCTTATCGACCTCAGTCTTTTCGAGCACATTTTTATCCACCTTTTCATTTTTATTCACCTTCTGATTTCTAAACCCACCTGCTCAACAGAAGATATGGATGCCTTCAAAGAGCGTTCTAGTACTCAGTTAAGGTGCGCTACGGAAAATAAACATTCAGTATAAAAATTATTGCCCCCCCCCCCATGTGGATGATGGACATACTGGTGAAATTCAGGCAAAGACGAGGAGGAAGAATTGTGTTTGAAATGCTCACTGTGACTCAGGCGGAGCTGACATTGGGGTTTGCAGCGTTGGAAGCGTGTGATACAGAAAGATCTGATAGCTATACCGCCCTGGGTGGAGTAGGGGCCGTGGTAAACAGTGAAGGGAATTGCAGAAGAATGCAGGAAGACATAAACAGGCTGGCAGAACAGGCAGACACACAGCAAATGAAAGTTGCCACTTCATGGTAGTGCTAAATGAACGTAGAAACATGCGAATGAATTCACTTTGGCAGGAAAAGCAAAGAAGCCATCTATAGTCTAGACGAGCAAAGAGATCTTCTCCATCTCGTTTCCAAGTCAGACGTTTGTGGGGTCAAGACCCATGTCGGAACTTTGGATAACATAGTCTAGGCTGACACTCGAAAAGAGAAGGGTGTTTCTCCCAATGTCATAGTCAACAAATCCCCCAAATAATTTGGTCACTTACTCCATGAATGTCTGTGGGACATTGCTGTGTGCAAACTGGCCCCACATTTCACCCGCAAAATACAGTCACAGTATATCCTGTGACATGTTTTGAGACATCCTGACAATGTGATAAGGCGTTATATAAATGCAAGGATTATTCTGGTCTCCCCACTATAAGAACAGTATAGCAGTGATGGAAAGAGTACAGTGGATGATACCAGGGCTGGCAGGATACTGCTATCAGGATAGAATGTGTAGACTAGGCCTTTTTTCACTAGAGAAGAGACGTTTACAGGAGGAACCAATAGAAATGTTTAACATTATGAAAGGGATTGATAAGGTTAACATAAACAGGCCGTTTCCATTGGTTGGGGAGTCCGTTACCAGTGGACACAAATATAAGATAGTGACTAGGAGAATTTAGGAGAAACTACTTCGCAGAGAGGGTAGTGAGTTTGTGGAACTTAGCTGACTGAGCGGGGCTTGAATCAGATAGTGTGGATACATTCAAGCTAGACCTTTACACAAGGGATAGAGGATTAGAGGGGTGTGGGAGAGAGTAAGGATTGGGTGAAGATTCATGTGGAGCATAAACATCGCCACGGACTGTTTCCGTGCTGCACATTCTTTGTAAAAGTGAAAACTCCGAGATCCTTGTAAAGTGCCGTGTTGATATCTTTCACATCATTGCGCACTTTCACAAGGCAAAAAGGTCTCTCTAAAAAAGTGAGGATCACAAGTTAACCCAATGCATGGAACCTCCAACCCACCACCGGCCTCACACAGCAACCATGTCTGGACCAGATATAAAAGTAATATTTCATCTCATCCTCGTCTATTCGGAGTGGAGTGGAGTAATTAGTAGTTACATTAGAGACAAACTGCTTGTGACAGAATTGCAACCAATAACTGACACACAAATACATCCTGCATTTCAAGTACCTTCCAGGTATCTCCACTATTATCCCATCCTCGCACCACAGCCGGTACTGAGTCAGATTCCTGTATATAATGACCGCTGCAATGTCCATCTGTGCGCCATTTTCCTTGCAATGCTCACTCCTCATCACATTCCATATCTGACCAGTCTTGTGCCATTTCCTACAGACATTCACTCTTCACCATGTCCCATACTTGCCCACCATTTCTCCTGGCTGCCCATCCTTCAGACTTCCCTACAATTACCTTATTGACAATTCCAGTTATGCTCCACACTTTACTATTATCTTGGCTTCGCTGAGGTACACATTTCCCATGTACCATGATTGTTCAATTTACACCATATCCCATGTGGGCTGCTCTCCCTTGTGCTTAGTGTCAGGTTATGAGACTGTATTTGCTGTTTAACTCACAGTCAAGCTATGACCACAAAGATGATTTTCAAGGAAAGCGTTAAGAAAGTGAGAAAGAGAGAAGAACAGTCTTGCCTTTCATTGTATCCCATGTTATCCCATACAAAAAATATTTCTTTATGTTTTACTATTCACACGGGAACAGCCCAGGCTGCTATGATCTAATTCCTACTAATAAAAATCTGTGACCATCCAGTGGGACTTATGCCAACTAGTGTATAGGAGACACCCAATACTTCAGCATCAAAGTGCCCATTACATTGGAGAATTCTCTTGCACTATAAACCCTAATGTGTTCGCACAGCATCACACTCAGATCTGCTGTCATATCATATCCTGTTCACTAATCCACCTGTGATTTGCTATTAACTGCACTTTTCTTTTTAAAAAAAATCATGTTCTGGAAAGTCTTGTCATATATTGAATACAGTAAAGTGATTCATAGGAATGTTTTTCTTTTAGATATAACACCAGGTGCACAGGGCAACCTGTATACTTTACCCGTGTACTCATGGATTGGTACACCGCTAATTGCGACCAGACTTTTCCCCCAATCCCAGGGTAACTCATTCCTATGGTTCTTTTCTGTATCTCACCTCTGGCCTTGACTCCTTGTGGCTCTTTTGAATTTCCCTTGCCCTGGGTCATATTTTTCATTATTTCAGCTTTGTCCTTAAACTTCACTGCAAACAAAAGAGACGTTACAAATGGGCAAGGTTCAGGGACAGGTGTGAGAACCTCACTAGTGCATATACCACAGTTACAGAGCAGCAAATACTGATACAATCTGTAGATTGAACTACAAAGCTGGTATAATGATAGCCAGAGTGTGTGTTTCTCTCTCTCTCTCACTCACATACACACCTCACATACATCAATGCAAACTCCCAAATCGGCACATGTTCCACAATACCCTTTCTTCTGTCTAATTTATAGAACTAACTTTATAGTTCTCTGCATTAAACTGTGTCTGCCACCTCCCTGTCCATGTCTCCAGATTCCTCTGAATTTGCACACATTGATTCTAATGCTTTGCCACTCTCAATTTAGTATCATCTGTCAATTTAAACACCTTTGACAGTATATTAGTCTCAAAATCATTTTTAAAAGTTTTAAATAATATTGGTTTTCAAACTGACCCCTTTGACACAACAACAATGTATTTATATAATGTCCTTCGCACAGGTGGTGTCTCAGAGAGTTTGGCACATCACCGGCAACCAACACCCAGCCACACAACTCTCCTCACACAACTCCTCTCTGCTTTCTACCAAATTGCTATCTATAACATACGATAAAAAAAATCTACATTTATATAGCGCCTATCACATTAGTCAGACAGCCCAAGGTGTGTAACATGTATGCAAATACAAAAAGGAAATGCATTAACACGAGACACACTGATTAAAAACAATAGAGGTCAACGTGCTCATATAAAGGTTCACGCTCACAAGACAGACACAAGCACAATGCACAATGTATATGAGCATCTGTATGCAAAGATACAGATGCTCACCAACAACAATAGATCACAAGATTACAAGAGATGTTTAGATAAAGAGGAATCCAACCCATTTGACTACACACACAAAGTGGCGAGCGCAGATGCATACACTTGTACGAACCTCAGTGTACGTACAGCACAAAGAGAAAATATGTATGTACACACAAAAACTGCAAATATACCCAGAAACATCTGCACACAGAGACAAAATTGAAGATATACAGGCCCGATGGGAGATGGGCACATACTGATATGAACTGTTGTAATGATAGCTGATTTCTCACTCACCGCACATAGACACAAAGAACGATATAATGAAAACAGGTCTCTACATTCTGATGGTGTATGAAGGGATAGCATCAACACGTGTATGTACGGGACACTGGTTACCTGAGGTCACAGGGAGTTAACAATCTGTGAGTTTAAGAGCCTAAGCTTATTTTTTTTTAAAAAATTAAAAAGCCAGCAAGAAAAAATAAAAAAGAGAAACAATATGTAATACCGAAGGGTAAAGCTTTCTAAACGTTTGATTATGTTTGTATATAGGTTAAGGGGTTGTAGTTAATATGTTATGTAAGCCTGTTATACCTTATTAACTTAATACTGTATTAGTATGTGTTTCAGCATCTCAGTGTGTGAGCCCTCAGGGTTAATGTCCATCTTCCAATGCTTGGAGCAACCACTTAATTAGTTCAGATCTGCTTGAATGCTATTTAGGAGTGTTAATGAGACTGGGTAGGGGTGAGAAGAGTGTGTGTTTTCTCAGACATTTCTGTTGTTCATGTCACACCCATAGACACGGAAATTCCTACAGGTGAGGAATATTCAGGAATTCTATTCCCACGGGGTTTGGGAGCGAGGAACCTGAGAAATGAAGCCACATCCATAGATTAAATGGATCAACAGCAGTACTGCAGCAACCTTTAATCACATCATCTCGAAAATGTGATAAGGCGCTATATCAATTGCAAGGATTATTATTGTTATTAGTATTATTATTAGTATTATCATTATTATCAACAAGACCAATCAATATGTTGTAGCTATTTGAAATTCTTCCCACAGTGTGCAATTGTAAAGTCAACTTTCCTTTGAGCGGTTAACAGTGGGCTGGAACATTGTTAAATCGTCACCTTTGCCAAAGGAATCCCACCCAGTAAAATGCTTTTTTTTTCATTGGTTTGATTCTTATCCTATTGAAAAAATTATACATAGGGAAACAAAAAGAAATGAAAATGGAGACAGACAAATGGTGCTGAGATGTAATGGAAAGCTTAGCCCTCACACTACTTACCTTTCTCCTTCTTGGACATGGAGGGTTTTACATTTCCATCTGCTACTACCTCTACAGCACAAAAGGAATCAGGGCAAAAAAAACATTAGAAATGCCATAAGGAGGAAGAAAATTGCCTCCTTTTGAATGAGTTGAGGTTGAAATTCAAAATCCCCTTCTCAAGTGTTAACTCTTTGGACAACCGTGCTGTAAATTGGGATAGGCTTTCACAATAAACTTGTGGTCTTGAGACTGTAGGAAGAAAAGACTATGGGAGATTATAATGAGCCACACAATCTTGAAATGCTGGGAAAGAATAATGATCATGTTCTTGAGGCGATACAAATTCTTGGAAGAGCTCAGCAAGTTGTATTGCAAAATATCCACTGTACTGACCTTTGGAGAACATTAGGTTACTGTAGGAAATCTTGTATTTATTCCAAACAGAGTTACATACTTTACAGTATAACTAAAGGGTCCATTTCAGACAGCTTGACTCAACTGATTCTGTCAAATTTCATTGGCTAGGCAGACCCTACTCCTACACACCAAACAAAACACATTTCAATCAATACGGTAGTTACACACAGGATATCCGGTTAAATATATTGTAAATTCAGGCCCACCATCTGAGAGTGAATTTGTCCACATTGACTGTTTTTGATGACTTGATGCATTCAGACAAAAAAGAAAGAAAAAAACTGCACTATGTTGTGTTTCAGATTACAAGCTCTTACTGACGGTGGAAAGGATTGGTTGAAATCTAATATAAAAAGAGCTTTGCTGTGCCCGGGGCCTTGTTAATCTTTAATCCTCGCTTGTGATAGGAGCGCGATAAAATGCCCAGAAACCACAGGTATAAAGCTAAAAACTCTTTCATTCCCATATTTCTCAATCAGCATAATCCCGTCTCTCAATCAGCATAATCCTGTTGGGCACCCCCAACCCCACCCCACTGACTCCCAAATTACTTCTGAATTTAAGAATTTTTCACAATCCGAGTTTAAAACAAGATTGTAGAAGTTTCCACGGGTTAGATTTATGAGGCTCAAGACACTCCTGAGACCCCAGTTATTGACTTCTTGTGATGAATCCAAACAGCTGCCCTCAGAAGGTCCATTTAGGACATGAGAACATGCTGGGAGGCAACCTCTCTATCCCTTTCGTGCTAAGGAGATTTGTCTGAGATTTATCCAGCTCTCCTCAAGATTGAATTAAATCTGATTAAAAGCCAATAACTTTCATTCACCTGACAGAGGTTTCACCAGCTTGGCCTCGGAGGAGCTGAAGGTCACCGCAGACCTGGAGCTAAAGCAATGCTTCCATTGTTCATATGCAAATTCTTTTTTTTAAAAAAACAAGTGAGGAAAAACAACTGACTCCCAAGTTACTTCTGAATTTAAGAATTTTTCAGCTCCTTATTAGCTCATCCAACCTCAACCAGAAAATCTCCTCGTCTCTCGCTCTGCCTTTTGTACACATGGCTCAGTCAGTCAAAGGACATCCCTCCAAAGCGCTCCTCTCATTTAATGCTACTGTACTCCTTAGAATTGAGTTCACCAATTGACTTACCTTGTAGTTTTGGGGCCACAGGTTTCTCTATTTATCCCGCAGTTATCATTACCGACCACCCATTGCTTACAACTGTGCAACTAATGCAATTTATGGTAGTGTAACAAAGTGGCAACAGGCCTCAGATAAATACAGATTTATAACAGTGACTCCCTTGATTTCGCATCTAAATACATTATACATAATCGCCAACATTGAAATTTGCAAGTCATATTGTTGTACGGATATCCCACGAGGCATGTGGAGCAGAGATGCAGAGGTTGAGAGTACAGTACCAGAATGGGCATTGCAACACTGAGTGTTGACTGATACTCAGGCTGACTCTAATCCCATCGTTTCTTTGATTCCTTCAGATGCAGTGGGATTCAGACCAATTCTGCCCAAAGATTGATCACAGATCTCAGGACAGTGACAAGTATCTTAACACCAGAGCGGAGGGGACTTGAGTCAGAAGTGCTTCTTATTGGCAACTCTGGATTGAGTGGCTGAGAATAAGAATCTCCGGTGAAATTGACTGTTCGTGTCACAAAATTGGAAGTTACATTTTGTTTTAGAATAAGAGAGAACCTTTGGAGGTTCCCGTGTCGGATTCTGAGAACCTTGTCAGCAGCTCATGCACATTTATCTACTTAGCATCCAATCTCTGCTTATCTATTTTTGAAAGACATAGTTGGTAATCCTTCTCACAGGGTGATTTAGGCCAGTGAGACCGCGAGTTCTAGGTGACAGCAACAAATGAGACAACACACGGACTACATAACAGGTCAACTTTTACAATGGCCATTTCCAGCCATTCACAAGGCTGTTTGAAGGGAAGTGCCATCAACTCCCAGGCTGGTCTCACACTAGTCTTTGCCGGGACAAGAGAGATGTGGACATTAGGTGTGGGCATCTCCCTTATCTGACCCTGGAGTGTAGGAAGTGCAAGTGGTGAAGGGGGACGTGGGAGACATGAAGTGGAAATTAATAATAGAATCAAATGGTGAAACAATTGGCATTTATTTTGTTTTATGAAATGAATGACCTGTCAGGTTGACCATGATCTGGAGGCTAATATATCAAATGCAAGGATAAAAATCAATGAGTTGGCTCGAGTCAGACAACCATCCACTCTGGTGCAACACCTAAGTCATGTAAACACAACTAATCTCTATAAAAGTAGCATAGGGATGATTCCTCTGCTTACCAAGGTCAACTGAGCAGAGAGCCCGACACCTCTCAATAACAGCCACTTTAAGTGCCATCATCAAATAATACTAGAATTATTTAAAAGCAAACTGGATAATTACCAGAGCAGTAAAAACATTAATAACAACAACAACAACTTGCGTTTATATAGCGCCCTTCACCCGGGGTAGTGTCTGAAAGCGCTTAACAATGGCGGAGCTTGATGCCAAGCCAGGTAAAGGGGGGGGAAGTGATCGGAGGCACGGTCTAAGAGGAAGATCTTCAGATAAGCAAGGGGGGATCAAGGTGAAGGGACTGAGGCAGAGTTCCACAATTTGGGGGCACAATGGTTGAAAGCCTGGCCGCTAATGGTGGAGTAGAGGAGGGGACAAGGGACGTACAGGACACAGGAGCCAGCTGTGCAAAGGCAGTAGGTAGTGGAGCGGGGTGTTGGAAAGTTGGGGAGGTCCCAGGGCGTGAAGTGATTTGTACGTGTGCGTGGGGTGTTGAAATTGATCTGTTCTGCAACAGGAAGTCAGTGTAACCTGGCGAAGGAGAATGCAAAAAGGGAAGTTCATTTATTTTTAAAAAATAATGTTTTAGGGAAATATATGGAGTGGCTGGGAATGATGGGCCAAATGGTCTCTTTTGTGTGCTGAAAATGTCTATGTGATGTGGGTTGGATGGCCCTAATTCAGTCTTTTATTCCCTCCATCATCCCCAGTGTGTAATTTCAATAGGTTTTCACTGTAACGAACAACGGTTGATCTTATAAATCTCATTGTCTTGAGATGATCTATATTGCAGCAGTTTTACCCTTTTTTTTGTTGTAATGACACTTTGGGGCATTTCAATAGGAATTGGGTCATTGCGTCACAGTGGCCAAACATTGATTTCACAAACGCTTTTGAACGAAGGTCTTTTGAAGTTCCCGTGTGGTTTAGAAGGCCACCGGCCCTTCAGCAACCCGTTCTCAAACTGTGCACAAAGTGTCAGCTTTGTCACTGAAATCAAGTCTCCCTTACCTTCACCCAATGGGTCCAGGGTATGAATCATGAGCTGGAAGATGGTGCTTCGCAATGTGCTGTTGTGCAGCGATGCTGTGCTTCCTCCTCGTTGGAGAGCCGGTTTGGGCTGAACAATCGGGGGGAGGAGGGGGGGAGCACAAGATGCCAAATATATCAGATGTTATATGGGGAGTTTCAAAGTAATTACCTCAAGCGCAGACAACATATTGAAGAGGAGCTCCATATAGTTACAGTGAGTGACCCTGGCTGAATACAATAAGATCCTTGCCCTGTTCGATAAACAAGAACCTCAAACTATAACGCAAGTGTTTTACACAGATCAGCAAAAACTCGTCATCGATTTGCTACGTCTTTAGATGTTAGTTTATAGGGAGCAAGGCAAGACTAATTTCCCTTGCGTTCCCCCTGTCAGGAATATCTATCAGTCACTTGCCTGCTTTCTTGTGAAGACGCTGTTTTGAATGATCACTCAGCCCTTGGGTACAGAACTGACCATTGCCTTCACACGTTTTGTGGCAAAGTTCATATGAGCTCATAGGCTAACATGCTCATCATCCTAGTAAGGAAAATCTATGAAATCATACATTGTGGGTACACTAACTTTTCACTTGTTCTTATAAATCACCTTGACCTGTCAATTAGATCTTGGGAAGGTCTTGTGATCATTCACAGGGTATCTATTTTATATAAAGCTTCTGAATGTCTTGGTTAGATTGCGATCTATAATTCTTTTCCACGAATCCCCTACTCGGTAAATGAACTATCTGAGCCCTACCTTAAGTCTGTTCTTGTCGTCTGGTTCCTCACTGGATCCTGTTTCATCGGGTTTCTTTATACAAATGAAGAAGACAAAATGGATTTCAGATCGGTGGTTAAGTTGGTGATTTCACTTAGGAAGACGTGAACCCCTTCTCTCTCCCTCTCTCTCTCTCTCTCTGCTTTGAGACAGGCCATATCACTGACTTGTAATAATAATAGTCCTCTCAGTTGGAATATAATGCCAATATTATTGAAACGTATTAAAGTTTATTTGGTAAGGAATTTGCTATCGAGTGTTGTGACTGTGTAAGTTGTAGGAAAACCTGGCAGCAAATTCTAGCAGCAAGGACCTCAAACAGCCACGAGGATGTTGATCAAATCATCTGGAGGATCGCTGGCCAGGACACCGAGAGAAACTCTCTGCTTCTTAAAAAACAATGTCACTGGATCTTCAACTGTCAACACCATAACCCACCCCAGTGCCAGCAATCATCTGACCACAGTTGTTGCTTCTGCAGTCCCAGCAATTCAACAGGACCCACATTCATGTCACTCCTGAATCTTGTTGGACTCAGTTTGGTAAATAGCAAATGACAATTTCTAAATGTAGCATTTTTTCATGACTTACTTATAACAGAAGATCCTCACTGCTTTTAGTGATCTGCTGACAAGAGACCCCATCTTTCTTTGTGGGCGCGTGTGTGTGTGTGTGTGTGTCTACATAAAATAAATGTTAGCCAAAGGTTGAAGTGTATGACTGTCAAAGGTCATTCAAAGTAGCCCACTCTGAAAATCTCTGGAAATGTAACCTCTCACGATCAGGGAAAACAGAGTAAGACAAAAAGTGTCAAATAAAACCCTGGACCAACTTAGATGTAAGTGGCTTGTGGAGCTGGGAGGCAGATTTCAAATGGGCAGTGGGATGGGAGGGATGAGGATGGGGATGGAGAAGCCCATTTCCACGGTAACAGCAGCTAATTTCCAGATAAAGAAATCACGCAGCAGGAATTGGTCAGCTGAAGAAAGAACCATAAGTGGAACCTTAACATCCAGCGTTAAATTCAGTGAACGTGGCGATTAATCTGGAGACGTTATGAATTGTGCTGCAGTTATTATGAACACCATTTAATCATCATGATCACATCTCAGTCGCTTTTATAATGTGCTCTCTGAGAGACTGGCAGTGGGTATTGATTCCACTTATCCAGCGCTGTTGGTGATATCAACAGGTACAGTCGTGTTCAGCCATGGAATCGGAGGACTAGTACGTGGAGGTTTAGGAGAGCACATGAACAAGCTGTGACTTCCAAAACTGAAAGAGGTTGTCTTTCCTCTAACAAGGTGCTCAGTGCCCATGACCACCAGCTCCCATTGTAAATACTTTTTTTTACATGAAAGGCTCTATGTCAATGCAAGTTATTAAAGCGGATGTCAAAATGTCATACGGAGATCAGGAGTTTGATGAAACTGCAGATAAAAATAACCAATTTACATCCTTTTGTTAACAGGCTGTTAGTCACTCAGTCACACATTTAATCCTAGCAGGTGGTCTCTCTCACATTACAACTAAATAAATTGATTCCGAAAATACTGGATTTGATTGTAGGATGAGCTTGAATTAGGCAATTTTTCATCAAAATACAGCGTTTAAATAAGAACTTGCATTTAATTTCAAGTTATAGACATGCCAAGTTCATAGATGTGTGTGTATGTGTGTGTGTGTGTGTGTGTGTCAGCCTTAGGTAGACTCCTAGCTGCGTTGTAACTTTTCTGCTTTCAGAATTGTGCCTTTATTTGTAAAAATGCTCGTTCTCCCACTCTCAATACATCCCCCGCACATTACCCTGCAGATTATAGGCAATCAACTGGCTCCTGGGTGTTTCCAAAAGATCTGCCCAATAATAATAATACTATAATAATAATCCTTTCATTTGACGTGACGCCTCAGCAAGTCGTTGAGATGGCTCAAAGCGCTTCACAGGATATATATTGTCAAATGCATTGACTGTGTATTTGTGGGCGAAACGAGTATGAGATGGCAGTGTGCAGAGTACCTCACCCACCCAGGTCTCGCTCCTTCCCTGTGGAGCATCAGGAGTAATTAACCCCCAGTTCCCTTTTCCGTCTGAGAGGGTGAACAAAACCAAACAGCCACAATTTGTGTCTGCTTCCTAAAGCCCAGGGCATTGCCAGGGGGAGGGGAGAAGGTTCTAACACTAACTAAAACCCCCTCACTTTACTTTGATTCAGCGGCTTTGCTGCACAAAACTGAACCTGAAGATTCAGGAGTTACGTAATCTAACTGAGGATAAATTATCTGACACTCGGGTCGATAACGAGCTCCTTGTATTCCTGAATGCAAACCAGGTCCTTCATCACACAAAGGCTGCTGTTGCACACAGATATCTGAAGGTCACCTTGTGAGAAAACAATTTATCATTTGCATCTTTTATGAGACCGGACACCTCAATCAAACTCATTACTCAACCTCCCTTCAATCAAATTTGATTGGAAGCAACAGGGAATTTGTGCCTTTAGATTTCCTCTAATCCTGAACTCACTGTAATCAGAGAGAAGATTGTAGGCAATCGACTGTTATTATTATAATTCCGTGTTCTCGGTGACTGACAGCTTTCCAGGACAGCGCCAGCCACTGACTGCTTACCCAGTCTGTTATTCCAATGTTAGGAGGTGGGAATTGTTTTGCTAAAGACTCAGAAGAGGTTTCCGTAGCAACCCACACCACAAAAATGATCTCAGTGCTTTTCCCCCAACCCTGTTTTGATGACGAAGGTGCCTTGTTTTGATAATCATCATCAGGTGAAGAGAAGTTGGGAGTTCATTTTGCATGTGGTGGACAGGGGGGAGTGTCCGGGGGTGGAGGGGGGAGATTTAATATGTCTACCTGTGTCAGAACCACTGAAATCGCAACGGATTACAAACCAGAAGAGAAAGACACAACATAACTGCCTATAAGTCATAGTATCTATCTGTAGTGTTGCCTCCTCATCTCAGTTTCAGAATATCTCTGATATTTCCACTTTGCCTCTTGCCCATTTTATTACCAATTTACGCTGAAATGTGACTGACATTACACCGTGGACTGCTCAGAAATAGAAACTGTGTTTGGATAATAATAGTTCTTGCATTTGATATAGCGCCTTATCACGTCCTTGAAACGTCTCAAAGCGCCTCACATAATATACTGTAAAGTGAATTGACTGTATATTTGTGGACAAAATGCGGCAGCCAATTGCGCGCAGCAGCGTCCCACAAACAGTCGTGGCTTGAAGTGACCAATTTATGATTATTTATTTTCTTGAGGGATTATTATCAGGCCTATGGAGTAAGGAAACTTGCCCAAGGTTTTGCCCTGCCGGGAATCAAACCCAGGTCTCTCGCTTGCGGGGCGAGTGCTCTAACCACTGAGCTATAAGAATCAATGCATTTACAATATGCAAGGCCTGCAAAGATGTTTTTGCAGATTTTAAACACGTGTTGAAACTGTTGGAGCTGCTTCGTGTTATGTTTTTTTTTACGGTTTGCAAGAACGATGCTCTTTCTGGGAAATGGAAGATGTCTTCAGCGCAGCCATCAATGTCCTTGGTGCTTTAGTACGTTCCAGTCCAATTGTTTTAAGGTGAGTCAAGGTAACACGGGATTAGAAACAGATTGAATTATGACGGAAAATCTCTGTAAGACACGCTGTTGTGGAGCTATGCCAAGCAAAGGAAACAATCCGAACGGAAATGTCCTGGTTTCAAACAGTCTAACCTGAATAGAACAAAGGTATTGCTAAATAAAGAATTTATTGGATCTCAAGAAGGCTCTATCACATTGGGTAGAAAACACCGATGAAGTGTTTCAAGGCAATGACCCGAATGAGGACTTCTTAAACAATGGAGGTTGAATGCTCTATTTTATCATCTAAACCGCGACAAATTCCACCTCATATGAGATTTACTAAATGCCCTGATATTGAGATGTATACAGTCAATTCACTTTACAGTCTATTCTGTGAAGCGCTTTGAGATGTCGAGAAGACGTGAAAAGCGCTATATCAAATGCAAGGATTATTATTATTTATTATGTAACTGTACTGTACAATTTGCCAAGCCCCAGTGATCAACATTATGAAGTTCTTTAAATGAACCACTGGAGTTGGCCAAGCATTTGGTCACTCAATCCACGGCTGTTTGTGGGACACTGCTCTGCGCAATTTGCTGCCGTGTTTCGCCCACAAAATACACAGTCAATCCACTTTACAGTATATTCTGTGAAGCGCTTTGAGACGTCTCAAAGACATTCACGTGTGGAATTCTACAAATTTCACGCGTGAAGAAAAAAAAATCTATCGAGTACTCAAGGTAACGAGAGAGTACCAACAAGTGAAGATTGAATTGATTCCTAATACAACAATCAATTTTATTTTGAGATATTTGTTGTTCAACAGCAACCTTCAGGGGTAGAGAGTGAATGCAATAATGGCCGGTCATCACCAAGATCACTGCACTCTGAATAAAAGCATCAGTTGGATGAATGTGTGATCAGAAGTACAATCATGCACACTATGCCTAACCAGGCAAGTGGTTCATTTGAAAATAATGAAACTCTGAGCAGTTGTTCAGGAAAATAATCACCTTTATGAAATCTGCTTGAGGAAGGTCATGCCCCTGTATATTGGGTGCCTTGTGAGTTGTACAGAAATCATAACCCCATATGAAGCGTTAAAAGAAATCTATTGGCTTCATCCTGCAATGTCCTTGGTGAATTTAATCAGTGAACCCACCCCCTTTATAATTGACCAGTGTGTGATTAAATTGAGTTTAATCCCCAAATCTACTGAATTCGTAATGGTATAGCTTTATAGAGACTCCACCGAGAAGCCAGATTCTTCCCCAATGTGTGAAGGGGAACCTGAACCATTATGTCAACTCCTAGTTATACAGGAAAGCCAATTAATTTTTACTTCTTTTCGCCTCTCCTATTTTCGGACCTGAACTAGACTTACATAGCTAACTAAATTCACCAACGACGGTGATCAAATTGCATGATGTCTTAAATAATCCACAAGGGTTGGTTTGGAAAGAAAGCAGCAAGCGTAGGTTGAATCTTTCCGCTTGAGTTAGAAAGAAATTCCCTTAACAGCGAATGAGTATGGCTGAGATTTTGTTTTCAGGAGGGGAGTATAATGGGAGGAATCTATACTTCAAATGGTTACAGCAGGGTTAAAGGCAGATTTGCTCAACTATCATATGATGAAAAGAGAAGTAAGCACCAATTAATGCCAATCTTCACCCAGTGAGTAAATGCACACACATGCATTAATCCTTCTATTGCCTTGGGATGTCCTCCCAACATGAAAAGGGCTATACAAATATAATTTGTTGTTGTTGGATACACATCAGAATATAGTGTTTACCAGACAGAGAGCAGGAAATGGGAATAATGAGGATGTTGCCAAGCCATGTATGTGTTCACCGTTCACTGTTTTTCTTTAACCACTGCACGACAATTATCTTTGTAAACTGATTTCTAGACATTATACTGGTATATATTGTTCAAGAATCAAAACATAAATAATAATAATTGAATAAATAATGATAATAATTTGGTCCCTCAATCCACGACTGTGCGCAATTGGCCGCTGTGTTTCGCCCACAAAATATACGGTCAATTTACATTGCAGTATATTCTATGAAGCGCTTTGAGGCTTCTCAATGACGTGATAAGGCACTATATCAAATGCAAGGATTATTATTTTCCTACATGTCCGCAATGCAAATACAGCAAAAGCGTGAGCAAAGCCAAAGACACATGTTATATAAGTGCAAGTTGTTGTTGTTTTATCATTCCACACTCCCTATCATACAGCAAACATTAAGGGAATTTTCCAAGCATATCAAAGAACCAGTTATACAAACTTTTTTCTCTTTAAAATTTGCCTTCAATTCCCCCAATTATATGTATATATACTATATATAAAAAACAAGCGCTACCTTTCTACAGCCCCTCTAAAGAAAAACTGAGCAAGAATGTATTAAAAGGTGGAATTAAATATAAATATCAATGCATTAAAAATAAGTCACTGACCTTTTCTTTATCCATCAGAGAGAGGACTTTGACAATGTTACTGTTGTTTAGGATGTACCTCCTGAACAGTTTTTCCATCTTCGAGTTATATTTCATGAAGCTGACGTAAAGGATGTAGCTAGAAAACAGAAACATGCTCTCCCACCAGACGATGATATTGTCTAAGAAGAAGATGATCAACATGATCAAGTCTAGAATGTAGAAGGAGACATCTCTGAAGAGAGGCCACCAGGTCAGGTTGAGGATCTCTCGGGAGAAGACAGCGCACATGCCAATCACAAACAGGATGTTGAACACAGCAGATCCCACGATGGTCCCGATCCCCACGTTACTGTGGGAGATGAAGACGCCGATCAAGGACGTGAAGAGTTCCGGAGCCGAGCCACCGGCGGCCATGAAAGTAGCTCCAGCTACATCGTCTGAGATGTCCAACTTTGTGGTGATGGTCCCCAAGGCTGGCACGAAGAATTCGTCGCACACCAGAGCCAGAGAGACGAACATGTACATCATCCCAAACAAATGGAGGACCACCCAGCCTTGCCTGCGCTCCTCCACGCTGAACAGATCCTGAGGGTAGTCCCCCTTGGTGTGGGCCAAGGGAGGTTCCCTGGAGATGGTGATGTTTGGGGGAGTGATTGTGGTGTTGGGGAAAGGAGTGGTGGTGGGGGTTGGGGTGGTGGTCGCTGGGATAATCTCATTCCCAACCAATATACATCCTCTCAACCTAGGTTTCTCCGTGACCACGGGTTTCGCTGTGACTTGGGGGGTGTGGTTCGTCTCGGGGCCGAGGGTGCGGGTTGGGGTTGGGGTCACGGTGGTGAGCGCGAGTCCCCTTGGAGATGGGGTGCCGGGGGTCCTGGGATTGGGGGAGGGGATGGATGAGGTGGACTTGACCATGATGGTGGGATTGGTACTGCTCTCCAGGAGCCTCCTACCCTGCACCCCGTCCCCTGCACCTCTGGACCCCTCTCCATCCTGCGCTCTCCTCGGTGCTGACAGCAGAAAGTCACTGACTGAGACCTGATACAGGCAACAAGTGACCAGACATGAGAACAGGAAGATAACTCGGTTCCAAGCCAACCTTTTCCTCCGTCTCGTCTGCATCTCTCCCACTCCTTCTCTCTATTTTAGGTCAGTTTTTTTGTGGTGGGGTGGAATAAGTCCAATTTCGTTTCCACCCCCCACCCCCCAAAAAAAAATAAGGGTCCTTTAAACCTCACCCATGGAAGTGTGTCGTCTGGTTTTCGTTTCTGCTTCGGTTTCCTCTCTGCTCTATTGGCGTTGGTATTGGGTGTCGATCGTTTTGCTTTCTTGTGTGTGTGTTTTTTTATCTTGATATCAGTTGATGCAATTCGTACATTGTTTTACGTCGATACAGAGGATGGATCTCAGTCATGTCCCGGGTATAGCTCGAGCTGTGATCTGCTGCTCTCCTCTCTGTGTCCCCAATAGCCCCTTCTCAAAGCTGCACAGAAAGACAAGAGATAATAAGAGAAAAGAAGGCTTCTAAATTGTTGCACACACTATATGCACATAAATATTATAGTATATTACACACACACACACTATATACACGTAGATATTATAGTATATTACACACACACTATATATAATAGTGCATTGCACACACTATATGTACACATAGATATTATAGTATATTACACACACACTATATATAATAGTGCATTACACACACTATATGTACACATAGATATTATAGTATATTACACACGTACACACTATATATATATATATTCTATTGTATGAAAACAGCGCTCTGTATTAAGTATTTGCACAGCAATTGATGTCTCTCTCGCCCCCACCGCAAAAAGCTACCTGGACACCTGCTGCACAAATCCGGACCAATTTCAGTGACCGACTGAAGGATTCGGGTTCTGGTTACAAAGGGATTAAGGACAAGAGCAGCTTCCAGAGAAGAGCTCAGACCTCCCTCCTCTGTCCAGTGCCTCTCCTCCGCCAGGACTGACTCTGATCTGAAATGGTCCATTCAGTTCTCCTCCACACAGCGCCTTGGGATCCAATTATCCCCATCATTTGGCCCCGAGAGAGAGAGAGGGAGAGAGAGAGAGAGAGAGATGATGGCTATTTTACCCCGAGGTTTAAGGGTGGCTGGAGTGATGGGGGAGTTTGTTGTTCAGGAATAATAATAATAATTATTATTATTATATGTTTTTAAGCATTTATCTTGGAAATCTAAAATCTATGGAAGCACTTTCCAGCCCAGAAGCTGCTTCGCTCAGAACAAAAAAACCTGTACTGGTTTCCATAGGAACCGACATAATTTACTTTAACTCTATGAATAAAAGACAGAATTTTTTTTTAAAAAACGCGACTGCCCCTTATTAAAGTAATTCGAAATGCCACTTGCTGCCCTATTCAGTCAATTGGACCAAATTGTTTTGTCTTAATAGAGTCAATGCAACCTCTTCCTACCTGACTTTCCTCTCACTGCCTGTGGATCAAGACTGAAGCAGAATTGGATGCTCCGTTGAGCTCCAACAGTCTGGTTCTGAGGCGGAGCCCTGTGGAAAGTCTTTGTTGGGATTTGGAAGAAGGCTTCTCTCTCTCCCCTCCCTCCCCCTTCAAGCTCAACAGGGTCAGGTGTGAAGGACACACCACTTGTACAGCTCTAACCCCCAGTGAGACTAAACCTTGCAAACCTTAAGAAGCTTAATCCACCTTTCAGCCACATACATACATAACTTGTCCATGGTGTTTGGCTTTTCTTGTTTCAAATAGACCATTTTGATGCAAATTCAGCCATAATCTGGATACTCTGATCAGAAACATTGCAGTAACAAACAATATTTTCCAACCTAGAGCATAAACTATCTCCTACAAAATTCTCTACTTCGAGCCATTAGACCTCTGTACTGTACTTGCTTCACAGATTAGTAATCATATCAAATTGACTTAGGTATTATTGCTTGGCCACACTATTGATTAATGATGCCACTTGCCATTGTATCACCCAAAAATTGGACTGACATTTCAGTGCAGTGCTAGGGTTCGCTGCACTACTGAGGGGTACCCTAATTTGATCCTTTGGGTGGGACTATAATAATAATCCTTGCATTTGATATAATAATAATCCTTGCATTTGATATAGCGCTTTTCATGTCTTCTAGACGTCCCAAAGCGCTTCACAGAATATACTGTAAAGTGGATTGAATGATATCTTTGGGCAAAACACAGCAGCCAATTGCGCACAGAGTTGTTTCTTGATTAACCTCCAGTGATGCTATCAATGCTTCAGGGTAATTGCCCCTAACCCTTTAAGGGCACAAAAAGCTTTGGCAGTCAGTGTTCCATGTTGACAGCTGCTGATGGCATCAAAATCACCCTTCAACTGGTCAAAAACTGGGTACTTTAGAGTGAGCTGAAATATAATATAGGCAGAGAGCTGTTAAAAAGAACTGTTTTAATCGAGTTGTACTTTTTTTTATTTTTTTATTAAAAAAGTATGTTCTTATTTCGTGTTGCCTTTCTCCGTGCTGCCAGCTTCGTCTCTATTGTTTTCGCGTGAGAAAAGCTAATGCAACCACATTGGCCTGAAGTTTGCAGCTTTAGAACCAGAAAAGGAACCCAGACCAAGTTGGTTGTGTTTTGTGGCTACCTGCTGCCCGCAGTCAGTATTGCTGGTCAGTTTTCTTGAATTACAATACCGTATCTACTACCGCATCCATTGGATTGGATCCTTAGTGATTGTGGGCATTGCATTCGCCCCAAGTGAACTAACACGTGCTGTTCAAAATAAATTATTTTCTGCAAAAAAAAAGGTGCGTGTAGTACTTTTTTTTTGGGGGGTGGGGGGTGGGGGGGGTCTTTTGCATTTTGCAATCCTCCTTCGGATAAATTGGTCATCGCTGCGTTTATCCCTACAAAATAAACTTACTTTTCGGAGCAGTTGCCTTTGGAAGTTTTTCTTTATTAAAAAAAAAGGCGCTTTTTGTCAAACGCGAGGATTATTACAATAAATGATGACAATAAACGATTATAATAAACGATTATAATAAATGTTGCCCTGAGATCAGTCCATGAGAATCCAGACCTCTTTGTGTTGTTTTGGTGGGAGTGGGGGGGGGGGAACAATAATACGGGTGGTCTGTGGGGGGAACTTTAGTTCCGGGCTGTGCGCGCGGGGCCGGACGGGTTTGGAGGCGGACACGAAGGACCGTCCCCGGGGAGGAAGCGGCCGCCGCTGTCAGTGAAGAGCTGATGAGCCGCGCGGGAGCGGGGCCGCCGCCTCCTCCTCAGCCTCCGCCACCGCCTCCGCCTCCTCTCCGCCGCCGGAGTCGCCAGAGGCAGCGTCAGGGGGAGCGAGTAAGCGCCGCTCTGCCCGCTATTGGCGGTGTAGGCCGCACAGCCTCGGGCTGGTAGTAGCTGTTGTAGCCGGATCAGTGGCCTGGGCCTGGGCCTGGGCCTGGGCCGGACCGGGAGGGCTTTGCTTTACGGCGGTTATTATCATCATCATCATCATCATCATCATCATTAATAATAATAACAATAATAATAATAATAATAATAATCCTCGCATTTGATACAGCGCCTCTCGTCACGTCTTCGCCACCTCTCAAAGCCCTTTTCGCAGCACAGACGGTATGTAACGTGAACGCGACTGTTTTGTGGGTGAAGTCAATGAATCGTTAAATTTGGGAGTTGGTATTTTCAGCTCTCAACGTCAGATTGTTTTTAAGGTCATGACAGCAGCAGCAGCACCAGGAACCGCCGACTTCCGCGGCTGAAGCGCCGCCTTTCCGCGTCGGGAGGACGTCCCGAGGCGCTGGACGGACGAGAGTTGCGGACCCGAGCTGGGGGGGGGGGGTCGGGGAGGGGGCGGGGGGAGGGGAGGGTCTTGAGACAGGTCTTGAAGGTGGCGAGGGAGCTGGCGAGGCGGGGGGACTGCGGGGTGGAGTTCCGGAGGGTGGGGGGGCAGAGTGGCAGAAGGCCCACCCGCCAACGGTGGGGCGAGCGGGGCGGGGGGACGTGAAGCAGGCCGGAGCCGCCTGAGCGCAGCGAGCGAGCGAGCGAGCAGGGTGGGAGGGGGGTTAGGAGGTCGCAGAGTTAGGGGGGGGGAAGCAGGACCATGGAGGGCTTTGAAGGTGAGGACCAGGATCTCAAGAGAACGGCATTTGCAAATCTCAGAGCTTTACTGTTATTATTAATTACTTATAATAAAGGTAATAATAATAAAGAGGGGCTTTGGGGTTTGCACGGATCCATTTCATTTGTTTTTCAAAAGGGGGTCAAATACGTACACTCGGAATCGAGCAAAGTGGATTAAATTGGGCTTTGCTGCAGATCGACTTCCAGGAACTGGCTGTTCCCGAACCTCTTCTCCCGCCCACTGAGGCGAGGAGACGGTGCACCCGCTCCAAACTCATCTCTTACACAGTCCTGATTCATGATCATAATAATAATCCTCACAGTTCAGTTGTGGGCAACCTAATCGTTCACTGAAAATGACTCTCACCTGTCCCCTAAAACAGCGGTTAAAGGTATTTTTAAAAAAAAACTTTCAAACACACATTGAAAATGTGCATGGATCACGCGTCTCCTAATGCAGCAAATGCCTATCTTACTGACTGTGTTACTGAGATGTTCAAAAGGAATTGCACAGGTAGGGAGTTGAGGGGTACAATGTTGGGCTGGAAAATGATCGCTGTTTAGTGTCTGAAGGTGGATGTGGATTGTCTGAATACCTACTCCCATTCACACTTTTGATAATTCAAGGATTATATTTATATCTTTCCTTATATCTCAAATGCAAGGATTACATCTTCAATGCACACAGTAACGTTAACAGTTTGGATGTCACTCAAGGGGGTATTGAGAGTTTTAGACAGCAATTTAGATTCAATGTCGTTCTGTTCTCAGGTCCCAGAGCTGTGCTTGTGTGCAGCTGAGTGGAGCAGATGTGTTCGTCTCTTAAATTGTAATAAATGATTCACTTTTATAATTCCAGCACAGTAACCACTGTAACCATGCCGACGGTCGTCCTGTTAGACGTGTCTCTCTCCATGACACGGCCCGTCTCCATGGAAGGGTCTGAGGAGTACCAGCGTAAGCACCTCGCTGCCCACGGCTTGAGTATGCTGTTCGAGCACATGGCCACCAACTACAAACTGGAATTCACAGCATTGGTAGCTTTCTCTTCACTCTGGGAGCTTATGGTTCCCTTCACCAGAGACTACAACACTCTGCAGGTAAAGTGACTTCAGCAAAAGGACCGCAGTCAGACTTGAGAAAGGAAAATGCACGTTTGAAAAGTTAAATGAAGCTTATAACAAAGTTAACTTTTTTGACTCTTAAAAAATCTCCTTTCGAAGTCTCCCACAAAATATACAGCTGATTCACTTCACAGTATATTCTGTGAAGCGCTTTGAGACGCCTCAAAGTCATGATAAGGCGCTATAACAAATGCAAGGATTATTAGTAGAAGGAATTCCATTTGATACTGTATTTTGTTTCAAAACATTTCACACCGTATTTACTTTTTTGAGATGCAGCAATACTATATGTAAATATATGCAAAGGTCACTGTTAATCTTTGTCAGCAGTGTCCTATAAACAGTAACAGTGAATTTATGGGGTGGGATAATATTGACCAGGATATTGGAAACATAAACTCTTTACTTCAAAATAGCGCCTTTATTCAAAAGGTGATTGTTATTGGAGTCAACGTAAAGAGGATTAAAGAGTAAGAGCCGTAGATCTCATTCTGTTGAGGAATTTAGGATGAAGGGAAGCTGATCCAGGAGTATTAAGTCTTGAGAATTTTCAGTTTGTTACAAGCAATTCCATCAGATGTGTTTTGTTGGCAGGAGGCATTGAGCACTGTAGATGACTATGACAAGACGTGCCTGGAATCCGCTCTGGTGGGAATCAGCAACATTGTTCAGGAGGAGTGGGGCGTCTGCATTCCCTGTCAGGTACCTGGACGTTTTCATTCCTTTAACCAGTCGTAGCCAATGACACTGATACATTCTCACGGAAGCAGAAGACACAAACTCTGGTGAAATTCAGAAATTTATCAAACTGTATGCGACTTATAAAAGTACTCGTTTCACCCGCAAAGCATGCCGTCACTCCACTTTACAGTATATTCTGTGAAGTACTTTGAGACGTCTCGACGATGTGATAAGGCGCTATATCAAATGCAAGGATTAATATTCTTACAAAATTGCTGCAATGAAGACTAACACTATGAGCTTTAAATCCTAAGAACTACTGACTGTGCTTTTGCTCTAATCGCTTTGCCCAGAAAATTCCAGCCTGCTGAAGCCTCTGATCTAAAGAATTCTTAGTAATCCCATTATTGGGATTAATAGGTAGGATTGGGATTAAGACTCTTTCTCTCTTTCTCAGATAATCCTTGTCACTGACGGGAGTTTGGGAATTGGCCGAGGATCCCTGAGGCACTCGCTGGCCACTCTCAACCATCGCGGGGAAGAGAACAAGTTTCCATTACCTTTCCCGTTTCCTTCAAAGCTCTATGTCATGTGCATTGCTAACTTGGAAGAGGTAAAACAGATCTCTGAGAATGTCATTTCCTTAGACATTACCATTTGCAGTGTACTGAGAAATACCTTATACTTATTTATATATTTGCTTTATATTTATATATAAATTTATATGTAAAGTATATCGCTGTATATTTTAAAAATCAGATCTTATGCATAATGTGTGTCTGAAAATATATATTGTTTTTAAAAAAAACTTTTGGTAAATTACTTGCTCTTCAAACAGGGGAAAGATTGACAGCTAAGGAAAGCAGTGTCTGTATTTAGACACATCTGGTGCCAAGTGATGCAGAGTTGGCAGAAAAGTGTCTTGTGACCCGATTTTGTTCCCACTCTAAAATGTCTTCACACTGTCCCAAACTAATTCCACTGAGAACTCATTTCCTATCACTTTGGGATGCCACCCCGTATGAAGGGTGCTATATAAATTCAAGTAGTTGTTGTTGTTGTCTTGCCCCCACCATACAGCTCTTTCCCGAGCTAGAGAAAGAGTTTGTTGTGGGTGAGAGAAATATTGATGGGATGGAAAATGTTTTATTAGTCAGTCAGGACCAGCTGTACTTTAGCAGTTTATAAGCAAAAACTATCTTGTCTTTACTCAGCTTCAGACCACAGACACATTGGACATCCTGGAACGCATGATAGACGTAAACAACGGTGAAGGACAGATCTTTACCATTGATGGGCCTCTCTGCTTAAAAAATGTACAGTCAATGTTCGGGTACGTCCCTCTTGTGAATCCCAAACTCACCAGTATCTCCTGGTAGCCAGCTACGGAGGGTGTGTGGGGGTGGGGGTGGGGGAGGGGAGATAGAGCAAACACCGGTGCCGTACTCCGTGTCTTCTCTGCGATCAGGGCCTTGTCATACAAGAAGTGGTCTCCTCCCTTGTATGCATACAAGGTGGCGAGGCCAGGAACCAATGCTGCGTCTCTTTACTCTCGGTTGCAGCAAACTGATTGACCAGGCATACACACCATTCCACGCTGTGTTGAAGTGCGGCCACCTGGTGTCTGACATGCAGATGTTTCCCAGGCCGGAACCTGTGACCATAGATGAGGAGCTGGAGCCGGTGCCAAAATCCATCAACACAGGTCAGTCTGGGACAAGCGATGCACTCCTGGTCTCTGACTGCAGGGTAGGATGTCCATCTGGACTCGGTAGGAGGGAGGTTCATTGTGATTCATTTTGTAATGGCATTAATCGCTTTTTATCACATTTCCTTTGCAGAGCTGGATATACTGGGATTTATAAAGATCGCTGATATCTCCAGCCCCCCTGTGCTGTCCCGACACTTGGTTTTACCCATAGCCTTCAATAAAGGTACGTCCTTGGTGCTTAAGAAGTACCTGTTGTGTTGTGGAAATCTGCCCGGTTTGGAGACTGACGTGGTGAATCAGTAAATCTATTACGTGGGGTTGGTGAAGGCGGTGGAGAGAATATTATAATATACCGAGGCTTAGTACCTGCAATTGCTGTGTGTTTCCAAATACATTCCACACACTAAATGTTTACCCTGTAAACAAAAGACCTGTTTGTTTTTTATATGGAAGGGTGCAGTGTCTAACTGCGCTATGAGTTAGGGCTTTAGTTGGCCATGTATCAACACTGTTGAAGGGGTAGAAGTGTCATGATCACAGGGGTAGCGGTCAGTGGGTTGGGTGGGCAGATGAGTTATCCCCCTACGAGGAAGGTATTCACAGTTTCTCTGTCACTGGGGAAGCGGGGTGAATGTGGAGAATTGTCTGGTTACCGTGGGAAATGGCACCTTGGAGCAGTGGCGAACGGGAAGGGAGCGGCAGGTAGGGTTACAGCGATACTGAAGAGTTTTGTTTCCTATTGTTTGGGTAGAAGGCGATGATCTGGGAACTGGAATCCCCGAAGAGACCGAGGACGAGAACTCTGCTTCTCAGATTGCTGGCAAAATGCCGTCCTTCTGTGTGCTGCTGCACGGCAGTCTGAAAGTGGAAGGGATGGTCGCCATAGTTCAGCTCGGGTAAGGAACTGCAAGGTGATATACTCCCAAATTTAGCCACGCAATCTGTGTTTCTTTCCTCACCCAGAACACTCAGTCTCCACTTCCCTTGTTCATACCCTGAGTTTGTTAACGGTGCCGATTATATGGTATGTGTAAACGTAAAGGTTTGTATTGTTCCAGCGCCTTTCCGACATGAAATAATAATAATCATGATCCTTACATTTGATATAGTGCCATATCACGTCGTTCAGACGTCTCAAAGCGCTTCGCAGGATATATTGTGAATTGACTGTGTATTATGTGGATGAAACACGGCATCCGATTGCGCACAGCAGCGTCCCTCAAACAGTCGTAGATATGGATAAGTACTGCTGAGAGTGTTCCTATGCAGCTTACCCACCCCTCCGTTCTTTTTGTGCCTCTTTGATTTGTCCAGCCCAGACTGGTACGGGATGCTGTATTCCCAGGCTGACAGTAAAAAGAAGTCCAACTTGATGATGTCCTTGTTCGAGCCGGGTCCAGAACCCCTTCCTTGGCTCGGGAGAATATCGCAGTTAGGGCCCATTTTAGGTGAGTGCTGTCACACCGGATTAGCTGTGGGGTTGCCCTGCTTGTTTGTTTGTCCTCCTCCACTAATTTTCCTGTTAATCTGTATTGCTATGTACCCGTTCAGATGCTGCCGAAAATCCGTATGGTGAAGATGACAGCAAAAGCCCCTTTCCTCTGCAGCCCAGGACGAAACGCAGTTACGCACAGAATGTGACCGTGTGGATTAAACCCAGCGGACTCCAGGTACGTGCATTGTGCATACACACAACCTGCAGTAAATTAAAAGTCTTCCTCTCGCCTCCCCTTGCCCTCTGACCTCTTGACTCCAACCCCCTCCTCGGGTGCAAACCTTCACTGTCCAGCGCCTTGGGGCGTCCTCCCGACGTGAAAGGTGCTAAATCAATGCAATTTGATGCTGCTGCTGTTGTGGGTGCAGGCTTGCTTTGATGTAAGATTATCCTGTTTTAACAAGGTAATGGATTTGGAGGGATGGTTCGGCACAGGCAGTGAGCACACTATGCTACGAATCTCTCAGTCTTTTCCATGGTCTTGTTTCTTGCCTTTAGACGGACGTTCAAAAGATTTTAAGAAATGCTCGGAAACTTCCTGAGAAGACACAGACATTCTACAAGGTAGGATAGACAACTGTCTGTCTGTGTTGTGCCAGTGTTCTGATACTGCTATGTATAAAACAGAAAAAGTTACCGCATATCTTTTGTTTAAACAGAAGTTGGAGAAAGGCTCAGCATTAAACTGCCCCAATGATCTGAGTGTTGTTGCCTCTAGTGTTAGTGCAGCGTGCTGGATTAAATGTTTTAAACCCATTATGATCATTGAAAGAAAATTCCCTGCTTCGCCACCCGTCTCTCCCCCCAAGGACTTGCTATATTTTCTGTTACAGATTTAGTCTTGACTAGTCTCCATGTAACGAAGGGTGGTTAGCACTGGGAATGGGAAATATCACAATGGTAAGATATGGTTGAGGTTTAGGCATATTATTGAGGTCAAAGACTTTACTCCAGTTTTTCCTCATGTCTGTCAAAGACCTAGAATTGGTTGACGCCGATATTAAAATGGGGTAAATGTGCCGTTCCTTTCATGTCGATCGCACTTTTGAAAGGACAGTATTTTATTAAAAAAGTTTAAAAGAAAGGCTGTTGTTTGACACGTTTGCAGGAACTGAATCGCTTGAGAAAGGCAGCCTTGGCGTTCGGATTTCTAGACCTGCTGAAGGGAGTAGCGGACATGCTGGACCGAGAGTGCACACTCCTGCCTGAGACAGCCCACCCTGACGCTGCGTTTCAGCTTTCTCACGCCGCACAACAGCTGAAATTGGCCAGCACCGGGAACTCCGAGTATGCTGCTTATGAGCACAACATCACACCCCTGCAAACAGACTTCTCAGGGAGCAGCGCTGACAGAATCTGATTGGGACGCAGACTGAATTTGGTTCGCTTCTGAGAACCCTATTTGTTTTTAAAAAATCTAGTGAACAGTGCTGTGCACAGTGAACACACATTAGATGCCTCAAGGTTGCATCAGGGTCTACTCGAGATCTTTAGTGCTCCACACACAAGCCTTTTTACAGTAACTTAAAAAGCAAAAGTCTTGCGTTTTAGCTAAAGTATCGACAGAAATTTGTTTCCAGTTTGTTTTCGCCTTTGCGTTGCAAACTCCAGTTGAAAGCTGACAATTCAGTGGGGTCAGAATACAGAAGTTATTTTATTATCTCCGTACTACCTCTTGTACGTATAAAGTACACACCAGCAAAAACAAGAGAATGTTAGTTTGTTTGATACTGTATTTCATAGTCTCTGCTGTGTATGGCTACAGTTGTCAGCGGGATGCTTGGGCAATGGGGAGAATGAACCAGGCTTCCTATTCTTGCTTACTGTAAAGTACATGTTGGATGTTGGGTAAGATTAGGATCAGGTGTCGCTACGATGGTCAGTTAAACTGCCGGCACCGACTGCCTCAGCTCACTTATAGATAACAACCACTGAAAACTGGGGACTTCCATGCACGTGATACAAATTAAATAAGTTTATGTCAACTTAATTCAGTCCCTCACCCATTTCAATTCGTAAACTGATTTGTCTGCATTTTAAATTGAATCTTAACTCACTCGACAAACAACAAAACAAATTGCACTTTTTTTCCAAAAAAAAGTGCAAAAACAGGATGACTAACAGCAAAGGTTTTCTCATTAAAATGTCTTCAAATAATCTGAGAAAACTTGCACAATGGAAGGAAACCTAGGCTGGAGACTGAAAGAGGCCGAGGGATGTGAATGAGATGGGCCAGGCAGTGAAAATGTGCAGCAAGATATTCACGGGTTAAAGAATGACATTACAATCAGAAAAGTAAAATTTAACAGTGTCTGAACCACAAGATGTGTGGCCCCCCCTCCTGCCCCTGTGAAAAGCAACAGGGTCCAAACTTCATGGGATTTGAAGTGAACTGAACTAGTGTTGAATCACTTGATCGAGCCTGCAATAATAACATCAGGATTTGCTTCACTGTGTGCAACATGGGAACAGGACCTGCGATGATATCAGAAATTCTCAAAATTTGTTTGCTTACAGAGTGTTATCTTTATCGAAAAGTCATGCCTTCACTCAGGTCAAACTACATTACCCTTGATTGTCATCTGACCTCTTCCTGCCAAAGCAATGTGTTAAAAATGTTTATCTTCTGCTGCAAAATTGACAACTGGTGAAAGACGTGAGCCAATGGTCTGCCCACGTCACGGCTCGCTTGTTAATTGCAACACTGATTGTGCTGTTATACAGAGCACGGAGGCCTGAGGTTTAAATGCCTCGGCTTGGCTGACTTTACAGATTTCTGGAGGCTGGTAATGGGGGTAGGGGTAGCACAATAGGCCTTGGAGTACTGGGCAAGGGAATAATTAACTGGGATTCCTGCTCAACACAATCCAGAGACACCTGCTGGAAAGTGCAAATGGTTTGTGGGTTCTGGATTAGGACAGAATCAGACTTCATGATCAAACAGGCAAACGCTCACACGTGAAAAATCACTTGGGTGCAGGTACTGATAGTTGTGAAATGTCTCTACCATCAAAGTCAGGATAAAGGGAGAAAATTGTGGCAGGTGGGCAGGGTAGTGAAGGAATAGCTTTGTCACAAAGTAGTCAATATTCATTTTTAAAACTCTTTCCTAGTCCTTATTTTAAGATTTCACATTAGATATCTACTGGATGTTTAATTTTTTTATGATGTAATAAATTACACCTTTGTTTTTTTTGACTTACTGTTTTATTGATCTTTTAATGACCCCCAAATACAGATTATGGAAATCTCACAGTTGGTGACATGTCCCTTCCATATTCGAAACCCACAAGCCTTTGGGAACTAAAGCTGAAGATCACATGCATCCATTCATTTGTGAACATGCACTTCCTATAGGAATAATGCAATAGTCTAAATCAAACATTAATTAGAATGAATTACTGATGTACATTAGCCATCTATAGTGAAATACAGTTGCTGACTTCAATCTATAAACTTATAATAATAATCCTTGCATTCGATATAGCGCTTTATTTAGAGACATCTCAAAGCGCTTCAAAGAATATACTATAAAGTAAATTGACTATATTTTGTGGGTGAAATACAGCAGCCAATTGCGCACATCAGTGCCCCACAAACAGTCGTGAATTTAGTGAACACATTTTTTTTCAAAGCTTAATGCACATTTGGGTGATAAGTTCATACATTTATATTTAGGTCTTTTTTTACTAAAATCTTTTGATCAGTTTCTATCTTAATACTAGGAGCAATAAGATCATCTGAATGGGATGAAAAAGAAAATGTATTAACTCAGTTTTATTCCAGCATTTCTCCATTCATAGCAACTTTTCAAACATTGGGATATCGTCAGCAGAAACACTTGATTGAATTACTGATAAAAAAAATTCCATGTTCATGCTGAAGATCATAAAATTGGCCTTTTTTTCTAAGTGGTGTGGCAATGTTTTAAAAGCAAAATGGACTAAAACATTTTACATGAAAAGCATGAGAGACTAAAAGTGAAAGTAGTCACTGGTACAGATTATAAAACGGCTTTGACCGAATTTCAGCCATCACATTCTGGGATTCAATTCAGGAACGTGAACCAATCAAGTTTCTAGTTTGTAGTTTAAGAGATAACTCGGACGTCAGGCTGCCATTCACTCTCGTATTTGATCAGTCGATTGAAATGAATCCTTTTAAATAGCTGCCTTATATGTGGAAATGCATCATTAAGCACATTTTCAAAGCAGCTTAGGTGTGCAGCAACCTTGAGGTTGAATTGGTGCACAGAATGGCGGGATATGAACGGGGGTCAGGATACAAGCCTGTTCTGCATTTCCTCGCCCTGGAGTTCTTGGTCTTTGTGGTACTTGCCCAGTGGAAGTAAAAAGAGAAAAAAAAATGCAGGCAATCTCTCGACTGCTGTTTAACTCCTAGCAAGTGGTTACAAGGCAGCTACAACCTGGGAGTAGGTCTCAGCTCAAGAAAAGTATATCATGAAGTGACTTAAAGGAGTTAATTAAAATATTTTAAAATTAAGTTATTTAATTATAGACAGGCCCATCAACAATATTAACTCCTCCACTGACCGATGCTATCACACTTCATTCCTCAATTACTTTTGATAATTACAACTTACATTGTTACAATGTGCAATCATTTTAATTGATAACAATTACTCAATTTGTTTTTAAAAATTGCTCAGCAAGAGTGCAAAATAATTGGCTACAACTCATTCCCCAGCCCCCCTCACAATCGTAACAGATTGGATTTAATCAAATGTACATTTATACAGAAAACATTAAAAGACTAAATTGAACCTTTGATGGGATGTGTTCAACATCACTGCAAAACCATTCCTCGCAACGAGTAACAATTCTGAACAATGAGAGGTCAAAGCCATCATTGTAGCAGAAGTACGATTGGTGACTGAGGATTTACTTTGCAATGGCTTTTATTATTTCCTGAAAATTACAGTACGCTCAATAAAGGCAGCAAGTTAACACTGTAGTGAAACTCTTCGAGGACGGTTTCTCACCAGCTGAAAGAAGCAGACGCGGGCTTCCTCTAGTTCATCTTGCGCTTCCTTGGTTTCAAACGCTTATTCCGTAGTCTGTACAGGTGACGGAAATTAATGAACAGCCCTGAAAATCAAGAAAGAATCAAGTTGGAATATACAAGGGACTACTGTACATTTAGGTCATCTCTAAAAGTATGTGTTAACACAATTTAAAAAAAAATTAAGGTAACTATTGTAGTAATGCTATGTTAGTATTTCTACCACAAAGCTCCAGGTTCTTTTGACAATAACAATAATACTGCATTTGATATTGCGCCTTATGTCTTTGAAACGTCTCAAAGAGCTTCACAGGATTCACTGTAAAGTGAATGGACTGTATATTTTGGGGGCGAAACGCCAGAAAATTTAGCAATAGAGATCAGAGCCCAGAACTCACCTAGGAACATCAGAATAAGGTAGGCTTGTAAGAAATAGGAGAAGCCGAACGAGATGTTGAATGGGTTTGGCAGCACAATGCTAAACCTTCCCGTTTCATCAAAATGTGGAATGGACTGAACAACACACACGGCTGGAGAAGGCAAAAGGAAAGAATTTGGTCATAATACACATCCTGGAAATCCTTTGGTACTAATCAACGTTAAGTTCTCATAGATCAAACGAGTAAACCTTCAGCATTACTACCCCAAAGTAAATCTAAACTTAGATATTTCTACTGCATCAGTATGACGTTTCTATTCCATTCATCATATCACATTTTGGTACCTAGTGTAACTTGACATGTAGTTTCAAGCTGTGGATCTCAGAATCCTACAGAAATTCACAGAAATTCAGGTAAAAGAGCTGAGTTTATCTAAGTCAATACCAGCACTGTGACACAACTTCATTTTTTTTAACTCTACAGGAAAACATCCAAGAACGTCATAACCAACCTTCTGCAATGACCCCAAATGGATACAGAGGAATCCAAATCGTGTATCTAATCCACGTGAGTATTTTCCATTCAGTGTCTATACAGGAAAGCATGTAGTATGGGTACCTATTTCAGTTTTGACAACAAAAGAAAGTACATTTAAGTACATCAGTTTCACGTACAATTTTGCTTAATAAGCAAAGTTAACACAATTTAGAAATGAACTTATATGTACTGTATCTTGAAAACAGATAAACCACAGATTATAATTCTCTGGGGTGGTTTGGAGATGCTACTCTACTACGGCAATGAACTGGAATCACAGATGATCTGGGATGTGTGGAGGGAGAGTTCATTTAAAACTATACAATTCATCATTGGGATTTCAACTGCAAATTTACAGCTTATGTTAAATTACGCGTTGCTCAGGGTGCGCTCACCAGGAACAGGTTTCAGACAGAATTTGTTTTACTTCGGACCCTTAGAAATACAGTAGTTTTGAAACCAACAACATGTGGTGAAAGAATGCTCACATTCACTGTGACTAGAGATACTGTGGTAAAGGGGAGCAGGAGATAGCAGAGAATAGCAACAAAACTTATTGCAAACCTACATAGTTTATAGCTTCCTTCCTAACAGATAAATCATGCTCACTGTAAGCTTGTCTTATTAATACAGAATATTTGGCCCATCAGTTTTCTGACTATGCAGTTTCATTTGTGCTGAGGCCACAGGAAACATTGATAGTACAAACCAGTAGCTTGATCCTTTGGTCCAATAACAGATTTAAAATTCTAGATCGAGAAACCAAGGAAGATACCAAACCTAAACATTTCAATGATGCTCCACAGGTAAAAGACAGCAAACACCGCTGCTTTGTTCTGCATCTCCTCCTGAGTCCCAATCACCACAAACAGAATCACATTCCTCCCAATCACCTGTTTAAAACAAATAGTTATGTGTTTACTGGTTAACAGACATAGCAGTAACAAGCTGAAGGCAATCTATTCATCACAGGATACTGTTGCACAGATAAGATATTCACAGATATAATTTCCTACACTATTCTCCGGGGTGAGGTAAGACCACTCAAATTGGAAAACCAGTTAGTATGGCTAGCAATTGAACATTAGCAGAAACAAATTAGGGAATGGTGCTAAATTCAAGCGCTCAGTGAAGGCGCTATTTAAATGCAAGTTGTTGTAAATGCAAAGAGAAAGGGAGAAGAAAAGTAGACCTTGCGAGGGGAGCAAGAGGCACTATCTGGAGCAGACAGAGCATCAAAGCACAATGTTAATATCTTCTGTGTCCTAGAGTTAGGGAGCTAGATTTTTTGTTACTAAAAGCCAAGGTTCCCACTCATTATTCCACTCACCCAGCCCCGTCCCAAAAAAATTGGGAAATGTTCAGACTGAAGACAAAGATAGGAAATCTACATATTTAAATGAAGGAAGAGTAGAATACTGAATTTACTATTCCTCTAATTATTCAGTGATCTGAAGCTCATACCGCACCTGGATTATGGCAGGCACCAGTCCTGATTTGACTAGACCCAGGAGTGGATTTATAATCTCCAAAACTGCAAAGATCTGGCAAAAATACATCACGTCTCCAACTGCATGGAAGGTGTCAAACAACGAATCTGCAAATAAAGAAAACTGCATTAATACTCATAATCATAATCCTTGCATTTGATCTAGCACCTTATCACATCTTGGAGACATCTCAAAGCACTTCACAGAATACACTGTCAAGTGAATTGACTATATATTTTGTGGTGAAATACGGCAACCAATTGCGCACAACAGCGTTCCACAAACTTCATGAACAGTAACCATGTAAATATAGTGTCAACTATGGAACTATTTATTCCCTGACTCAGTCAAAACAGACATGAGTGGAACAGTTTCCTGGTTCAAGAGGAGATATGATATGCCCGGTGTCCATAGGGTTAAAAATTTTATAACAAGTTAACCATTTGTAGAGTTTTATTTTACACTTTTTGTAAACGACACTACTGATTTACTTCTAACAGTACTCCAGCATGGTCTTTCAAACATTAAGCTCTGAGGTATTCAAGTCTCTCTATTGAGCATCTTATAAAAAAGTATTGAACAATTGCCAAACAACTGCCATGTTGGAGTACTGTTAGAAGCAAACTAATCACTGTACTAAGTGTCAGATACAATTCACAAATTGTTGAGGCACAGAAGTGTATTTTTTTTAAACCATCACAGTTTTTAACAATGTTTAACGAGTTGTACAGTTCCCCAGAGGCACTCACTCACCTTGGCCCAACACAAAGAGTCGCACAGTCATATTGACAAAGATCCAGGAGAACCCCAGGAACTGCACCAAGTTGTACATAAATAAGTAACCTTTCTTTATGGTGATGTAGGCTGCCAGAATGAAAGAAAATAACAGGGGTCACTTAATATTATTTTAAAATAGGGAACAATTAAAAAGAAAATATAGAGAACACTGACACAGACATGAAACCCTGACATGTTTCCACTTGTGGGGAGACCAAAACCAGGGGCCATGAATATATAATAGTCACTAATAAATCAATTAGGGAAGTCAGAAGAAACTTCTTTACCCAGAGAGTAGTGGGAATGTGGAACTTGCTATCACAAGCAGTAGTTGAGGCAAATAGCACAGATGCATTTAATGGGAAGTTAGAGAGGTACATGAGGGAGAAAGGAATAGAAGATTATGATGATAGGCTTAGTTGAGCAAAGGCAGGAGGAGGCTCATGTGGAGCATAAATGCCGGCATAGACCAGTTGGGCCGAATGGCCTGTTTCTGTGCTGTATATTCTATGTAATATCTTTTTTGTCTTTTTCAAATGTGGTTATCAAATTAAACATTTTTATATGAACGCTCCATCATTCTACAATTTGTAAGCAAGTCACATTACTAGTTTGTTTACTTACGGTCTTTTCGAACCCTGGACTTAACGCTTATTTGATTAATCCGTTCTTCTTCCTACAAACAGAAAATGCAAAGGTTCAAAATAACTGCCACAATTGTGAGGAAAAGATCATTTATAATCACTAGGATCATTTGGTGAATGATGATAGAATCACAAGAAAATATTCAAGTTTTTAAATTGAGATAAGAGAGATTAAGTGAAAGAGATATTGGACAAAGAAGGGCAGGAGGGTAAGAGTGGAGCTGTTAAGACTAAAAACATTGTAAGATCAGCTGCTGTGTCTACTGATGGGGAGGCACCAAACAGAAGTCAGATGTTTCCCCACTGGGAAGGTGGGAAATCCTGAGCAAAAATTTGATCATATCAGGTCGTCACTGTATATTTTTGCCCACTAAGAACTTGAGCAAAATTACACAAAATAATTTCTTTAGCCTGGATAAGTTTAAACCCAAGTCCCATAGAGGTCAGGTGATTATAATTGAATGAACCCACTTTCATTGTATCTTTACCTTTTCTCGGAGTTCCATTTCAGCATCAGATTCATCCAACCAGCGGTCGAAATCCGGAGCCAAAAATATTGGCTTTTTTTCCTGTTTGGTCAGTCTGTCCCACCATCTGCTGTCGGTTTTCTTCACAGTTATATTCACCTGTCTCTCAGTAACCTTGAACAGTGGCTAGCAACACATACACACACACAAAAAAAATCATTTTTATAAAAACATTGTAAATATACCAGCAAAAGTATTTGACTAACTACTTATATACAATGAAGTTATCTAAGTTTCCGTAGGCCAAAATACAGCTGCATATACAATAGCCCTGTACCCCCAGGCAATACTTACTAGGCTTCTAAATGTCAGAAATTTGAACCCAAATTTTAAAAAAAACCCAAGATATTTTCAAAAATAAATCCCCATTTTTTTCTCTGTTACAGGACGTTCTAGCATCAGGCAAATTTCATTTGACACTGAACTGCAAACAACAACATGATACATACCTTAGGATCGACAGCTTCCAAGAACTCGAGCTGAAATTCATATGCATTGTCTCCTTTAGCACCATGACCACGTGCTGGAAGTAAATGAGAGGCTTATTAATATACTAAACATAGCAATCTTTCCGTTATGTTCTTAGAATAGGATTTTCAATGACTGTGTCAATGGTGAGAAATATACCAAGCTGCCTAATGCATATTTGTGTGATATTGTATTCCTATTGCTGATCTAACCCATTAATGTTTCTAATAAGCCCTTGGAATTAAACAATGCAAAAAAGTAACAGAGAAACTTTTTAAAAAAATACTCCTACATGTACACCGTAAAAAAAGTGTTGAGTTATGTGTGAACAATATCTTACCGCTGAACAATAGTGTGTTTTCAGAGATCCTGATGTCAGATTTCTGTGGAAAGAATATAAAATAGCACCAATTACACAGTACTTTTCTAAGATGATGTACTTCAAATTGAAACAATTCCTATTCCTATGCGATTCTCCACAATGGAATTACTTGCCAGTTAATGGTAAGTTCTTAATTGAGTTGAGAATGTGAATTAGAAAGTGAAAGGGTTGTTGGAACACTTAAGATAAGAATCCCCATTTTGAGAAGACAGAGAGCAAATTACCGACTGTTCTCTTGTTCTGAGGAACTATATTGTTGAACAGGAAGATCTCAAAGAGGGAAGCCATTGCCTTTTTTAAAAAAATGTACAGAAAATCTGATGTAATTTTTTTTAAACCAGAATTTGTTTTAAGTTTTTTTTAAGGTTTTCAACCTTCAGGGAGAAAATAATAGCAGAAATGTTCAAATAACCTCAGATTAAAATGGTTGATCAGAGCCTCATCAACTACAAAAGTTAATCACGAGTCCTGCATTTTCAACATGTATGACAAGAGATGCACACATTTTTATTTTAATCTTTTACTCCATATGCAAAACAGGACGAGTGGAATATATTCCATAACAGACAGATCTTGTCCTTCCGGGAAACAAGAATAATCAATATGCAAGTGAATTAGTCAAGCAAAGGGAGATAGAACATTGTCTATCTGTTGAAGTTGCTAAAGGAACTCAACAGATTCCAAACTCACAGTCCAGTAAATCTGATGGTACATGAATATACAGGTGTAGAATATACAAGTGTGCGCAATCGGCTGCCGAGTTTCGCCCAAAAAATACAGTCACTACAGTATATTCTGTGAAGCGCTTTGAGGCGTCTTGAAGACGTGGTAAGGCACTATATCAAATGTAAGGATGATGATTATTATTATATAGAACAGAGAGGACTGCACATTCTCACAATGCCCTCAAATTAGAATATAGTACATCTGCTGCACAATCTTTAGCTGACTTGGCTTCCACAAACCCATATCCGAGCGCTAACATCAAAATATCTAAGTCTGCCCGTTTTCATCTTACTATCTGCACACACGTTAGAACTTGCAAACAGCAACTGTGCCACTGAATTTTCAGTTGCTGGAACTAGAGATTTTCAATTGATAACATATATGTAAATCTGCAAAACAAAATGATTTGTATATCCACCTCTCACTCGCTCATAACCAAATTACATACTCGTAATACCTCTGTTGCATACTAAGCTCCTGGTAGGGTTTGGCTTTAATATCATGCTGCACAGGACTTCAGTTCTAAAATAGCCATCAGATGCTTACAGCATGTGGTGTAAATAATTGAACACGCAGTGATAAAGGACTTTTTGGGGCTTTTTCAATCTTCAACTCTTTGCTTCAATAAAATGATCTGGCAGTTGCTTTTCTATATGTTCAATTAATAATAATAATAATCCTTGCATTTGATATTGCGCTTTTCACGTCGGGAGGACGTCCCAAAGCGCTTCACAGAACACAGTGTAAAGTGAATTGACTGTATATTTGTGGGCGAACGCGGCAGCCAATTGCGCACAGCAATGTACCACAAACAGTCGTAGATTGAAAATGACCAATTTATTATTGTTTTGTTTTGGAGGATTATTATTAGGGCTCTGTGTGGAGTAAGGAAACTTGCCCAAGGTTTCGCCCTCTGCCTGGGATTGAACTCAGGTCTCTCGCTTGCAAAGCGAGTGCTCTAACCACTGAGCTACAGGACTCCACAATTAAATGGATTTCAGAGGAACTGAACAGGATACGTGCTAAGTAAAACCAGACCATGTGTCTAATCTTTTCTAATCTAAAAGCCTCGGCTGTTATTTCTCCTTTTTGTCCTTCCCCTTGTCTATTATTCTCCTTCCAGCAGCTTCTTTGCCCGCGACAAGCTCATTTTATATTAGATGGCAGTGTAAATAGTATGCATTGCTCCAGTGCAGAATTTTTCTTATTTGGCTTCCTGTTTTGCTTTCTAAGCTAGTAAGAGGAAACTTGTGCTTTTGAGACTATAAGTAGCGCAAGATGGTAATGTTATTCCATCCCATGGGTCACCAGATGTGCAACATGAATCAAGATGCTTAATTATTCATAAACCTGAAGAAGAATTGGGAGTTGCTGCGGCTGAAACACTATCCCTCACTGCAAGGCGAAGCACCCTCTCATTCCACTCCGATCAAACCCAGCACAAGAAAACTGCCAACTCCCAGACACTCGTTAGAACCCACGTCCTCTGCTCCAGGTCAGCTTTGCTGCGTCAGGACTTGGATATTCCATTCCGGAACACAGGAATTGCTGGGCAGAAACAGACCGAGGTCCGTCCAGTCTGCTTTCCACCATCCTGGTAGACCGAGTGATCCAATGATGGAGATCTCGATGCAAATTCATTCTGTGTGGATTAGTCTACCATCACAGAGGAACTGCACACACACACACACACACACATCTCCAGAACAGCTCCTGCTCCCATTCCCACTCCGGGCCATCTCTTGTTCTCATTCCCACTCCAGAACATCTCTCCCGCTCCCCATTCCCCGCTCCAGAACATCTCTCCCGCTCCCCACTCCAGAACATCTCTCCCGCTCCCCATTCCCCACTCCAGAACATCTCTCCCGCTCCCCATTCCAGAACATCTCTCCCGCTCCCCATTCCCCGCTCCAGAACATCTCTCCCGCTCCCCATTCCCCGCTCCAGAACATCTCTCCCCATTCCCCGCTCCAGAACATCTCTCCCGCTCCCCCTCCAGAACATCTCTCCCCATTCCCCGCTCCAGAACATCTCTCCCCATTCCCCGCTCCAGAACATCTCTCCCGCTCCCCATTCCCCACCTGGACGTCGCTCAGCTCGACCCTGACGTACACCTCGCAGTGCCTCTGAGCCCAGTAAACGTGGGGAGTCAAGGTCTGGGTCTGCATCGCTCCGGGCCCCCGGCTCCGGGCCGGCGGGGTCTCTGTGTCCCTGGGGGGGGGGGGGGGTGATGTCAGGCTGACCGGCCGCCTCCCCGCTCCCTGTCCTGGATGACTGAGGCCCTGACCCCGAGCTCAGGCTCCAGCCGCCGCCATCATCGTCGCCGCCGCCGCTTTTGCTAGAACAATCCGCGCCGCCCAACGTGCGTCCCCCGCGGCGTCCGTGCGTACGTCTGACGTAAGACCGGAAACGACGCACGTTCCCGGAAGAGGAGGAGAGAGGAGAGGACCACAAGTGGTCCCCAATGGAAGAGCGTCTCCATCCACTGGTGCCTCTGTGTCTGACTGAGTGTCTTAGCTGACAACACCCCCCCCAGCTCTTGCCCCCCCCCCCAGCTCTTGCCCCCCCCAGCTCTTGCCCCCCCCCCCCCGTGCCAAACAACAACAACAACTTGCATTTATACAGTGCCCTTTCAACTCATCAGAGCGCTTCCCCAAATGAGACAATGATGGGTGGTTTGGAAGGTGGTGGGAGGGGGATTGTTACGTCCTCCATGGCACGTACCCATCGCCCCTCCGCTCCCGTCCTCACCGTGCTCCTCGCCCCGCCACCCCCAGGCGCACCCCCTTATCACCCTGCTCAGTCGCCCGCACCATCCTTTTAAAGTACTTTTGAGACGTTCTATGTGAAAGATAACAATAGTAATAATCCTTGCGTTTGACTTCTCGACGTCTCAAAGCGCTTCACAGAATACGCTGTAAAGTGAATTGACTGTACATTTGAGGGCGAAACGCGGCGGCCGATTGCGCACAGCAGTGTCCCACAAACAGTCGTGGATTGTAAATGACCAATTTATTATTGTTTTTGGTTTTTGGAGGGATTATTATTAGGCTCTGTGTGGAGTAAGGAAACTTGCCCAAGGTTTCGCCCTCTGCCTGGAATTGAACTCAGGTCTCTCACTTGCAAAGCGAGTGCTCTAACCACTGAGCTACAGGACTGCACAGATTGTGTGCAAGTTGCTCAGAAGTCCCTTTTTGCAGTAATCACACCTTTATGCAATATCCACATCCCATTTGCATTTGTAAAATATCTTAAATGGCTTTTAAAAATAGCTATTTGTGTACTCCAAATAAAGTATTTGGATGCTTTTAATAATAGATTACCCTGAACCAATAATGGCAGATAATCTGCAATTCCTAGGGAAAATAGGACAAGGCAGTATATTGTCTTACAATTGAATAGGGTTACTGTTCCGTCTGACAGGCATTACCATCTCCATTTGTGTAATGTGGCTGGTAAAAGGGCATCTCTTTTTGATTTGACATACTCATTTTTAGCAGATATACTTATTTTCTCTAAAAATGTGGCTTCAATGTTGAAAACAAATTATTATCCTTAGTCCAGAGGTTTTAGAGAAAACTGCTGTAACTAGACCAATGTTAATTATGCCCACATCTACATTGCAGGATTGTGCCATCTGCATTCCAACAAAACAACCTTTATTATGGATAGTCCCTACCCTGTAGGGATCACAAAGCTATTTTTGTTATGTTGTTGCCTAAGGAATGCAGAATGTAATACGTGCAAGTTGTGAAAGCAGATAGGCTGGAATTTAGAGGTAAGTCAGAGGAGCAAAGGGTTTCAAAATCATTCTAATGCTTTAAAAGCTATAGGATGCTAATACTGTACTACTTTACTGTGCACAAGTTGGCTGCCATTGTTTTCCTAGAACTATACAACAATTCCATGTGAAGTGCTTTCAAATGGTTTGATGTTATAGGCGCTAATTTAAATGCAAAGAAACAATTATCATTCAAACGTTAAACGATTTTTTTAAAAAAATCCAGTTCGTTTTCTTCTAAAAGTTACTTTGTTGATATATCTGGCTCACATTGTTTTAATACAGATTTGTGCCAATTATAGATATGTTTTTATAATGCAACTTGTGAAAGTCAATTTTAGTTTCTTTGTAAGATTATTGTAAAAACATATATTTAAGTTTATATAATTGTGCATTTCATTGCTGGTGTATTTGGGTTTTTGCTAATAATCTGCTTTTCCCATTTGTTCAGAAAATTTGAATAGAGGAAGTATCAGAGGCAATATGATACTTGGCCATTGGGGGATATAACTCATGATAATTGAAAATACTTCTGTGAATAACACATTGGTCTTGTAAGATAGCATCTGATCCCACATTGCTGCACACATACACACACACATATGTACAGTATATGTACGCTATACCAAATGCAAGGATTATTATTATATATGTAACTCAGTCTGCATTGACAGTAAACACATCTCAACCCCTGTGGTGTTACAGCTGATGCATTTTTAGAAATGTGTTTTTCTGTTGAGCTCATAATCCAGATTAATACTGCAGAGCAATGCTGAAGGAGTGCTAAATTGTTGGAAGTGATATCTTTCAGATATGTTAAACCAGGTCATAGAATTGTATGTGGGCATTTAAGATCTCATTACACTATCCAGAAGAGGTGGTGGTGGTGGGGGGGGGGGGGGGGGGGGGAGAGAGAATTTGTCCTGAAGCAGACTTGATGGGCCTTGTGGTTTTTTTTTGCTCATTTTTTGGCAATGAGTTAGCTTGTCTTAGATGGTAGCAATCTCGCTTCTGAGTCAGGAGCCTGTCATTGCGAATCCCGTGTCTTGATACAGATGTGATCACACATTTCAATTCTGTACGTGACTTCACTCTCAGTGCCTTGGGATGTCCTCCCGACCAACGTGAAAGCCGTTCTATTAATACCATCTGTTCTGGTGGTTGACATGGGGGCTTGAACCCAACAACCTTGTGACTCAAGAGGTGAGGCTGCTACCGACTGATACCTAAATCATAAAGGGAGGCAAGGGGTGAGCTGACTTGAGGTATTTCAAAGTAAAAATAAGGTACACCATTGAAATGCGTGACCACCGTGTTCACACCGGTATTGGCATCCGTGACAAATTGGGCGCGGTGGGAGTGTCAGGCTGAGATTAATTACTCATTAATATGGGAGAATAAAGAGCAGGTGCAGATGAAAACATTTTGGCACCGCCGTTCAAATACGCTGTGTAATTTAGATTTGAGATTGAGAATGGATTGCAGAGCAGATCATGTATGTACGTATGTACGTACGTACGTATGTATGTCTATGTATGTGTATATGTTTGAAGTGCTCTGAGACGCCGTCCAAGTTGTTGTTATTGTTATATACCAGGAGCAGGAAAGCCTTCTGTGGTGCAGTGTAAAAGGAGAACTTGTCCAAAAATAATCAAATAACAAGTCAAGAGCATTGTCTGGTTATATTCTCTTGGGCTAAAATAACAAGAGAAATATATAAAAATATATACATATATATAACTCTTCTCCGGGGCAGAGGGAGAGTTTACCAGAGACTTCCATTTGTGGTTGAATTATTATTGCCTCGTGTTAAAGTCACCCAAGGAGGGAGGTCGGGGTCACACTTAGCCAGGGGGAGTGGGGGAGAGGAGTGAGAGAGGGAGGAGAGTGAGAGAGAGAGGGTGAGAGTGAGGGGGTGGGGTGGGGGGAGTGAGAGTGAGGGGGTGGGGGGAGGGAGAGAGAGAGTGAGAAAGTGGGGGGAGAGAGAGTGGGGGGGGGGTGAGAGAGAGTGAGGGGGTGGGGGGGAGTGAGAGAGAGAGTGAGGGGGGAGTGAGAGAGAGAGTGAGGGGGAGAGTGAGAGAGAGAGTGAGGGGGGAGTGAGAGAGAGAGTGAGGGGGGGAGTGAGAGAGAGAGTGAGGGGGTGGGGGGAGTGAGAGAGAGAGTGAGGGGGTGAGTGAAGGAGAGAGAGTGAGGGGGTGGGGGGGAGTGAGCGAGAGTGAGGGGGTGGGGGGGGAGTGAGAGAGAGAGTGAGGGGGGGAGTGAAGGAGAGAGAGAGTGAGGGGGGAGTGAGAGAGAGTGAGGGGGTGGGGGGGAGAGAGAGAGTGAGGGGGGGGGGAGAGTGAAGGGGAGAGAGAGAGGGAGTGAGAGAGGAGTGAGGGGGTGGTGGGGGAGAGAGGGAGTGGGGGAAGTGAGAGAGTGAGTGGGGGGTGAAGGGGAGTGAGAGAGGAGTGAGAGGCCGGGTGGGCAGCGAGCAGAGGCCGGGCCGGTGGGTCACTCACACCCCGGGGGAGGAGGAGGAGGCGGCGGCGGAGGAAGGAGGAAGGAGGAGGAGGAGAGGTCGGGCTCGGGGGCTCAGTCTGACTCTAACCCGCCCTCTGCTGAGAGCGGAACATGGCGACGGCGGCCACGACGACAACAACAACAACCACCGGCGGCGGCGGAGGAGGCGGCGGAGGAGCGGCGCTCGAGCTGAGCCCGGGAGCGAGCAACTGCCGCGCCGGGGCCGGGGCCGGGGCCGGGGCCGGCCCGGTCGGCCCCCGCCGCCAGCTCGGGGCTCGGGGGCGGCCTCGGCCTCGGCCTCGCCGCGCTGCCTGGGCCCGGCCCCGCTGCTGGCCCCGCCGGCCTACAACTGGCAGGCCTCGCAGCGCTCGGTGCAGGAGCGCTTCTCCTTCATGTTCAACAACGAGCTGCTGAGCGACGTGCACTTCGTGGTGGGCAAAGGCCGCCAGACCCAGCGCTTCCCGGCGCACCGCTTCGTGCTGGCCGTGGGCAGCGCCGTCTTCGACGCCATGTTCAACGGCGGCATGGCCACCACCTCCGGGGAGATCGAGCTGCCCGACGTGGAGCCCGCGGCCTTCCTGGCGCTGCTCAAGTAAGAGCCCGAGCCCGAGCCGGAGCCGGAGCCTCGCCCGCACCTCACCCCCACACACACACACACACACACCGCACACCGCGGGCTGAGGTGGGGGGAGAGGGAGAGGGAGAGGGAGGGAGGGGGGGGGTGAGGGGTAGGCCCGCCCGAGGCCTGGGGCTGGTAGTGATGGCGAAGCCCGGTGGGGTGGGGGGAGACGGAGGGTGAGGGGGAGACATCGCCGCTGCGCCTCGTTCCCTTCGTTCTCGATAAACTCTCTCTCTTTATATTATTATTATTATTATCATTTATTTATGTATGTTATTTTGTTAAATTCTTTTTCATTACCGGTTTTTTTTATTATTTTATTTTCATTTCCACCCGCGGAACGGCCTCCCCCCCCCCCACCACCCTCCACCCCACTCCCTCCTCCTCCCCTCCCCTCCCGCGGTACACTTTGTACGGGATCATTCCTGTTCGAGAAGCGCTTCCAGGCGCCTCGTCCACCCAATGGGTTTATTGTGGGAGGAGGAGGAGGGGGAGGATGATGATGATTGTTTATTATTATTATTATTATTTATTATTATTTCACGAGTCGAAGAGAGAGAGCGAGAGGTGGATGTGGCGAGCGCTCTCTATTAAGGCCTCCGCCGCTCTCGTACGGCCCACTCCGGCCGCCGGGGTCCCGCCAGCCGCGGCGGATCGGTTTTTAATAATAATAATAATAATAATAATCGTTGCATTTGATATAGCGCTTTTCACGTCGGGAGGACGTCCCAAAGCGCTGCACAGAACGCACCATAAAGTGAATCGACCGTATGTTTGTGGGCGGACGCGGCAGCTGATTGCGCACAGCAATGCCCCACAGACAGTCGTGGATCGAAAATGACCAATTTTATTATTGTTTTGGGGTTTTGGAGGGTTTATTATTAGGCTCTGTGTGGACTAAGGAAACTTGCCCGAGGTTTCGCCCTCTGCCTGGGATTGAACTCAGGTCTCTCGCTCACAAAGCGAGTGCTCTAACCACTGAGCTAAGTGACCCCGTGGTACTTTGTCTGCGGGGGGGGGGGTGCGGAGGGGGTAGGGGTGCGGGTGGGTATCTTTTTCGCAGCGGCGTTATTGAAAATGGACCTTTTTTGCAAGTGAGCGAAAAAAAAGAAGACGTATCCAACAAGTCGATGTCCACGCAAAGGACCGACAAACCCCCTCGACCGCCTCTTTGCTGCTGTAACGTCGACGGGTAGCGGTAGTGATAATAATAATAGTAATAATCCTCGCATTTGATACAGCGCTTTTATCACTTCTTCGAGGCGCCTCAAAGCGCTGTCACGGAATATACTGTAAAGCGAATCGACTGCATTTTGTGCGCCGATCGCTAAAAGGCATGGATTGAAGTGACCAATTCATTATTATTATTTTAATTATAAATGATACAGGAATTATACGAACTAGTTTTCATAACTCGTGGGGGTTTGTTTTTTTTTGCTTTGCGGCGTTGTTGTGCCCTTATATATTTTGAGTGTTTTTGGAGGCGTTATTGTTTGGTATGAAATGTAGTCGATAATAACTGCTGGGAGCAGTGGAGAATGCAACCTCCCGAGACAGTCCCATCTCTTTTGTTTCTTTTTTTTGGGGGGGTCAGATGTTTGTTTACATGTAGATGTGCTTCCACACGTACGTTTTTCTTAAATTGAGAGGGTGGCTTTCTTCAAAAAGTGTACCGTTATAAAATGCCTGCTTCTCAAGGTCACGTCGTGAACAACTTTTTCAGATCTTGCCGAGTGGAAAACTCGAGCGGCGAGATCGATTTGTTTGCTATGTAAAGAGACTGCACGGAGCCAGTGAAATTGCAAACTTTGAAGAGGATATCGTTCGCAGCGTGAATGGGGTGGGGTAGCCTTTAGAATGAGCGCAGTGTGAGCACCAGCGGGTCTTTGATAAAATAGATGCCTGTGTTGTACAGACCGTAGCTGGTATTCAGAGAGAACAATGAGGAACAGTGCACGACTGTTTGTTGCTTTGCTGTTTGTACTGTATCTAATCTTTGCCTCCGTCTATTTTACCACCAGGTTTCTGTACTCCGATGAAGTTCAGATCGGCCCAGAGACGGTCATGACCACTCTCTACACAGCTAAGAAGTATGCCGTGCCTGCCTTGGAGACCCACTGTGTGGAATTTCTCACCAAGCACCTCCGGGCTGATAATGCTTTCATGCTGCTCACCCAGGTGAATAGCGATTACCTGTCAAGCTGTTTGTAAGCAAGTCTACTCAAATCAATATTTCTAGCACAGATTACCCTCCCCCATCCAATGTTTTTCAACTATATATTTACATACATAGATTTACATAGATTTTTATATGATTGATACGACTTCAATACACTGTGTCATCCCCATAAGCTTATATTTTATGTGAATTGTGACAAGGCAACATGTCAGCTGCAATATTCACACAGTAACGGTGTTGAGTATCCTTGCAAAACAGTTGAGTTATCTTATCGGCACGTACAATGCCTTTGCCTCGTAAACTTTTATGATTCCCAAAGAATATTGTGATTGTACGCTATTGTTAATTATCAGTTGAAGGTGCATTGCAGTTGATGTTCAACCCATCTTGTTTACCACTCTGTTTACCCCCCCCCCCCCCCCACGAAAAAAAAATATTTAGGCTCGCTTGTTTGATGAGCCCCAGCTCGCCAGTCTCTGTTTGGATACCATTGACAAAAGCACAGTGGATGCGATCAGTGCAGAAGGATTCACTGATGTAGATTTGGGTGAGTCTCCTAAGCATTTTTTATTTTAATTTTAATTCAACGAGTAATGTTTCTTTTTTTGTTATCTAATTTGCTGTGCTCCAAATAGTACGATTTGACAATGCTAATGGCTTACAGGTCTTCCAGCTATTTATCCTTGAAGTGCTTTGTTTTCAGACACACTGTGTGTGGTGTTAGAACGAGACACCCTCAGCATTCGTGAGATCCGGCTTTTTACAGGAGTGGTCCGGTGGGCGGAGGCAGAATGCCAACGCAGGCAGCTACCGGGGACCTCAGCAAACAAGCAGAAAGTCCTGGACAAAGCAGTCTCACTGATACGGTTCCCGCTGATGACCATTGAAGAGTTTGCTGCAGGTAACCTCCTCCCATTGTGTCGAATCAAACCAAGGTAGTATTTCACGCTGCATTTATATGTAATTTGCCTGCTAACTAATGTTTGCTTAATTGCTAATTAATCTTGTTCTGTAAAATCTTTTGAAGGGTTTCTTTTACATGAAAGAAATAAAAGATATAGATGTAAGTTGCTGCATGTTTGATGGAGAATAAATAATTTGTTCCCTCAATCTAGGACTGTATGTGGGAGAATGCTGTGCTCATACATTTTTATGGATTTTTCTTGCCTTTCACTTTTGCAGGACCAGCTCAATCTGGGATACTTTCTGACCGAGAAGTCGTTAACCTTTTTTTACACTTCACGTTAAATCCCAAACCAAGGGTGGAATACATCGACCGGCCTCGATGTTCCCTCAAGGGGAAAGAGTGCAGTATTAATCGCTTCCAACAGGTAGAAAGCCGCTGGGGCTACAGCGGGACAAGTGATCGGATCAGGTACGTTAAAACAAGGCAAACAGCGTGCTGTATGCTTAATAACGGAACCCTAGGGAAATAATCTCATCGCCTGGATATCAGACAGGCACTGATACCTCCAGTGTAGAAGGATCTTTCACTTAGGTGACCTGTCTCAGCAACATTATGAGGCAGAGATTGCCCTTGGAAGACCGAGACCCTATTATGTAAATTTGATTTAATCTGATGTGTAATCTGAAGAAGCTTCAGACATGCGGATCAACTCTCCCTCTTTGATAGAAATTAGTCTATTCAGTGATTGCAATGAAATGGTAGCATCACTGTTTTATTTGAACCTCCTTCCTCTAAGTGTTAGTTTATGTGGTTGGAGTAGTGCATAGCTCTCTTGACTGAAAACCTTTAATCTGATTTACACAGTGGATTAGAGATGTAAAATATGTTGCATGATTTGTTGTATTTAGACTAAATATAAAAGCAGATTATGCATTTGGAATTGACTCATCTTCCTTTGTGATGTGAAGGTTTTCGGTGACCAGGATAGTGTCGATAGTGGGGTTTGGCCTCTATGGCTCCATTCATGGTCCAACGGATTATCAAGTTAATATACAGGTATGTGATCATATTAGCTGGAGGTTTTCATCTTTTTAACGTTATCTTATTTTAAGAAGTGTAAAATCCACTCGTTTCCTACTCTGTTCCATTTTATTCCCAGCCTCAAAATTATCCCTCTCTCCTCCACCTCCTCCAACTTAAATTTAAATCACATTTCCATTTCCTCACATGATCCAACTCTTTGGTCTGCATGGACAAAAATGCAAGTGCAAGCTTGACATTGAATTCTGGACTGATGCGTACTGTAGACTTCTACCCACTGAAGGCTAGTTAAGATATCGCAAACATTTCACACAGGACACTTGTAGATATTTGGCGCCCGCAAACTAGACTGGATGCACATTGCAAAATCAATGCAAAAAAAGGAAAGAATATAAAATTAAACTATCAGATTATTTTTGATTAATAGGAATTCTCTATTCTGTTCCAGATCATTGAAAGTGAAACAAACACAACGCTGGGGCAGAACGATACAGGATTCTGCTGTGATGGGTCAGCCAGCACGTTCAGGGTCATGTTCAAAGAACCAATCGAAATAGTGCCATGTGTGATCTACACAGCCTGTGCCACTCTCAAGGTAATGCATATTTTTCTGTAGGTTTGCCATTATACTCTTTAGTTCCATAAACTTCATTCAATCCCATGATTTTATGGAACGGAAGAAGTTCCGTTCGGCCCATTGTGCGTGTTGGGATCCATGTTTTTGCAGCTTTTCTCGTACCTCATTTACTACCGGAAAACCTCTACTTTCTGAACATATCTGTGCTGTTCTCGTTGGCATCCTTTACCCTCTTCCGCCTGGATTCCATTGCGCCACCGTATCCAGAGTCATCTACAAGGTCTCCTCAACCTGGCAATTGGATTTTGGAGTGAAAAATTTAAGATGGCTCTCGTTACTCTGCTCCCCTTCGCTGCTGGAAGCGATAACAAACGTGTGTGAATTGAGCGTTACTGCTCCGTGCCCAGTTCCACAAATTATCTCACAAATGCTCCCTGTTTTAATTTAATCTTCAACCTTCGATTCAGTGACAGCGCCAGTGGGTAAAAGAGCTGCTGAGTAACTTTTAATTATTCCCACGCTGTCATTGATATATCTCTTGATTCGTGTCAGTAATCCCGACACTGATCTGCAGAGGGCATCTCTTCCCAAACCATAGGGGCTGGTGTCAATATCAGCTCAACAGTCAGTGCTCCCAACTTTGAGCGTACTTCATCAGTGCGTTGCATCGTAATTCCTACAGTATATTCTGTCCAGCGCCTTGGGAACGTCCTCCCGACGTGAAAGGCGCTGTACAAGTGTAATCTTGTTGTTGTTGTTGTTCTCACTAGGGCCCAGACTCTCATTACGGCACCAAGGGTTTACGGAGGGTCCCTCACGAGTCTGCAGCCACCGGCATGAGCACTTACTTTGTCTTCTTCAGCGCCCCTGGCAATAACAACGGAACATCAATCGAAGATGGTCAGATCCCAGAGATTATCTTCTACACGTAACCTGGTCACCTGCTTAGAGTTGGTCCCGGCTGTCAGCAAAGCGAGCCCCCGGTGGCACGTAGTATTTGGCTATTGTTTTTTCTTCCTCTCTCTCTTTCTCGGCGGTGATTCCCTCGTGTGGATGAAGTATAGAGTACTGAGGTTGAAGCCAGGGGTAAAGAGGGGGATGGGAGAGTGTAGTTTGGCTCGAGCTAACACGTTCTCCGTGAACTTTCAGAGTAGAATGCATTTACTGATTCTAGAGAGTGGATCCACAAGTGCCGGTCGGTGAGATTCTGCGGAGACGGTTTAGAGCAGGAGACCCTCCGTGACGGACTGGTTGGAAAAAGCACCGATTTCCAAACTAAAAAGCCTAACTAGCTGGAAATAATATTGCCAAGAACATGTTTTATTCAGCGGTAACTATACAATTAAGAGAAACTTACTGTAGCAGTTGACCTTCCAGTGTTAGGTTTCAGGACTTACTGTTTCATCATGGAACTGTGGCAAGTGATTCTTGGTATTATTATAATAAAATATTTAACTTCAGCCAAATCACCATTTGTGAATCACAATAGTTTTTCTTCTTACACCTGGCCCGGTCTCCTCGCAAAAGGGTTGAAGGCAAGACATTTGCTCCTCCCTGCCAGTCTGTGATGACTTGAAAGTGTCTTAGATTTGACCCTTTCCTGATTATATTTCCCCTTCCAGGTTATTGCCCGGCACTGGACACTGGGAATTGCCACCCCATTGTTCACTCTGCTCTGCCCAGCTCTTGCCCTGTTGTTAAATCATGCCCAAGTCAACTGTATCTATTGTGTTTTTCTTCCATCACCTACCCAAGGAAAGTGCTTTATGCACCCTCGTATGGTATTTGAGTTCCGGGATTTGCTGTGTTCTGTCTAATTTGCTTTCAAAACTATTGTTTAAAAGTTAGCTGGAATACCTGGCTTGAAGAGCTTCTGGCATCCAATCCACATTTTCATTAAGAACTCCCTCTGCAAAAAATGCCATCATTCTGGCATTGGGTCAGGCAGGATTCTTCAGCCGTTTATTTCATAACAAGTCCTTGTAGTGGAGGAGGTTTCGAGGAAAATTATACTTTTATTTTTAATGATACTTGTAGGTTCAAGGTCCATTTAGGGACTTTGAGCTCACAGACTAAACTGACACTCCAGTGCAGTGCTGAGGAAACACTGTATTGTCGTAGGTGCTGTCCTTCCTTTAGATAGGATAAATTGAAATTCCGTCTGAAGCCACAGGTGGATGTTAATGATCACATTACACTATTTGATAAGAGAAGGGAGATTCTCCCTTTGTCAACACTCCTCCAGATTTATTGGTTAGTCACTTTATAGCTGTAAACTGAACCTTCCCATTTGCCCAATAACTGCCTCATGTGTCTACAAATACGGTCAATATCCTTGAAAACAATACTTGTGAATTGCTTTGAGACATTTGATGTTATCGATGTTATATTAAACGCTAGTATTATTATTGAAGGCACATTCTTCAGAGTTAGAGCAAAAATTGTTTATTTGTTGGATTATTCCACTCACCACTGCGTGCAATTTTTTCTACTGGGCTCTCGATTAAGAAGTTACAAAATTGATCACTTCTCCTTTGGTCAGCTGGACTCTGCAGCTCGTAGACACATACCCTATTTATGCCACAATCCTTTTATTATGGCTGTGCAATTGTGAAGATGAATTGTATGTCTTTGTGTGTGATGGAAAGACTGGATACAGGTGGCCGCTCTACACAATGGCTGGCCCACTGCACTGTTCTAAGGTCTTGCTTTCAGCCAGGGAGGGATGCGAGATCCTGCTTTGTGAACGTTGAAGAGGAACGTACATTACACTGTGCGGATATTCATTGCATAGAGTGGATACACAGCAGATGCTCTATTCATACGTAAGCAGGACTGTCTTTTATTTGAGAAAATGTTGGGCTCCTGGATGTAGCCCAGTTAGCAAAGATAATATAAGACCATCTCAATTTAAACTGAGAAATGCCTGTCAACACAGTCGCTCTCATTGGAATGCTGCGTATTATGTACCAATCGGGCAATTTATCAATCCTCCCTTCAAGTTGAATCCCAGTCTCCAAGTCACTGCAGAGATTCTCAAAAGAATTCCCTGAATTCATGTAATGTTCCTGCCATATTTGTTGTGTTAAACCAGTAACAATTGGGATTAGACAGTGTAGCTATGGGTTAGTACTGGACTAGAACTTTTATTTACTCCGGGTTCAGATCTTTCGGATTCCCTTATTTACGTGAGAGCCCGTATACATGGAGTTGTAACAGTTAATCCAGGGACGTGTGTCTTCTGCATTTTTTAATCTGCATTGGATAATTGTATGTTACTCTCTTCTCTCCTGAAATAAAACGTGTTTTTAAGAAAATTAGTGGCAAGAATATTGCAGGTTCCCGTGGTTTCTTTTACTATTGCACCACCTATAAATGTAGATTTAGAATTTATTGTTCAAGCCAGGAAGCTTAACTATTGCTAATTAAATATTTACTCAATTTTCTTACCAGTGTCTTGGAAGGTAATGGTTGCATTTCGCCCACGAAATACAGTCACTCCACTTTACAGCGAAGCGCTTTGAGACATCCCGATGATGTGATGAGGTGCTATATCAAATGCAAGAATTATTATTATAGTGCTTATTATTATTATTATAGTGCTTATTGTTCACTTTGAAACTGGTTTCATGTCACTCTTAAACAACAACAACAACTTGCATTCACATAGCGCCCTTCACGCGGAGCGCTTGACGTAACTTCCACAAAACTGGTTTGAATTCAAATTGAAGATTGCATTTAAGAATGTGTCAAACTGAGGACACTCTTAAATAACATCAACAAGAGCAGCAAATGGTAACAAAAGCCACAGCAACGGCAATCATAGTAATGGCAGCAACAATGACAGCAACAACAGCAATAGCAACAACAATAACAGCAATAATAACAAGAGCAACAATAATGATAATAACAATAGCAATAATACTAGCAATAATAGCAATAACAACAGCAATAATAATAGCAATAACAACAGCAATAATAATAATAGCAATAACAACAGCAATAATAATAATAGCAATAACAACAGCAATAATAATAATAGCAATAACAACAGCAATAATAATAATAGCAATAACAACAGCAATAATAATAATAGCAATAACAACAGCAATAATAATAGCAATAACAACAGCAATAATAATAGCAATAACAACAGCAATAATAATAATAATAACAACAGCAATAATAATAATAATAACAACAGCAATAATAGTAATAGCAATAACAACAGCAATAATAGTAATAGCAATAACAACAGCAATAATAGTAATAGCAATAACAACAGCAATAATAGTAATAGCAATAACAACAGCAATAATAGTAATAGCAATAACAACAGCAATACTAATAATAGCAATAACAACAGCAATACTAATAATAGCAATAACAACAAAGTATGTAGTTCGCGACAGTGACCACAGGGGGCGCGAGGCTGACTGACCCAGTGCGCATGCTCAGTGCCCGTTACCAGGCGACGGCGGCCGGGGCCTGGTCTCCGCTCTCGGGCTCCTGAGGCGGTCCCACTCCAGGGCCTCCCCCCCCCCCCCCCCCCCGGCCCGGCCCGGCCCGGCCTCCCCCACCCCGGCGGCTCGTGTTGATGAGGCGGGCGGCTGCCTGGCTTCCCGCTGGCACTCCCTGGGGGTCTGTCTCGACTTTCGCTGCTGCGTCTGTCCGCGCCAGCCGAGGCCCGGGCTTTCAGCGGCTCTTTCCTGCCGGGGGAGCCGCCGGGGGGAGGGGGCAGTGTCAGGCCGCCCCGCGGGGGAGGAGGGCCGCGTGAGGAAATGCCTAAGAAGTCAAAAGATGCCAAACTGGTGAGTTTATTGATGTTTTGTTGGTTGTTTTTTTTCTTTCCCCCCAAAATTTTTTATTAAAAAAAAAACATTTAAATATTTTTTGTAAATGTGTGTATATATTTAAATCTGTTAAAAATATATATTTATGTGTGTGTGTGTGTGCGCCTTAAAAAATCTTATTTTTTTTTACAAAAGAAAACACGAAAAAAAGTTTTAACATTATAAACGTAAAGTATTTACAATTTTCTTTTGAAATAATAATATCAGAGTCAATAATAATAATAATAATAATAATGGCAATAATAATCTTCGCATTTGACACGACGCCCGATCGCGTCGTTGAGACGTCACAAAAGCCCCCCACACCCCACCCCCCACACCCTCCCCCCACACAACCCCCCACACACACACCCCTCCCCCACACACACACACCCCTCCCCCCACACACACCCCCCCCCCCCAGACACACACCCCCCCCACACACACACACACCCTCTCCCCACACACACACACCCCTCTCCCCACACACACCCCCCGCCCCCACACCCCACACCCCTCCCCCACACAACCCCCCCTCCCCCACACACACACCCTTCCCCCACACACCCCCTCCCCCCACACACCCCCTCCCCACACACCCCCTCCCTCCCCCACACACCCCCTCCCCCCCCACACACACCCCCCTCCCCCACACACACCCCCCTCCCCCACACATACACACCCCCTCCCCCACACACACCCCCCTCCCCCACACATACACACCCTCCCCCACACACACCCCTCCCCCACCCACTCGCGGGACGCACCGCCGTGCGGATCGGACCGTGCGTTTTTGCAGGTGAGAGGGCAAAGTTGATCGTCGCCGGGACTACGCCACCAAAAGTTGCGCTTTTTAACTGCTTTTGCGGATAAATAAACGTTGTTTCACCCCCTCCCTCCCTCCCCCCCCGTCGTCCCCCCCACCTACCTCTCCACCAGAAAAAGGGGAAAATCAAGGACTCCGCGAAACCAACGTCGGCGCCGGCGCCTTTGGGACCCGCGACCCGCGGGAAAGACGGCGCCATTTCCGTGGCCGTTCGCGCCAAGCCTGGAGCCAAACAGAACGCAGTGACAGGTGAGGTGGCGTCGACTAAATACTGCGCTCACCCAGAGGAGCAGAGAGGTGCCTTCCGTGTGGCTCCCCTGGCAGGCGGGCCACTTGTAAACTTAGTCTGGCCGTCCCGTAGCTCAGCGGCTAGAGTACTCGCTTTGCAAGCGAGAGACCTGGGTTCCATTATTATAAGGCTATTATTATCATCTCCTGTGCGCTACAGAATGCAGGTTAAACTGCTTTGGAATTCAGAAATCACTTGAGCTTTTTGCTGATTTCTCCCCTGCCTTCCGCGTGCTGAGGGGGGGGAAGTTTGGTTTGCGATCTCTTCGTGGAATCACCAGTTATGCGATCGACCCAACCACTGACTCACCGATCACTCTCCTTTAAAGCCCCGGTTGAGATTTTGCAGATCCCTAACTTCCGGATTATAACGGGCCATTGCTGTACTTTAATATTTCACAGACGTGACCCATGAAGCAGTTGGTGTAGCCATCGCAGCACCTCCATCGGACGGGGAAGCGAATGCAGAGCTGGTTCGTTTTCTAGCGCAAGTTTTGGAAGTAAAGAAAAGCCAAGTTACTCTGGACAAGGTATGTCATCGTCTCTGTACTATAATTTAATGTCTAATCATTGTTTGTGTCCCTTTTCTTGTACAATAAAGGGTATATTACTGTAAGTTACTTTTACTGTTTTTTTTCAACCTCCAATCAGGTCCCCAAACTCCAGTCGTTGTAAATTCCAGTTGATCAATTTACCAAAATTTCTGTCGCTGCTGCACTGGAATTGGTTGTTTGCAGTGTGACCTTCCTTTTCATTACCCCCCCCCTCCCCCCCCACATAACTGTAAAGAGTAACTGGATTAGTACCCCCAAATTATCCCACATAGACAAACGGTATTTGATTTTCTTGTCCTCTCAAACCCTGTTGATGTGTAGCGCAGGGTAACCTGAAGAAGAGGGCGAAGGCAAGCTTTCGAGAAATAGAGAGACTTAATGGGTTTAGATGTCAATCATTAACAATGTTTTGTTTTTAAACCACAGGTAATTAGATTAACTGAACTGTCATCACTTGCCCCACTAACAACGCAACTTTCTTAATTTTCTTCCTGTACAATACTGTTCCCCATCTCTTGATCACTGAAGGGCTGCCGATCTCGTGAGAAGATAGTAAAGGTTTCAGGCTCATTGACCCTAGAGGAAGTGCATGAAAGACTCAAGTCTGCAGCAGCCACAAACTAGGACAAGGAGCATGGCTGACTAGAAGAAGCCTAGGTGAAGGCACTGGTACTGTGGAATGAGCCAACCTCAGATTTGCACAGCAGTGAATACTGCAAAATGAATTGACTACATTTTGTGGTTGAAACGGGTCGAAATTGCTGGTGCGAGGAGTTGCCTACAAAAACGGAATTACTGAAGTCCAATGCAAAGTACAGTGCGTTGTTGTCTCTTGGGGTGTTGTAACTGGGATGATCACCAGGACTTCCTGATAGCAGCACTGGTGGGCGCCAGAGCCACGCCGAAGAGCCAGAAGCGAGTCACAGCGAGGGATCTATTAACGACGCCTCTGCCAAGCAATGCAGAGACTAAAAATGTCTCTTGAGCAGCTGCGGGCTGGGGCGCCCTCAGGTGAGTGACGTAAAGGCGACCATTATAACAGTTGACCTCACAGCAATGTGTGATGACAGAGTGGAAACAGGCAGTGTCTGTCTGTCTGTGTCTGTCTGTCTGTCTCTGTCTGTCTGTCTGTCTGTGTGTCTGTCTCTGTCTGTCTGTCTGTCTGTCTGTCTGTCGCATCCAACGCAAAGAATGTCACCGTGACGTAGCAAAAGAAAGGTTAGATAATAAAATTAGACCCATCTGCCTCCTGCGACTGCTTGTATAGAAAGAGAAACAAGGCAGGGTCTTTATCTCACTGAGAATTTGGCAAAAATAAGATCAGTTGGCATTTAAGTGTAATTAAACACCGTTGTTTTGACATGGTTGGTGTATTGTATTCTTCTTTAATCCCTATCACACCACTCCATTGTTCTACAAATACAATCACCATACAGCAAATCAGGTGAAGTGCTTTCAGATGTTTCAACGACGTGATACAGTAAACCACACAGAAGTTGTATCAGTTGGGACCATACATTTACTACGCAAAGTATGAGTTATGTCAAACCTACACTGAATATAAACTCTTGAAGGGGTTTGGGCAGATGTACAATTTAGGCGATTATATGATTTATACAGATCAGACTTATACGAGGCTTACTCTATATCCAGTAAAACCTCTCTGGATATCACTGTTGTAAACTATCCTGTGGTTTGCAATCATGATATTAGCTACAATCTCGCACCGCTACTAACACAGCCTTGTAGATACACAGGTAATGCAGTCTGCCATGCATTCAATAAGCAACAATAAGCAAATACACCAACTACAGTATGTCAAATTAATGGCATGTAGATACACTTTCGGCCGATTGATCTTATTTTCGCCAAATTCTCAGTGATTGCAGTGAGCTAAAGACTCTCCTTATACAAAGATGGGATCAGGCTGTTCATGGTAAACGTTAGGTGTTGCAAACAGTATTGTAACCTTCACAAATTCCAAGGGGAAAAATAGAAAACAGTACACCATATTAATGATTAATGAAACCTGCGGTGTAAACACAGAAATACACATTCCTTTTGATAAGATGCTGACCTAGAAATTCGGTGCAACATTACACCTGAGCTGAAGAACCAAAAACAAGATTGTTATATGGGAAACGCAGGGAAAGAGTGAATCTAATCTCAATGATTAATATTCCTTAACTAGCTCTCAGGAGACCTGTCTGCGGCTGATCAATTTCAGTCTGGCAGACCCGAGATGGAGTTATGGTCGCAGTTCAGACTCTTGTTATAAATTGGTACTGAGGGGCCTATTTGTTGTACTTGTCAAATTGTAGATATTGATCCAAGTGGGATTACAATGTTAGGTCGGGTTTATATTGTAAATTCAGCCCTCCAGATCTTGCTCTGGTGAGTTATATTGCAGTGTTTTATTGCAGAGAAAAGCTTTTTTTATATGAGTGTATATATATATATATGAGCAGTGAATTTACAGTTCTGTTGAGGGTGGAGGGGGGAAAGCTGGATGGAAATAGTGTAATTGCCACATGTTTCCTCTATGCTTATTATTGAAGGTTATTCTGAGACACGATTGCTGGGAAGCATGACATCCAGTGCGTAATCATTCAATCAACAAGAATAACAAATTACATTTGTATAGCACCTTTCACGTCGGGAGGATGTCCCAAGGTGCTGGACAGTCGCGGAAAGATTTGGACCCAAGTTGGGGGAGGGATATTGTAAAAAAAAAGCACTATTGCTGAAAAACAAAAGGCATACAGATATGGGAAATAGGACCAATTTCAAACACTTTGGATTCCTACAACTCTCAATAACCTTTGCCACCTAATTTTGTGCCTGGATGATGCAAGGTTACAAGATTTCCTCACAACTATTTGCTTTGTTCTAATAGCTCCAGTACTTCTACTTTCCTCTGAAGCCTACTGTGTGACCAGTGATGCAGTGGTCCAAATATTACTTTGTGTTGAGAAGTGTATTACAATTGCAAATGACAGCACAGAGCCTGAGAGGCAAGCTTGGGCGGCTTATGAAAGCGCCTTTACATAGAGACTTGTTTCATCCACATAATTCATGCCATCTGTGTGTGGGTGCACATGGTTGAATAAATATTTATTATTCACTAGCATCTCGGTTGAATCATTTTCAAGTGGGGCTAATATTTCCCTCCACTCGATCTCCCGAACAGCTTCAGTCTCTGAAAACAGAATATTTTAGAAATGTGCCTTGGTGTATATTTCTTTACCTTCAACTCTGTAATAATAATATGATTATTTTAAAATCTCCCTTATTGGAAGGGAACCAAACTATAAGTGAGTGAGTGGTGTGTTTCTGTTAGCGGTGACAGGTACATGCCGGGCAATGTTAATTTGTGCTCGGAACGGTTATGTGTCCAAATGGCCTAAATCTACAAAACAAAGTGTGCTCACCCTGAGAATCTGTCAAAACAGTTGTCGATGAGTTACTTGTTTGTAATCTAATAGGATTTCAAATTGGTGGACGGGGTAGAATAAATAGGTCACACAACACAACAAAATGAAGTAGAATTTTGTTGTTGTCTATCATATCAAAAGATCACAAGAGCAATTCAGATGTAAAAGGCCTTTCTGTGTATAAACTATTAGAGGGTGCCTCTGCTACTGTATCCCACAAAATGGTCTGTAGGAAAGAGAACAAAATCAAGGGAGAGAAGAAAGAATATTCAAGAGACAGGCTCCCCTTTTGCAGCTCACTGCAAAGTATTTGAGGCTTGAGAGAGTGAATGGCAACATTCATTATATGGGATATGGTGCGTATCGCAGGGAACTAAAACCAATCGCAGTAGGTGAATAAAGATTAAAATAAGTTTTTTTTCCCCACATCGGGAAAATCTTAAGAATATGTAAGTAATTTACCATTGATTTTAATATCATTACTATAATTTCTAAAAATCAAGCAAGTTAAAAGTGATCCTAATAATTACAAGTGATATTAATATGCAACTATTTTTACATTCTGGAAAGTCATTCTATATGCAGTAATAACTACACAGCAGAGGTTTAGCAGAGGCAAATTGATTTTCAAAGTGAATTCTTATTAAATGCAAAAGTTGTGACATAAACAGGTTAATCGTCAAACAGGGACCACAGGTGATAGGCAATTGAATTGAAAAGTGATACGGGATGTTGGAAAAAATGAATAAATGACCTATCATTTCTGATCAATTTCCCTCTCCATTGAAAAGCTAAATAATGGCTTCTGTTTTATTTTTTATATATATAATACACTAGCTGTACCGTAGCACAGGATAACACCAGGAACCACTTCAGTGGAAATGTCCTTCAGTTCAGGAGATAATGAAGCAGTGGTACTAAGGGGAAGGTGGCAAATTATTAACCTGTGCCAGGAAATCCACAAAATGAAGGGAGCTTTGTGCCAAAGGCAAGTGCTGAAGCCTCCAATGTTGAGTATTGTATAAGTAACTCACAGCTGCTGTTGTGTTTTTATTAGATATTAGCTGTATCTATGGCAATGCAGTCTCTCATTAACTTGGCTTACACTTTCTAGTTGGTACACTTTCCATTTTATTTTGTTTTTCTGCTTTGTGTTTCTGGCATTAGCTCTGCCGTTGCCAATAAGAAAGGGGGCAATGTAGATCTCTCTGATAACTGCCCCGATGTGCAATGCTCCAACACCAGGAGTCTAACCAAGAACTGGGGATTTGTGAATTTTGAGAGGATAATTTATTTTAAGTTTGAAATGTGAAATGAATCTTCTGAAGGAGATGCTAATATTCTACCATTTGATCTAACAGTCTCCCTGCTGCTACTTTGATACTCTGCTGTTAAAGATAAGGCTCGAAATAGGTTAATGCTCTATCATCAGAGCCAGTTGGGAGTCCAGAGGTGTCAGTATCTCAGAACAACATCCAGTGTCACTGGATCCTCTGTATGGTGATCAGTAACCCTAGCTGTAAGCTTACTAAGCTATTAGATCCTACCATTTATAGCTCAGAACAGAGTGAATATAGGGCTGTTTGCATAGATTCATAATGGACTGTCCACTTTTCATTCGACTTGTTTTGCTGATTCCTAATACTGTAAAGGCAGAAAATATTACTTGATTGTTACTCTTTCTAACACCCAGCTCTGTAAATTCAGTCAGTTGATTCCTGCACATCTTAGAAATAAACTATTTCCATTTTTATCACATTGAAATGTCTCAAATAATTACGGTCAAGTGCATTGACTTTCCTTTATTGGCAAACCCAATTATGGCAAATTGTTTCTGTTTGTATTTAGATTGAGTAGCGCCTTGGGACGTCCTCCCGACGTGAAAGGCGCTCTATAAATGGAATCTGTTGTTGTTGTTGAGTAGATGAATGAACTATTAACACTGATCTATCCTTCACTAATTGTCTTTTTGTCTAGTTTATAATAAAAATCTCAAGTCATTTGTGTAAAGTGCTCCATAGATGCAAATAGTTTCATTTTCCTTTGCCCTCAGATTTCAAAACTCACCATAAAAAAGCCCAAGAAGGTTGGCATTTTCAGCACCTTCATGGGAGCTCTTGGGAGCTTCAGCCTCAAGGAAAGGGTTAATGACAGTGGCTTCACAGCCGATTGTTGGGATTCAATGACGTTATCACTCAAGTCACTGAAGTGGAAGAATCGCCATCAACAGCAAACTCTGTCCTGTATGTGACAATGAACATTAACTGCACAGAAGAAACCATTGAATGAATGTACAAGGTCACTGCCACAATAAGTTTCCTTTTGTCAAGTCAAACAATAATGTACAATGTGCCACAAAGTGCTTCACAGTAATTTTACTCAAATGTTTTTTTGTAAACTAAAATAGCAG